CTCGGTCATGCCCTTCAATGATCATCCGTATCTAGTAGCAATACGAAAAATCCCCAATAATTGTAAATCTCGCCACCGATCAGACAATTGAAATTACCGCTTTCGACTTTGGCTAGAATTGTCCAAACCCGACAGGAAAGTGAGTTCAGTAAAAATTGCGGCGAATTGATGAAAGTTTAGGTGTTGGAGGGTTGCCATGTCTGTACGAGGAGTATTCATCGTATATATAAATGGCGTGCTAATACACCGAGACGACCGAAAGGAGGCGGAGTTGGACATGCGGAGTTAAAATCATTCGAATTAAGGCCATTGCAGACGGTGGGGGAATTTGGGGTGTTGGGGTTGTCGAATCCGTTCGTCGGCCTTCATTAATATCCAGTTCCCAGTTTAATGGAATGTACGTCGAGTGTAGCTTGGCTTCTTGGCTACGCCGTTCCTACATACATTGGCGGATAGGGCCCTCGACATCATGCAACTATTACGATCCGATTCTCTTGGCTCGATGATGTCAAAACTAACACATCACTTGGCAACACGATTCCATCGTGAACTAATATCTATTCGCCGCAAGGTTGACTCTGTTGGGAGTGCATGCGGATGTGGGTGCGAATGCTCCCGAAGTTATGGCACATCCCGGTACGTCCTTGTACGTCCCTGTATTTTATTTTGCGACATTGTCACTTTGCAATATAATAGCGCGCTATAATATCTTGCCCAATTTCGTAACTTGGTGCCCAAATGGCGAGTGTACACTTGACCGTCGAGTGAGATGCGACTAGTCAAAACTTACGAGGTTGGATTCAGGGGGTGCTGTAGCGTTTCTAAACAACAGGCAACACATATCACGCCCATGACCATGGTTTCGTCGTCGTGTTCTTTTTTTTTTTTACCTCGAAGCTTCGGTCCCGTCTCCTTGATGAGAAGTTGGTTAAGGCAGTCTAAGTGGGCCTTGATAGAACCGTTGGAAGTCCCAAGCCTCCAAGGTCTCGTTGAAGAAACGTGGGAGCGGTGATGGTGCATGATAGGTAGGCCATCTTTGGCTAACAAAGCCCTGCCGCCTGCCCAATTCAAAGTAGCGCGCACCCGCGTAATCCCGCGCCGCGGATAGATATCGCGAGGAGCTTAACATGCTGACACATTAGGAAAGAAGCCTTACTGAGTACAGCAGGTAGCAGCCGAGGAAGCGTATCATTTCTTCTAGAAGCTATCATGATCGCCAAAAGCGGACATCTTAGACCTGCCTTCATCATGAGGATCTGCTAGGGTGTCTGTCGAAGGCTTCGGGCACTCTACCGATGTGCAATTACAACGCTTTTGATACCGGGGAATGGTTACTTAGATAGCTGATGATCCATTTGTCGCGCCCAACGTGGAAGGTTAAGCCAAGTTCGGGGATTTTAAAACATGGTAATTTGGGGGTCAAGATGCCAAAATGCGCAAAGGGATCACAAGCTCGGTTGGAATGAGGGATGAGGCTGCCACCACCGTCAGGAAGCTTTAATGTTGGCCGATATTTAAAGAGTCATAGCCGACTAATACGTGTTATAGGAGGATCTAAAATAAGGCTGGATCAGATGATGAGTTTTGACGTAAGTCGCCATAAGCTTAATTCGAGTCTATAGCCACCCAGATAATGACACGATATGAGGGTATGTCACGGTTGACTCTTTTGCGAAATGTGCCTCATTGATCGAGGCTCGCGTTAGAGACGCGCGGAAAAAAAAGGTTCTTTTGTGTGGTAATAAATCAGCACACACGAATTTGGCGCTCGTCGAGGGAGCGCAAATGTGATGGAATTTCGTCTTGGCATCGTGTACGACGGTACAATTGTGTGATAGGCGACGAATTTACGGTCTCGGCGTGGGGTTGCGTTGGCCGATTGGGCGGCCGCTCTCCATTTGTTGGCGCTATGCTGGCGAAGCAATGCACTGGAAATGCAACGAAGCGGTCACAGGCTGCGTGATATCGATGCTCAGAAGTAGAATGATTGATGTGACTGCGAACTCACCCTTGCTGAAGGCATGAGGCACTGTTGATCTAATATTTATATAATGCTCATCATAACGTGTGTAAATATAAAAGCATGTTGGTTGGCTGGTTGGACGAAGTGAAGGAGTCGAGTAAATGAGGGTAAGATTATGTTATATCTCCGGTACTGCCCCGGTGTTTACTTACAAATTAACTCATGTTGACATCGTCCTTCAGTCTCGTCTTATGATAGACGCATGTCACATGTGCCCCGAACGAGTGAAGAGCCTGGTATTAAGATTTACGTGCTATTCGTAGCGTGGCATGTAGGTATGTAGGAACAAAGCATATCCATTGTGAGTGTAGGTAGATCATGTACTACTTATTATCACATATTACTATGACATTACACAATGTATTCCTTACTTCTACCTAAGTATGCCTGGGTGTAACTCTGTGCATTCTTCATACCTTACTAAGTATCCAGGTCCTTTGTGCAGGGTGCTACATCGTATTGTATTGTGCCATCGAATACAAGGCTGTTGTGTTTCGTAAATAACCCCAGATTCATGATCTGGCCGGGTACCTAACGTAGGAGAATCTGTGGGGGTTTATATTAAAACTGTGGCTGAGGAAGCTCAGCTGACGAGCGTCTATTTATGCGGAGGACCGAAGCTCCAAACCGCAATCTAGCCGCCACAATCCCCCCCCCGTGCGAGGCAATTTCGTCCCCAGCATCTGCCGCTCTCGGTAAGCTGTACATTACGTGACCCGAAGGGAATCAGATGCCCAAAAGTGACAGCGCATAGGCACACTCGATTCCGCGGTTCGTCGATGGCACAAGACAAATGTGTGCCTGATCAGAAAAGACCAACTTCTGCACATTTTCCTTGATAAAGTCATCTACTATTTTGTATCATGGAGGATGAAAGATAAAATAAGGATAGGCCAGGTCGCTGTCTTACACCTGAGCTCTGAGTTGGCAAGTTGTCCTAGGATAACGTGCCCCAACCCAAGTTGTGTTGTCATTGTCGCTAAAGCGCTAAATCGTTCAAATGACTATTCGCGATAGTCTAATTAGATAGCGGAGGTCCAGCTTCGCAGTTGGGGTTGGTGTTGGAGTTCGGGTTGGGGGCCGGCTGTGTGATAGAGGCGAATGCGGGAGCGGTCCGTTGACTGAATAATCACTGACGAAGTTTCAAGTTGCTTAAAGCGGGCAGTATCACGAGGACTACTTCTGAGGCGACTTTGAAAATTCTAGCCGGATCTAGGCAGTTCAAAGACCGTCGGCCCAAGGAACTGCTTTTGAGTCAGCACGTGCTCCCGTGTCAGCGATAACACAGCGGCAATATTCCAGTAGCATCGTATCCAACTGTAACGATTCGGCCACAGCCAAAGCTGGCAGCCTGGATGGCTGGCTAAAGGCCGACCAGACGAATTGGTAGTCGTATGTCCTGTCGATTGCCCAACATGCTACGGACGTTGTGGCATTGTCGATGACTCCTGTGACCATCATCACCACCAAAGAGCATCGCCAACACCTGGCTTGTAATTACCGCACCCAGCGCAATCAAGGATCACGATGCTTTAAAACTTATCCTATTAAATAAAAGCAGCAAACCATCGCAACCAGACTAACCAATCCTAATTAGATGGTCATCCTATCCATGATATCCCTCATCACCTATTTATACCCCGGAAAATATTTATGGTCAATTGATGTAATGAATATTCCTAGCGATGAAAATACCCCTCTCTCATGTGGTCATTAGGGATTGTTTGTTCGCTTTAGTAGGCGAGTTAGCTGGTTAGTCGGTTAGTAGATTCTTAGTAGCTGTAACGTGGACGTAGAAATTCATGGTTTCCTTTGTCGAGCGAAAAATGGCATTGGTGGTTTGGTAACCTGATTGTTACTCCGTGCGCCTGTGATCATCTATGTGTAACCATAAATCTCACCAGTAGGAATCCCATAGATTCTTCATTGTCATCATCATGAAGATGGGCATGCCGTACGAATCCAATCCATTGCTCAATCTTGGCTATGTTTGTAAACCTTTAGCTGTGATTGTGCAAATGCAAAAACTCATAATATCCCATGGCATACCGAAAGGCGTTAGAGGCTATCGTGAGAGCCGGTAGTCCGTCCGAGGTTATGTACTGAAAACGAATACAATGGGGATTGCAGATCACGAAACAAATACCAGTATTGGATAAGGGATAAGGGATACACATTATTGACGAAACCTGTTACGCACTGGCCGATTAACAGCTTCATGACCGCTTTGGAAACAGCAAGCCGAACAAATAGGTAACATGTGCCTCAAGCTACTCTCGAACAATGAAAATGAACCGCTTGCAGGTGGCAGGTCCCAGGCAAAAGGGTCTGCTGGTCAGTCGTTGCTGCCGGCACACACTAGCATTTCAAACTGAATAGGTAATTGAGATTGATTTGATTTGATCCGAGAAGCTGGACCTATTGATCGCGGGCGCAGTTTTCCGAGTGTGCTAAAGTATCTGTATTCCAGAGAAAGGCCTTAAATGCCCCAAAAGGCATATGATACCTCCTTGGGTCTAGATTCTGCGCTAACTAACTAAGCCATTCCCCAAGAGGCAATAAACTCAAGTTCACTAAAAGGGACATTTCGGGGCAGGTCGGCCGCTGGAGCTGGGTAGTCCTTCCATCGGAGAATGTACTATAGGTACGTACCTTCTTGCAGGGCAGGTACCTCTGCGCGTGTTGTCAAGGGTTGCGACCGCCCCTGAACTTCTTGACCCCGGTTCCGCCGTCCACCCATCCTCAATCACCCCCAAGGAAAAGAGGTCCCCGCTAGAGGACCCAGTTGAAATAATAGTTACCTGAATACATAGTTACTTGAGTACACAGATACATGAGTACATATATACTTGCCCATGTATCTTTCGGTACGTACCCTGGACCCAGTGAGGAGTGACCTTGCACACCGCGCCTTCTAACCCTCCTCCACATAAGCCTACCCACTCTACCTCCCTCCTATCAAATACATATGTACACACTTACCCGCTCCCTTCTTCCCTTCTCAGGAACATAACATCATGAACCACGCAAGAGTTTAACACACTCTTAATAAAAATCAGTGTTTAATAACGTCGCCGGCGGTTGTAGCATTGATCACGACCCAGCATTAATCGAACTTCCAGGGCATATCCAAGCTTGGACAGTATCATCTATACGGCGAGCACGCAAGCAACCCATATATCATCGTCACCAGTTCTCGGCACCTTTCATAGGATCCTCCCGCCGAATACACCTTCACGTCTCGACGAACATACGAGAACTTTCTCGCAAACCCACATCTACAAGTTCACTTCGGTGCCGATTATCTTCGAGATACCCTTGGAGAAGTGTAACAATTCGTCTACTTACTCAATTCGATATTCGCGATCGCTTTCGCGAAACCATCCGCCACCATACATCCTCAATTCAGCCATAGTCTGCTCCAGCAGCCGAGCAGCGAATTCGAAGGCATGCCTTATAAGGCTGAGGGTCTAGTCCTAACCGTGGACCCGAACGTCATTCACAAGGTCGACACAAACAACCCTCAGAACCTCTTTAGCATGTGGACTGGTACGCAGTTTTATTTATTTTAGTGATATGGCACTGGGATGCGGTTGATCCTAGGAACGGAAACTGACCAAACTCATAGTGTTTTCTAGATGTGCCGACTCAGTTGAACAAGGCCGAAGATTAGAGAACCTCAGTTGGCGATTGTGGAACAGAGAGACCTTTTGCTGCGAAGCCAAAGGACTTCCCGCCGTCACTGCTACCACATTACCGAAGGACATTCCCGCACAACAACAAATATCAGACGTACCCCAATTATCGGGGAGCGTTGACTCTATCGCTGACGAAGAAGCAATCGATTTCACTGCAATTTCCGATCCCGTCGAGATCCTCCGACCTCGAATCGTTCGACAAGACTCTTGTGCCAGCAGCCGAAGCAGAGGCCGCGAACGGCATATTACCTCAGACCATCTTGAGAAGATGGTTGTCTCCATCATCCAAGAGAAGGAGCCGAACTTGGCTCCTCTCCCTGATATGAGCTCTCCCTCAGTCGAGTCGTCCATTGCGGACCACATCCACTCCTCCCCAGAAGCAGATCACACCCCTGCTACGCAAGTTACCGAGTCTGCGTGCGAATCTGTCAACTCTTCGTCTGAAGCGTCTTCGCAGGCGAAATCCACCGAGATCCCTGCTACTACTGTCATCCGAGGTTTCTCACCATCACAGATCCCATCTTTTCGCGTTTCCCACGAGCCTAAGCTCGCAGCGCAAAGCCCCATTCCTGAACCGCAATCCTCTCCCGCCCACAAGCCGGTGCAGCCTAAGAAGCAAGGTGCGATGTTCAAGATCGGCGACTCTTCTAGTAACGAGTCTTCGCCCCAGAGCCTAGATACGCGCAAGCCCGTGCCTCCACCTACCAAGAGACCCATGTTCGAGGTAGGCGTCGGCTCCTCTGGAGAAGATGAGGGTTCTTCCCTGAAGAGCGCTATGCACTCTTCTCGGCAAGGTTCCCTCCTTAGTGCACAGAAGAAACAGACGTCGTTCAACAACCACATCTCAACGCGGACAATACAGACTCCTAGCGACCAGTCGGACAGCTACATGGATGAGAGTGCCATTGACGATGACGACGAGGACTCGGAGTGGGAGGATTCTATTGAGGAGAGCGGCAAGTCTAGTGTAGATGATGCTGTTACATTCAAGCGGGTGCCATCGAAGCCGAATCTTACCTCTCAGCGATCATTGATCAGCCTGATGTTTGCCGGACAAGAAGAGCGAGCCAAGGGTCTCAGCAACTACGCCTCTCATTCGACTCCCGCCATCCCTCAACGTGCACGGGCTTTACAAAACCCATCAAACATGAACGTCGTCTCTCCCAACGATTCTGACAACGGCCTCGAGATGAGAAGGGGGGTACGGCATACGCCACTCAAGCCTATTACCGAAGTTCCTCGGTCTAGCGCGCAGCCCATCATGACAAACCAGCAGACCCACCACCACCACCAAGCAGCTTTGTCGCCTAGGACGACCAGAAGAAACATGCTCGCTACGGAATTGACCGAGTCGCTTCGTCGTCAACTCTTATGGGAACGACAACAGAAGACATCGACTGCCAATGCAGTTCTCAAGCGACGTCACACCTCACTTGACGTTGCTAACTTAAAACAGTACCCTGAAAAGGCCTATATGGCCAAGGGTAGGGAGGAGCCCAACTCGAGCAGCTGGAACCAATATTTCAGCCGCGACGACTTCGGTGGATACCATGCGCAAGGCTGGTAATTTTTCAAATTATTGCGGACATTTTCGGACATACCCTGGATCGAAGTGCGGGCGAAGCACTCGACGGCAGATCTCAGACTGCCCTGTACTTTATTTCCTTATCTTTTTTTTCGGAAGCATTGCGAAGGTGGTTGCTTTCTACGATACCGATTGCATTGCATGAGGCCGGCGTTTAATGATGTTGTTTAATCACGAGGCAATCCCATCGCCCATAATCACACACTACATGGTTAGCCGGTGGATTGGTCACCGAACCAATCACAGCAGCTTTGGGCCGTTACAGCGCATCGTTTGCTGCTTTCACGGCCCGCCCGAAACTCACAAAATCGTGTCTAGGGCACACTCGCCTTTAGTTTTCATGTTTATCTGGCACTAATCGGCGTTGCTACCTGGATGATACCACGGTCCGCATTTGATTTCGTCCTCCGCGAAGGACTGGCATTAGCTTTCTATTACTCATAGTGTGTATTTAAGGAGAATCAGAGGGCAACCTCACGAAGAATGGGGAAATGACCTAAAAAGGAGGGAAAATTAAGGAGTGTTACTGTCTTGACTCGAGACGGCGAAAAGGAGAAAAAGGTTTGCTAGCTACATGAGCTGCGCAAGAGCAGCGACCCGAGCAAACAGCCGGAAAGGGAAGACAAAAAAACCATGCGCCATGACTACAAAAACATAGTAAAATCTTGAAGGCCTAGAAAGTAAAAACAAGAATAAAACGTGTCCAAACACTCAAACTACTACTCTGTCTTCAACCGTTGCAACCTTGTGAAACATGCTACACTTGTTTTCCTGTTGTTAGGACAGGCTACTAACTAGTTGCAGATGAAGCTACAGGTGAGATGAGATGAGATATGCGATTTTACAAAGTGACGGTCAAGCTTTCCCGAGCTAGCATCTGGAGCTTTTCTCGATGCAGCCAAGTATGGTGAATAATGACATCCCAGCATGTGAAAACGAAGGAAACGTCAACGTCATTGGCGTCTCACCACATGCAGACCGGCGGAGATGAGTACGCTGGCATACACAATCGCCCTGTCGCCTCGAAGTTTGAACCATGGATACTCGACGGGAGATTGGAGGTTTACTTATAAAGAAACGCATTGATGCTATCAGTGCTACCGCATCTACCACGACCTTTTACCGGCTCTACTTACTGTAATTGATTGTATGATAGATAGCCACCCTTTCGAGAAAAGCTAACCGTGTTCTATCCAAATGATTACAGCAACGGCCAGGCCGAGTAACACCTATAGTAAGCAGTTAGAGGAATTGAGAATATGATCGATATCATTTATCCAGCAAATAGACACCTAGACGCACACGAGCCGGTGCGGGAACGTGACGCCATCTATTGACACCAAACACGGTTCCAAAGCGACAGCGACTAGTTCTTCGTAGCTACGTAGACGAAGCCCTAACCCACAGCGCAAGACGCGGAATGTAAGTCGAGTATGCAGATAGGACCCTTGATCGACCATCGGAGGAAAAAAAGGGCGACTATTGAACGACTTGAGCCCTGACGCAAAAAATGGGTATCCTTTCGACCTTTTTTTGTTCCGGAAGCGCAGGACCCTTTTTCTTATTTTTTTTTCGTTATTTTTCCTCATGTGTTATTACATAGTTATACCGCCTTGCCCGCATATTTCTTAAGACGTTTATAGTAACTGCCACTCCGAGCTCTGGACCCCTAACCTGAAGATCGCAGGATCGTCAGCCGCTCAGGGCCCTCCGTCCCGCGTTTTCGCGTCTCCTCATTCCCCACAAGCGATTGTCCAAGTCATCCCCAAAATCACCCCAAAAGTCACAAGAGCGAGCACGGGCAAGCAGAGCAAGGCTCTTCTCTATGTATGTATATGCTGGAGACGGGAACCGTGCCTACTACTACTGCGTAGGTAGTATAGTATGTACATCAGCTAAACTAATTAGGAATGGAGTTTTATCGGGATTTGCAGGATTGGGAATGCTTTTCCTGAAGGTACATTACATTGTCTGATTTGTGACGGGATATACTTGGGAACTTGCAGACTTGCATCTCGGATGCGCAGCGAGGGCATTCCCTCTGCCTTTTCCCTTTCCTCCACCCTCGTCTAGCTCGGCTGCATGATGCTAAGTGTACCGAACTGCATCACTACCTGACTTAGCTAACGGTGAAAAAAGTGCCATTGAAATTTGTTTCATTTCAATTTCTCTAGGCTAACTAGCTCTACGAATTGCTAGATTCGGTCTACGCACTTAGGGATCTCTATGCGGGACTGGTCCTGTATGTTAGATCCCTTCGACACGCCAAACTAGACCGCCCCTCTTTCTGTATCCCTTCACCCCCTCTATTTTTTTTCTCTTTTTTTCCCCTTCCAGGTTTCCCCATTTATATATAAATCACCTACATACTATGACCTAAGAGGTATACGTTTCGGAATTTGCGTTCCTGCGAACTACAAACGAGAACGGGGACTTTTTGCGATGCCCACCTTCCATCCGGGGGTTCAGTTGATGACGATGAAAAGCTAGGACTTTCTCAAAGCTCGACCGCAAAGGAAAGCGGGCCTCACTACATACATGGTGGACAATTGGGGAGATAGTTGGCAGTGCCCGCCCGGTGGTATAGGGCGGTGAGGCTGGTCGTTTAACAGACCTCCAAGTTATTTGGCGATGAGCGCATTGAAATAGCTATATGCTAGCTGGGATATACCCCGTCTTCGAAACCCATTCTGCAAGGCGCAAGATTGCTAGATTGTTTAAAACCGGCGAGATTACTTTAGTATAGTAGGATGACATAGTTAGTATAGTTATTAGTATAGTAAATCAGTCTACTTAGTCTACTTTGCTAGGACCTATTCAAAAAGCCAAAGCGTTGACTCACTGCTACCCATTGTGAATATATTATGTAAAATGGCGTATTGTATAGGATGAATAGCTTCATGCCGTTGTAACGATCTGTTAGACTATACCACGGCAGTGTCCCAATGGCGAGGCGTAGACTTTCTCAATGCAGAGCATGACATCGGATAGGATACCAATAGGATGTACCCCGCGGGGGCGGTAAGCGTGAAGCTCTAGCAGCTCGTCTATAATTATTCCGTTACTTATGCCTGGGTATCTGGTAAATGGTAAATGTTGACATATAAAACATAAATTCGATTTCTCCAAATATTCCGCGAATATTGTCATTGGTTGGGGATAGTGTCATAGGGGCTGCCCTCCGCGATTGAGTTGTCCGCCTTAGATACCCGCTGGGTTAGAGATAGTATGTATGTGTATGTGATGTATGTACTAAGTACGCTTGCATCTTGGTCTTAGACATTTCAGGACAACAACAACAACCACCGCCCACTTTCATGCATGACACCTTCACTGGCGATAGGGCTTATCGAGTAGTTATCGAGCAGTTATCGATGGGGAAAGGGAAGAGGGGTGGTAGAGAAGGGGGTGGTCGACCTGGTCAACCAAGACTCCAGCACGATGAGTTGGCCTACCACACCCTTTTGGAGTGTTCGCCGTCGCGTGCAAATCAGCGTTCGAGGAAGCGCCGCTCACCGACTTTTGAACGCTGCGCTAGACGACGGCATGGCTCCCCCGCGCGCCTGGTATCAGATGCTCAACTTTCCTGCAGAACGGCCTATGGGCGCATCTACGGCAACCTAACATCGACCACTGATACAGCTATCTGGAGATCACGACTGGCTGACATGCGCCCCCTTTTCTGGCCATGTTGATGATGAAGTTTTATTTATTTTTATTCTTTTACTTGTTGTGTGAAAGAGGGAATGAACAACAAAGACCTCTCCTCTCTCGGAGCCTTGGTGTTCCGGAATCACCTGCCCGGCTTCACGTCCACGAGCCACCGTACACGACTAGAGGGAGGTAAAGAAATCAACTAAAAAATGAAATAAAATATTTCAACGAAAATATAAAATATATGAAAAATAGAAGCCATCGTTCAAACGGTCAACCAACTAGCTAGCTAGCCACTTGCTATGCTAGGTAGGTACCGTAGCTATTATCAAAAACGCCTCTCGTCATCCAGTTAGGAGCTTCACCCCTCTCCCCCCCCCCCCCACCCGGGATGTAGAAAAAAACGGGAGGCGCTATTCTGGACCGTCTTCTTGGTGGTGGAGGCTCCCGTCCAGCATATGCCAGTCATTCTGATGTGGCGTCGTTTAGCATTCCCTGATGATATACATACACATGTAGGAACTAGACCGTCATGGAATTCCCGTACCTAAGGTACAAGAGCCCAGGATTTTTCAACCTTAAGGCAAAATCGAATCATTCGGAGAAAAAAATAATAATAACAATGCATATATATCTCGTGACGAGATGCTAAGGTACAAAAGCAATAAAGGACGGTTCCCATTGCCGCACGTAGCAAAGGCGTCATGGGCAGAGGCTGCGAAGGGAATTCATTGGGCGAAAGGGAAACCTGGATTGACGTTAAATACGAGTTGGCTCGAGTCATCGAGTCGTCGCCTAAACAGGCAAGACAGGTAGTATTAGGTATTAGGTATTATCTACCACTGCTCTGGATAAGCAGCAGCTGGGTAACAGATAGAGGAGGCCCGCTGACTTGAATAACCTACCAGAATATATGCATCAATGCGTTGTCAATTGTAGCTTGTGACGACCCAGCAGGGGACAAAAGACGAAATGGTCGAATATATCCCTATTTGATCTCATTATTTTTATTCTTATTTTTGTCGGATATTCCGTATTCGATATCTATTTCCAAATCCATTCGATCCCTGCGCATGCATCCAAATTTGTCAACCTCGTGGCAAGAGCCTTTAAACGGATCGCCGAATCAATGGCAATATAACAATATCTTGTTCAGATCGACTACGTCTTGTGGTCATCCAGACATATTTCATCATATGGAACTGGGTAGCTGGCTGGCTGAACGATTATGTGTTTGAAGACCTTGCTCTGCTGATCGGTCCTTTTTTGGATTTTCGTCGGCAATCATTCGGTTCAATTGAGGATATTTCGTTGCAGCTGGGAGGATTCAAATAATGCTTAAAATCGACCAATGTACCAAATCTGGACAACCGACCGCTTAAATTTAGCCGCCAAGTGATTCGCCACACGCGGAGAAATGGCCCCGCTTCTTTCTAGAAGACTTCTAGCGCCTCTCTATCAGGTACGTACCAACTTATGTAAGGCTATGGACAAGGTTCAATGTTATGAAGGCTGTGTGCATATATACAGAGGTACCTAACCTCCACAACTGACACTTTCCAGTTCCTTTGACAGGCTGCGGGACTCACGTGAGGTTCCTAGACCCGGTGGGGTCGGGTTCGGGAGCGAGAGAAATAGTGCTTACATAACCGGCTTTTAGCACATGATTTCAAGAAGATACGATTTTTCTTTACCCAGTCGACTCCACAACAACTCCAGAAAGAGACCGAGACGGTTTAATCCAGTTTCGGTATACTTCATCGGGATAGCGTACCTATGTACTCTTTGTAATAACACCGAAAAGATGCCCCCAAGCGAGATGGGATAAGGAGGCAAAACAGAAAGCCCCTCGCATGTGGTTACAGATAGAGAGGGAGAGAGAGGAAAAGCGTTGGGAAGAGGGAAGGTGAGGAAAAGAGGAAAGAGAAGGGAGACCAAACAACAACAACAACATCAACAAAACAACAAGCGAACGAGACGCGAAAAAGTGAGCACTCTAAACCCACCTTTTTGACTTTTCAAATAGCTGCTATGTTACGCGTCGAATGTAAGCCAGAAGAGGGGGTCGTATGGATGTAAGCTCTAGAGCAAAATAAGTTTGCCTCGTCTCTCCGCAATGTGCTAGCGATATTAGTCTCTAACTAACAGGAACTAACAAACACACAGAAGCTAATCACATGTCTGAACTTTGGGTGTCTGTGCCTACATAGTTATTTGTACAATATCGCACATACTTGTGTACATACACTTTAGCACCTTAGCACACATGTTTACATAGTAAACGTATCTGCGGGTCATTCCATTTGTCAGGGAAATCTTGATGTGCCGGGCCTCCCTTAGTCTTCGAGTCTGGGACGAGCCACGAAAAAACGGAGAAAGACGATTGAATCCAACGGCGTGGATAGACGTCTTGGTTTTAATACATATTAATACCTTTCAAGTTCCCCCTTTACCACGTGGGGCCGAGACGCCGGGACTTCTAGGCTGGTCTTGGTTCGAAGGTACAATGGTAGAGCTTGCTCGTACCATGGCCTATGTACACAAACCTAGCCCCTTGCCAAAGTGGAGCGTGCTAGAGAATTTCGCGGGTTGAGCAGGACGTCGTCATCATCGCCAATTGCAAAATTTCGAATCCCGTCGCTACACTAGAAGGGGAGAATTTTCCCATTCCCCTAACCAATACCGATTTTATTCCCTTAGTCCCCGAGGCTACAACGGAGAAGAGCCGCTACATCGATGCTAGGCGAATACATGTTATGTAAATCGGCAGCAGATCCCGGGATATGGCAGGCCACCACAGTTGGGTTCCGATGAGCCTCAACCTAGATCCCTAACGGTCTAGTTACACAGTCGCGGCGCGACCTACTTTACCTTTACGGCGCCGGTGAGGGTTTCTGGGCCCCGGAGACATGCGTGACAGAGGGGCCGCGGAGGCTCGCCGGCAGAGAGGCATGTAACGTTGGTCTTACAATGGAACGCCAGCGACGAACCTCTCTCTATTAATTATGTAACAGAATACTAGTGTAGATGAGAACTGACAAGTCAATTACATTGTCAGATACTTCGCTCTCGGTAACATTAGCCTCATGTGAAGCCTCATGTGAATTATCAAAGACTCACCACGCACGGCTGAAAGGAGCATCCATCGCAGCAGAAGTAGGCCAACCGGGTTATTAAGATCATAGAATATTCATCCTCACGTGTTTCCGTAACTCAAAACTCACTGCTAACGTATTCACCCCATGGGCACGGAACCCAAAGAAAACTTTAAACTCCCATAAAAACATTGACTAGGTACTTATTCCCTTATTTTTTTTTCTTCACCCCTTAAACCCGGTGTACGCGGGATATTTTTACTCGAGCTTAATTATCCCGAATTTATCGAATATTTTATCTACCAATTGAAAAATTCGCCCTCTCTTCTAGACGAACGCTAGGTAGGTACCTACCTAACCTTACGGTCCTTCTGATTGAGTTTCGAGCCGCGTTAGAGCGGATCTCTAGTTAGCCCCCTCCGAAACCAAAACTCTGGGAAGGATACATGCCGTGGTAGACCACCCTCTACTCCCTAGCAGGGCTACAGCCTCGTTCGTGGACCCCTCTGGACCACCCACCTAGCGAGCAGAGTTCGCGAGCTACCGCTCGCGCCGTCAGCTGACTACGTAGACGCATTACGCGATCTCTCTCCCTCTCTCTCCGGCACGCCGGGCCTGGGTTCGATCTGGGTTTCGATCTACGATACGCGGGCGAGGCGAGGCTGGAATCTTGGTTCCCCCTTTCCACCATAGTGCCGCGACGGAGGAGTCGTGCTCTTGACTAATAACGCCGATGCTAACCCAAGATTCCCCGTCCGCGCTTGCGGGTGGAGGCCTCCTCGCGATGATGGCATAGGGGTCCAGTGACTCCAATCTAGACACTAGATAGCTACTACGATCCTCACGGCCGAGTTCCAGTACCGACAGGATGGCAAGGCGCTAGAGATAGCAGACTGTAATAAATATCCCGTTGACGACATTTCCGTTCTTGAAAAGGGGGGGAGGAGGGGTCACTAGCCACTGCCCCAGATCTACACAGACCCGACCTATGATTCTAAGGTTTCGCTAGCTCCCGGTTTCTCCCAAGGTCAGCTGGGGAACGGCGAGGCTATCTTTCCAAAAGCACTTACTACCTACCTAGGTAGGCTGTCCTTAACCGCGCTCCCAGATGGAGAGGACGGGCATCTATGCCGAGATAAGAGGAGCTTCGCTGGCTGCTTTCACCCATCCCCACGAGGGGGGGTTTTCGTCATAAATTTAGCTGCTTGGCCGTGATAGCCGTCGGGTTTAGTCGCGAGGTTGTTCCTAACTCCAAATTCTAGATCTCGCATCTCCACGCACTATTCAATCTGTCCGGGTTCATTAGCGAGCTCTGGGAGATCTACATGAGCGGTTCGTCCGCAGAGTCCAATCATTTCGGATACGAAATGTAACAGTCGCATGAAAGGAGTCACGAGTTTGGTACTAAGCTGGGAGGCAGGGGAATTGAGAGATGGTAAGTTGAAGACTGGGCAATGTCGAGTAGGTAGTTGGTATTGCACCGTTGATGTATGTGTCATGTGAAAAGGCAATGAGATGAATTCCCCAAATATAACCAAATGGGGGTTACTACTACTGGATAGGTATAGCATTGCATTTAAGCTGCTGGCCACTCCATTCTGATATTAAAACACATGACCATCGTCAGCGTATCATGCCACCTCAGGGGTTTATAAGTTTACTAAATGCGACCATTAACAGAGTGCCGCACTCGTTCGCATCTAAAGTTATTTGCGAACACACCATGAAATACACGCTGTATCTGGCCTTCTCCCAGGATTGAGGGAAGTAGTTGCCCATATGCTGGCATGTGATGGCAGGTGCATCACCTTTACAAACCTGTACCATGCAGCAGGGGCCCTTCATATAGTTTCTGTACCCCTGAGGAGCATTGGATATGGGCTGTGAAATGAACAGGTTAAGGATCGTATGAGAGCTCAAGGTGGAAGAAGTGTAAGATGGGATGTCCCGTTTGTCAAACTGTTGTATGATGGATGGCACCGGATGTACACCCCTACCAATAAAATCCATGAAATGGAGTAACAAGGGTTTAGATGCTGGTTAGGAATGGAGAAACATATCAGAAGCAGAGTATCGAGATATATCAACAATATAAGTTCTCTAGTGCTCCTTCGAATGACTCCCTGCGGTGAGTTTATCTAGGCTGTCGATTGATTTTTGAATCATTCTCGCCTTTTGAGTTCGCTCTCGATTATATTGTAAAACCAAACAGGTAAGTTTGCGAAGCGATTTGGGCTTCTTATAAGACAGCTTATCCGGGTAGGGATATCATGAAGCACGTATGAAGCGACATGTCGAGCTATGATCCCAATCTTAACTGAAGATACTTTACCTGAGTCATAACGGCATTGGGGCTTAGGGACCTACATGTAGGCATTTGTGTAGGCCTAGCTCGGAGAAAACTGTGTATGATTTGAATTCGTTATAGATACCTATGATCATGATATAAAAAGTCGAAACGCTACGAAGAGCAACATACAGGGAGATATCAGATAGGATCAGAATAAGTAGGATAATTGCAACAAGACGACTCATATGTGGTGGCTTTGACCAAAGAACCCGCTGATATAAGGAGACGTGAACATCACTGATCCACAATATTCCAAAGATAGGAGAAGAAAATGAATTAACCGGATCTTCAACTAAAACAAAGTAGGTATCTTCGTAATCCATCCACCATTACGTGGTGAAGCCTGTAGGAACACCCGCAATACGTGGTCTGGCCAGTCCGTCACTTCACACCAGGATCGAGCTCAATGATACCTACCATCGAGGTTCACCACTTTCCACCTTCGGCGTTATGACTGCATTTCTATCAGCGAAAGGGTCATTTTCATCTTCATCCTCCTCCGAATCTGGCTCGGGAATTGTGTGTAAAGATATCGACGGCTTGGATGCGGCAGATGGTCGCGGAGGCGGTACGGGCCTAGGCGGATGGCTTGGATTCATACTAAGTTGAGCCATGTCTGACACAGGGCTTGTAGGAGGTGACATTTGCTGTTGGTGTTTCTCAGACGCCACTAAGAGATGTAAGTAATAAGGAAGGTAGAAGTTTCATGCGGCAGTTGGCTTACTCCTATAAAGGTGCGCTTGCTCTGCGAGCTCGTCCTCGGAATCACTATCAGCGTCGATTGAACGATCTAGCTGCTCATATGTCATAAGGGCGACGACAAGTTCATCATTAGCATGAAGAAGGCCACCAAGCCATGACTCATCTTCAACATGGTGAATCTATCGAGGTAAGCCAATGTTCATAAGTAAGATCAGTTGCAAACGTACATAACGTAGTATTCTCCTTCTCAGCTTTTTGCAAATCTCGAATCGGTCCACGACTATGGGATTTTCCGAGATCCGTTCTTGTTCTCGATTTATGCTCTGAAGGGAGTTCATGAGATTGGTAGCGGCGATCGAAGACTCCGCGATTGCAACTTTCATTGCATCCTTCTCGGCTTCAAGGTTAAATGCTTTATGCTTCTTCTTGCTCTTATCCTTTTTCTTCTTATCCTTGGAAGAAGTAGAGAAGAAACTGGAGTTCGATGGTGACTTGACGTGGCCGGGCGATGGGCTAGCTGGGGCAGGCTGCCGCGAGGACGAAGCCACAGATTTAGGGCTTCGACGCCCTTCAGCTTCTTCTTCGGAGTCACGAAAAGGATCCTCCGTTTCGCGAAGGACTTTAGATTGTGCTTGAGTGACGACTTGTTTACGGCGTGGAAGTTCCTGGTTCGATTAGATCTTAGAGCCCCTCATCCAAAGGGAGCTCTCTTACCCTATATAGCATAGCAATTCTTTCGAGGCCCGGTGTATTCTTGTACTCTGAAGCCCAGCTTCTGAACAACTCGGAGCATTTCTTCTTGACATCGGGATCTGATAGATCCGAGGTGCCGCAAACTCGTAAGCGCTCAAGAAGTGGCTCGTCAATAAAGGTTCGCTGGAAACGTGGACCAGCATTCTGAATCAAGCCGTCAAGAAGCACAAGAGACCTTATCTGCCTATGGACGCTGCCATACTTCAACTTTTTCCTAAGGGCACGAGCAGCCTCTGCAGGACCGGAACTTTGTAGCTTGATAACCTCGACTAGGTCGGGGATGCCACTGAGGTCATCCTCTTCAAACTGCTCGCTGGTGAGGCGCTCAACCGTCACCGTGACAGCCGAATATGGCTTTTTCTATTTAAGACGTTAGTATCATTCGTATATGAATATTGGATGTTTGCTTTACTGCGTAGTGTATTTATGGTGAGTTGAAGTGAGGGTTAATATGAAAATACATAGGTATTAAAATACCTGAGACAGACAGGGGTACCGAAGCTGCAGAGATTTAAGCAAGGCATTGCATGCGCATAGAACTCACCTGGGAGAACATGTTTGCGGGCGGCACCTGGTTAAGGAGACGCTATGACGTTCTGACGTCAAAAGGAAGTAGATTCGAAAAGATTGGGGGCCTGGAAGAATCGTAGATGGTTAAATGGATTTCAAGAAGTTCGCGATCATATGTGATAGTGTCACAGCCTTATGATAGCCAAATGAATATGGAGGAGGCGTAGCCTTTAGTTCCGACAAGGCTTCCGGGAATAGATCACTGCTGAATCATCCGTCTGTGATCCTACACGGAAGTGTGCCTGATTGTAGGACCTAGGGCTGACTTGACTTCCTTAACAGGGAATGTCGGAACCTGCTTGCAGTATGCAATGACTAGCGTGCTGTATTCGGCCCTGGCAAGATGATTCTATCTGACGTTTTCTAGAAGAACGGAATTTCGATCGACGGATGACTCGGACGAGATGGGTGAATTCACCACCGGTAATTGGTATTCAGCAAGCTTGTGAGACTCAAGCTGACGACGTCGATTCGAACGTTAGGTAGGAAACTGTCGATAGCCGATTGTTGACTGGGGGCGGGGTGAGATAATTAATCGTGTTACAGTGGTGGCGCCTTTCTTTTAAACGAATTACCTAAATTAGTGGCTCCTCATTGAATTATTTCACTATCGAGGCTTCCTCGTTTTAGAAACTGCCTCCAGCATAATTCCCAGCTGCTATAGGAGCTGTGGGAGCAATTTCCTTATTCGAACATCTATAAATACTCTAATTGCCCAATCTTACGTAGCTCTAACCTTATTTTAGCTACTGTTATTCCGTAAACTCTAGTAAAGTGTAATTAGACCCGCAAGCGAATAATCTCATTCATCCATCTCTCACCTTCTTACTATGGAATATCTTCATTTGTGCGCGAACGGTTTCACGCTAAGTATTCTCGAAACGGAAACCTGGATCTCTTCATAATGCAGGACTATAATCAGCCAAATAGTCGATCCTGTTCGCTCCCGAGAAATCTACTACAGGAAACCGCAGATGCCACAGACGAAAGACTAGTTCTCACTAGTGAAGAAGAGCTTTTCCCAGACGTTAATACGTGCGACGGCAAAATTGATTCTGTTCCCTTGTATCATCTTCGTAATGTCTTCACGCCAATCAATGACCGGAAACCTTCGCTGTTCCAAACAGCTACTGGCTCCTCTGTTCATTCTGGCCCAATCTGCACTATCGACGAACAGACGCAAGATCGCTCTTCAGAAACTGCAGCTTCAAAATGTCAAGCTCAAGGATCTAAACGTAATGTGATGGCATATGAAGAAAGTCGTGATGCAAAGCGTCCCAAACACCAGCTGCCTCTGCTTGCTACACCGTCTTCTAGTCCTTTCCAAACCCTCAGGGTCACGAAAGCTAGAAGTGTAGGCAATAATGTCTCTCTCCTGAAGTCTGCAAAATACCATGACGGCCCCCATGGTCAAGCTACCGATTCTCACCTTCCGCAAGGATGGAGTACGGTGGATGCACTAACGCCGTATCCTACTCGGAGACAGGAAGAATTTGGGAACCAGCTCAATAATGATTCTGTAGTCGAGTTAGCAAATAATTCAGATGCAACAAGCAGACCTCCTTTGCCAGTAAGTAGCTTAAACGCCGCCGACGATGCTGATCTTAGAGACGAATACCCCCTAGACGATGTCCTGAGGGAGGAAGATATGGCTTCTCTTCTCAACACAGCTGCGAAGAATGTCAAAGAGACACATATACCCCCTTCTAGTGTCACCCAAGGATGGGATCATGATTCAAGGTCGGCGGTTGAGTATGATCCGACTTTACAGTATTCATCGCCTTTTTCTTCAGAAAAACCGAAAAGTTCCCAGTCCATGAACATGGATGGAGGGCCTCATAATGGCGAAGAGGATCTTCTCGACGACGACGTCGATTGGAATGCCGTGTATGCCATAACGAGTACTATCCCGAAAGGTTCGTCGGCTGCTGGTCCTCAAGATATAGTCTACCCACGGCCAACCGGTCAAAGTACTTACGCGGAGAAGTCTGTCGAGCACAACCATCATGTAGAAGAAACGATACCTTTGAAGCCATTTGTTCGACCCCCTTTTCCCGAAAAGATTCATGATCGCTCTACCGTATCGGGATTATCCTCGGATACTCTGTTGCGGACTTGCTTTCGAATAGGAGAGATGGTAAACCAAGCAGCACATTGCCTAGGTCATCAACAAGAGGCAGTCTTTGAGTTATTTGCGAGAGTCAATTACTCGAGCCGGGAGAGTCTCCAAAGAAGACAGCACTTTCAATTTATCGACCTTTTCAAGGACCAACGACCATACCCTGCAGGCGTTCTCACGAACTGGAGAGTTGGTGGTCAACTAGATCGCCAAAGTTCGGCGTTTCTAAATGTGAGTGCCGAGCCAAAGATTTGCCGCTGCATATGTAAGCCGATAAGAGACTCAAAGACTACAATCGGCTTGAGTCTGGTTGTTCTCGCCATTAGAGAAAGCGACTGGATGCAGATTAAATGGACGAAACAGATACTTTGTGGGGGCCCGGATGCCGCAAACTAGGACTTCTGCTCCTCGAAGGCTACAAATAATACACTAGAAGGTGGGCTGATGGGATGATGGATGGATGATATATACGGGCTGGTACCTATCTGAATGCTGACCGGTTTGCTATGGGACAGGTGGGGTGAGCTTTGCAGATGTCGTACAGGACGTCAATTAAGTAATTGATGTACCTAATACGAAGAAATCATCCACTCATATCGTAGATGTACATACGAAATAGATCGATTGCTGATAGAACTCGAATAAAAGAGCCACATACTGCTGATCTCCGGTGGTATATGATTCAATATAATAATGCGGAAGAGATAGAGTCAATAGCTGCCGTCTGGTTCAGGTCTGCCACTAAATTAAGAGGCGGGCATTTTACAAGGGGAGGTATCGTTAAAAAAGTGTTGCAGGTATTCCACCAAACCATGAAAAATCGTTACCTCTAGGACTCCAGGACTGGCGGAGTACGGAGCTGTAGGCAGTAGTTAGTGACACAGACCGTATCGTGGCGCCTCGGGTCGGGGATTCAATAATAGGGGTTACGTAGCTAGGGAATTCTTGCCGGGTGCCCTGGTGCCTTGGTATGGTAATCTACAGTTGTCTTGGGGCTTCATATTTCTATTAGAAGACTCCAGCTGAATAAAACGGCAATGGGATACTGATGACTCTATCAAATAGATACCTATTGTGAGGTATGTTTGTGAATGCGAATGTAGTACATATATCCTACCTACATACTGGGTATGTATGTAATAGTAGGTGTATGTAGGAAACTGGAGGTGGGCCCCCCGGTCCTAGTCCCCGCTCTTGCCCTTGCCCCTGCCCCTTACGTCGAATACCTCTGAAGTTTCTCAACGCCATCACGTGCTCGCCTCCACATCTCCACAAGTCTCTACTACCTAAATCGCAAGCTCCATTTGGGCTCGGAAGTTCAACCGACACTCAACCTTTTTTTATATGACAGCACAATCGGGGAAGTATTGTCGTGTTCTCATCTCAATCATCTCACAATCGCAATCGGGCGACCTTTAGATTGTGACAAGATTTATGTGAAGTGAACGGGAACTTTTTTTTTCTCGTTCTTCCAAGGCTTCTATTCTTGACCATAAGATCTCGGCATTTATTCCGACGTTCAGGGTCCCTGTCATCCATCATTCATCTGACTTGTCAATTTCGGGTAGTCACCTTGACACTGAATTTTCAATAATCATCATTCGCAGGATCGTGAATTGAAACAGCGCTAATTGAAATTCATCCAACCCGAATTCAGACGGTGGCTTTTTTTTATACACGCGGCGCTGTGTTGGATTGCCATTACGCCTAGGTCGCATGGGATCCTCAATGATGTTAAACGGGTCAGATCCCACTGCTATTACAGCAGAAGCATCAAGTCGACTTAATCATTATTTCCAAGTTGATAAGGAGAGGCAGACTTTCATCCACGTACGTTTCCTACAATTTTCATGATTAATGTCATACCCGCCTATGATCCGCTGGTGGGATTTCGGTTTGCTAATATGGTCCTAATAGAATATCCTCGAAAGAGTCGAGGCCGATGCTAAGAAGATTAATGAACTTGAACTAGACCTGGAAGATCAAAAGTCTTCTCGAGCTAATTACCAAGCAAAGGCTATTAATCTTGAGAATGAAGTGCGGAGACTCGCACAACAGCTTGTCCGTCCCATCATCTCGTCTTTGGGATATCTTTTTTTGCTAATACCCGTAGTAGGATAAGGATTCATTCGTGGTTGTGCTTATTGATGGCGACGGGGCTAAGTTTGCGGACGAATATCTGCGTGACCCCATGTCAGGGGCAGAGAGAGCTGCGATTAAACTGAAGCAAGCTGTTCGAGAGAGCCTTAGAGACACGGGGGCCGACCTAGAGGACATTCCTATTCTTGTCCGAGTATATGCGAACCTGAATGACTTGTCTAAGTCATTACGCCTGTCCCGAGTTATTGATTATGACGACGACATGCGCTTGTTTGCAGAGCGTTTCACCAACAGTCGTGCGGAATTTGACTTCGTTAACGTCGGCAAGGGCAAAGAGAACGCAGACTCCAAGATTAGACGTACGTACCTCTCAATGACGAGATTCTCATCTCATCTTCAAATTTACTCACACGGTTTAGGTATGCTTAATCACTACTACAGAAACATCCAGTGCAAGAAAATATTTCTGGCTGGATGTTGTCACGATAATGGTTATCTACACGATCTTCGTGACTATACGGGATCCGTCGATAATAGGCTCGTACTTCTGGAGACTACGCATGCAGAGCCAGGATTTAGGGCTCTCGGCTTTCCTATCTTACGTTTCGATGAGGTTTTTAGGTCAGAGCCTTTGGGGAACGAGACAAAGCATATTCTTCCGAATATGCCTCCTAGGCCTCGTTCACCCGTACAGCCTTCTCCTGGACCGGGTCCGATTGCGCGACCTACGCAGCCTACGCCGAAGCAGACCATGGTCGTCTCGCCTACACAAGAGCAAAGACAATCTCCTATACCTACTTCTACCCCGGTGTCTGTTAGTACATCGTCGCCAGTACTGCCTTCCTCTACGCCCGAGCAGCAACCCAATCTACCACCTCGCACGTCGAGTGTAATTAGCTCCGGAAATGGCGGTACCTCTATCAGCTATGCGACGGCAGGCGGTGTCAACGACCTTCAAAATGTCACGGTTAAAGCACCCAAACCAAAGAAGCAGCCTAGGGTTATATTTTATAATATGGATAACTACCGTATTGATTCGCCTACGCAGCACCCACCCAGGACCCCTGCGCAGTCATCTTACCAGGCCAAATTCCAGGCCATCAAACCATCCGTTTTCTGCAACGACCATTACCTCAAGGGTCGTTGTAAGTGGGGCATTGGTTGCGACAAGACCCACGACGCTGAGTTAACCGGACCGGAACTTGCCATTCACCGCTACAAAGCTCGAACTAGCTTATGTCCGGCCGGTCCATATTGCGTCGACTACGACTGCTATTTGTCCCACCATTGCCCTCGAGCGCCTTGTACTCGTGGAGAGATGTGCCCGTTCTATGATACCGAGAAGTGGGGAGATCTGCATTTAACTAAGGACCAGCTTCAACCCGCGTAAGTTAATACCCCTGGTGACCCTCCGGACCGGGGTCTAGACGCCGGTAGTTCTTAGGTCGAATGTTACGCTGACGTTTTTATTTATAGCACTCGATGGACCGAAGGCATTGATCTCCCCGAGCACATCTAACCTAAGCCAGCTCAGGCAAAAGGAAAACGGGAAACAAAAAACGACATCTTAATCGGTTTTCGTTTTTTTTACTACTCTATGTTAAAATTTAAAACACAAACGAACAGAAACAAGGGTGGAAATCTGTTCTAGTAAGGTGGAAGGGGTCGGCTACAGTGGCTTGAGATATATATATATTTTTATGGGGGTGGATCTCTACTCCCTTCTCCTTCTTTTTTTCTTTCAAACACCCTGAATGGAAAAAAAAAGAAACACGGAGTCAGGGTGGGGGGAGGCAGATATTCTCTGATGATGCGGGGGTTTTACGAAGAACTACGATTTGACCTTGATGGTCGCTTCTCTTTATCGGCTAGCTAGCTAGCTCTAGCTACGCCGCTTATTACAAATTGGCACAAAGTACCCGAATTAAGACACTCATTTACATTTACTTATCTACCTAGGTATCTAGGTAATAGTCTCTTATCACTCTAAAGATCTAAGCCCGTGCTAGAGTACCGATGAAAATAATCACCTAGGTCTATTATTACTACTGCTGTTGCTGAGGGGGTATCTCGTATATTGAATATTACCCTGCCCCGTCCGTCTGTCCCCCCCGATCCTTAATTATTATCACGCATGTACGCTATCGGATGCGGCGCGGGTGCCTTCTCCTCGTTCTGGCGCTCCTCCTCCTTGACCTCGCCCAGCGCGGCCTGGCCCGACTCCGCCTTGACGAGGGCCTGCAGCTCCTCCCTGAGCTTCTGCTCCAGCTTATCCAGGATCCACTCCGCCTCCTCGCGCGTGTCCATCAGCGGGCTGCGGTGCCCGACCCAGCTCCACTTAGAGGGCCTGTCTTCGGCCGCGGAACCGGGACCGCTACCGGCGCCTTGCTCGTCGCTGCTACTGCTGCTGTTGTAATTCTCGGAGGACTGGCTGGCGTCTTTGCGCAGGCGGACGTGGGGGTGGAGATGAGGGTGGACCCGAGGATGCGGGTGAAGATGCGAGTGCGAGCGAGCGTGTCCACCGTGTTGTTGTTGTTGATGCGGCGGTCGTCTCTCGGGCCGGCGGTGGTTTTCGGCGTTGCCTTCGTCTTCGCCTATGAGCCTAAGATACCACGCCCTAAATAGTATTTCCGCGTTAGCACGGCGACTTACATTACCTAGTCGACGAACTACCTCAAACTGTCCCAATGCCTCGCCTCCTATCCTTAGAAACGGATGGAAGGCTGTAGACGAAATGGTACATGGTACATAGGACGACGTTTCTGTGGGAGGCGAAAAACGACGAACGCCTCGCGGCGGGGTCGCTGAGGGGTAAGGCCTATCGGAGAGGCGGATTTTCACTTACCACTCTTTAAAGGTGTACTCGCGCGGCGGCGAGTGCCGGAGGTGCTTAGTCACGCGCGAAATTTCGTCGATCAGGACGAGGTGGTATTCGGCGCGGGATTTAGGGAGCTCGGTCGGCAGGCTCTCTCTCGCTATCGAGGGGGCTCGGCTGTGCGACATTGATCTCGATCGTGATTTGTTCCTAGAAGGCGACGGTTTAGATGTAGATTCTTCATCTGTGAAACGTATCGTCGGTACGGATGTTGGCCCTTTCCCTGGCTCTACTTCTCCTTTCTCGGCGTCCTTGTCGGCTATACGATGGCTTTCTGCATTGTTTACTTCGGTTGTATCGGAGGAACGCCCTCGTTCATCCTCAGCCTCATCGTCTCCATCATCCTCGTCGTCACCCATGTCATCTTCTTCATCCTCATCGTGATCAGTATGTTCATTAGCCGCTCCGAGGAAACCAGGAGGAGATTCTTCGATATCTGTATCCACGAATAAAACTCCGCATGATAGTTTCTTTAGCACCTGTTTCATCTCTTTTCTAAAGCCATGCTCTCCAGGCAAAATCGTGATATTTCCAATGACTAGTGTCCCATCTTTTACCCCCTTCACGATAGTGTCACCTGCATTCGATATAAGAACGGTCATCGTGGGTAAGGCGAGGAGAGACCAGAATACGAAGAAAGCCTTGGCTGAATTTGACACTGGGGTGAGATCACCGTATCCGACAGTCGTCAAGGCCGTGAATGCGAAGTAGAAGCCATCGAAGTAAGACCATCCTTGATAGGGGGCCTCGCATTCTTGAAAGATTTTGGCACCTACAAGCCAGAGCAGGATCCATGTAGTTGAGGACACTGCCATTGCAGTCCATCGCTCTCGTTTTGAAGCTCTACCACGTATTAGTTTCTAACCAATAAGCAGGAGAATTCGCTACCCAGATGGATCTGAATATCAAAAAGGGGCGGTAGATGGTGGCTGAAACCCCTATGATCCGCAGCTCCCTATCACGGGAGTTCCGTGGATAATAAGGAATTGATACTTACTACCCATGATTAGCATATGATCAGAAAATATTTCGCGATTTAGAGTGGATCCTCTTGTACATACCTGTCGTTGGACCTTTCGCATTAAGTGGAATTCCTTCCGGCGTCGTTCAAATTCGGTCCATTGAGCTCTCGAAGATGCCTCCGAACCTCCACCGTTCACCGGATCGAGAACACCGGCATTTCCCTTCTTCATCATGCGCCGGATTAATAGACGTCGCTGTCGTTCTAACATCCGCGCATCGAGTCTGTGTTTGCCACGATCAAGAATCATGCTTCGAATTGATCCGATCACGAGACCGAGACTGATCACACCAACCAGGGCATACGGAACGAGAAGGCCACGGCCAAGTTTCGTCTGCGGAGATATGTCGCCAAACCCTACCGTGAAAAGCGTGACATCCGCCCAATAAATAGAATCGAGATAATTCCAACCCTCGATCTTAGAGAAGATCAAAGCACCCACGAGAAGGTACACTAGAAAAACGATAGTCTGAAGCATAAGCGTCCTCTGACTTGCCGTCAAATCAAAATCTTTGCTATAGTGGCCATTGTCTGCGCCCCAGACAGTGATTACCATGAGAGAGGCCACAATAAAATAGAGGATAGCTGCGTACATGCCGTAGTAGAAGGCTTGAGACCAGACATATTCGATCTCGGGTTGGATTTCCAGCGGACCAGTTGCGGTAGCGCATAAAGCGACAAGGCAGATGGACGATATGTACCAGCCGACTATGGTTATAGGCTGGGCGATGGAGAATCGAACTCTCTTGGTCATGTTCAACAAGAGGAACACGTTGGCGACTAGGGCAATAACCAGCTGGACGGCGTTCACAGCCAAGAGCCATGGTGGGTCATTAACGTAAACAGCTTTGGTGACGTCGGATCCTGGTAGAATATGCTGTCTCCAATTCCTCACAAGGGCGCATATACTGAAAGCTGAAGCTACAGGACCAAGCGTACCAGCTATCATGGGGAACGCGGCCGAAGCGAACCACCAACGGCTATTCATATGCCAACTCGGTCAGTATGATGTAATTTTCGACGAGTAAAAGCAGCATGGATTCCTCACCTAGGATCAAGATAAATCTGATCGTTCATGGCGCCATCATGGGGGACCTTATCGTGCTCGAAGTCATCGACGACCTGGGCTTGCTCGTCGATGTTATTACCAAGATCTGCATCGTCCATCTCTATTTTATGAGCAGTCGCTCATGTTTAGGTTCCAGAGTGAATTATAGGGTCGCGGAGAAGCCGGCAAAGACTTTCGAGTCGATACATGCCCTTGCCCTTTCTACCTCGGTAATTAGTCCAGGTATCGTATGCTTTAGTATATGCTAATTAGTGTTAAACAATAATGTATATACAAAATATAATTAGAGTTCTTGGCTTCGAGTGCCATGTTTAAGATCGTATGTAAATATAGTTACGGGTATAAATGATAACAGATACAAAGGAGGGTCAGGCGATGGAGTGTTTAATGTGACATGACGTCGCTTGGCATCGATCGCAGAGCTAATGGCCACCGTTAGTGTCCGATCTACTGGGGTAGGGGCGTAACGATTTGCTGGAATGCGACGTGATTGGCTCCTTGTGGCGTTTCGCGCATGGCTATAACCTCCACTCAGCCACTAAAGCCACTAAAGCCGCTAAAGAACTCAATTTTCCTATGGATCAATCCCACCTCATTTTTCATCACTCGACGCGTCAAATACCGGTTGCATTTAAACTTTCATCGTCAACGATATGTGATCGCATGAAGTCACGTGCATATATACATTCATCTCGCAATATTCTTTCTCTTTACCATAACTCATATCGAATCGATGCTCCTTGAAGGGGCAGCCCGACGGTAGAGGGAAGATGAGAAGATGGATCCCGACTAGAGGTTCAGTATTCTTAAGCCTTCGTGGCCGGAACTTAAGCCGCTCAAGATGCTTTAGCATCGCTGTCAATGATGTAGAACGAGTGAGTTTTAGCAACGGCTCTTCTGGAATTGTCACCATCGAGTAAGTAGCCTTACAATTCACACATAGATAACTATACTTTTATACTTTTATTCCTAATTTGTGACCGAGTGATTAGTCTACATAATACTGCCAAGGTGTCATCACCAGACCCCTTATTGATATATCTACCGCCATTCTCAACAGCTTTTTCAGATCGGCCTGCGGAATTGCCAAGGTTTATCCAAAGACGGCCAACTGCTGTGATAAACTACCGTTGGGCTGGCTATCCCCCCTCCAAGGATACAGCTACACGTTCATCGGACTCTACCACGGAGTCAGCAGAGGATGAGGATGAATGGTCTCATCTCGCTTGGCCAGCCCCTATTCACGATACAACAAGGGCGTATGACTGGATCTTAGATAATCTTAGCCCATCCGACGATAGACGTCGAGATATTTACGTTTACGGCTCTTATCTCGGCGCCTCACTAGCAACATCGCTCACCCTAACAGAAACTCACCCTTATGCAACGATGGGTATTCGAGGATGTGTCGCCTATAACGGGATATACGACTGGACTACCTTCCTCCCGGACCACCCAATCTACCAGCGTCGCAAGGTGCATGAACTAGACCGGATCTTCGGCCCGCTAACGGAGGGCCCCGAGTTCCAAGATCTGGAGCGACACGCCGAAGCACTGTTCGAAAGACCCGGGAACTTCTTCGACCCCTTCGCAAGTCCGTGCCTCTTCTACCACACACCGGGGCTTTTCGTGCCACCGAATTTCAAGTCATCAGCTCTCTTGCCGAAGGGATTACAGCCGGAAGACCTAGCACTATTGCCGAGAGACGCGCCCGAATTCTACATGCCCAGGAAATCGCCGAAGGAAAGCCCGCTTTCTTTTCCGCCGGACAGGTTGACGTCGACGATCCTGGAGGCGTTGCTGCTGCACTCCGCGCCGCCTCCGTTGCCTCCGTTGCCGCCCTCGTCTTCGAGGAGACAGCTGAGGCGCAAGCAGAAAGTACGGAATAATTTCCAGACGCAGGCTGAAGATCTTGCTCGCTGGATGCGGCGCCGTGTCGATAAGGAGGAGCTGGGGGAGCGCATTATAGGGGATGACGGCTCCGACAGCTGGGACATTGAGGCCGCTAAAAGGATTCAACTTCAGGTGGTGGGGTTGAGTAATGGTGACTTTGAACTCGGTAGCAAAGGAGAGGAATTAGCTGCTGCTTGGTTAGATGACCATATGGGGATTTTATAGTCTAACTGAATACATCATACTCTTGTTATACAATGCCTACTGAACCTAGGAGACTTAATCAAAACTCTAATCACAGCTCTGGGTTACACACAACTATGTATAACGCATTCCCCTCGTGCATTTCTAATTTCTTGTTGCTAAAACCACTAAATTGAGTTCAAGTAAAGTCGATGTTTCCGAGTTCTTAAAACAATCCCTATTCCAAAGCCGCCTTTTCCACCGTAAGCTCATCTAGTTCCCACACTGTATGATCACACTGTGAAATAGAGTTATCCGTTCTAAGCTAACCGCTTATTCGCAGCGCCCCACCCACCCTATCCGAGTAAGCCCTTCGCTAACCGGCGCCCACTTTCGCACTGTCTCGAACAGTCAGCAGCGCACTGGGCTACATAAGCCACCGTAAGGCGACGTTTCATCATCCACCGGCTTGATGGTCTAGTGGTAGGATTCTCGCTTTGGGATCATGATCAGCATGGTACAAGCTTGCGAGAGGTCCCGGGTTCAATCCCCGGTCAAGCCCTTCCTTTTTCGCTATTTCTCATATCTAGCCAGATATTCGACGTTCTTTTTATTTTCTTATTTTTCTTGAAAATTAGCGCGTATTTAGAAGACATTGGAGTTAGTGAGTGGTCGTTGGTTCGTTACTGCTACGAGTGCGTAAAACTTCCAACAACGTTATGCATCACGAATTGGTTTGATTAAATTCCTCTCTGTATACCTAGATACTCGATTTTTTTATTGATGATAAAAATTACTTGCATTCCACTCACGAGTCTATTTGACTCGACTTGAGAAATATAGCAAACATGTTGCTCTGGGTTATCCTCCTCCCTCATACTCTTACCAAGAACCACCGCCCGTTAGAAACTCCATCAATTGGCATAAAAACAAATCGCTTGGGCTATAATCACGATCTCATTATCGAGTTTATATTCCAAGATATAATCTCCTATGTATATATGGTACACGTAAAACCAGACCTTGCTTAGCATGCCAATTCCCTCCCGCTTATACCTAGGTAAAACCCATACACAGATCTCTATATGTAACCAAGCCTCCCTACCCCTTTCTATGCAATATGACATACCAAGTACAGCAGCACATCTTACCTCCAACTCCACCAACTCCTCTTCTTCTTCTCGTTATACCCCTCCTCCTGAACATTGTGCCTCCCCACGATCGTCAAGAACACCTGGTCCAGCGTCGTCGGCGTGCACGAGTAATGCTCGATCCCGAGCTCCTCCTTGTGCTCCTCCAGTATAACGATAAGTTGGCCGACTGCGCTCCCGCTACTACTCGCGCTCGTGCCACCATTCTCAGCATCCTCGACCCCATGCTCACCCCCACCCTCAGCACCCCCCTCAACCCCCGCCACCACAGCAGCAGGCACCGAAAACCGCATCTGCCCATGATACGTCTTAGCCTCGACCTGCGCATCCGGCCACCTCCCCAGCACCCACTCCCTAATCCTCTGCATCTCATCGTCCGTCGAATGCGGCGCCGTGCGACTAACCAAGTGAACATGCAAAGCGTCGCCGAACCTGCGCCTAAGATCCTCCGTACCCCCCATAGCCAACATGCGCTTCGCGATAATGCCCGCGCGATTCGCCAGCGCATCCGCCTCCTCCATGCTATGCGTCGTGAGCAGTATCGAGCGCCCGGGGACAATGGAATGCAGGGTGCGCCACATGACGCGCTTGGCGGCGGCGTCGAGCCCCGAGGACGGCTCGTCGAGCAGCACGACGCTGGGGTTCCCCATGAGCGCGATGCCGAGGCTGAGCTTGCGCTTGTTGCCGCCTGAGAGCGCGTGCGCCATGCGCGTCGCGAAGGCCGAGAGCCCCACCGCCCGCAGCACCGCGCGCACGTTGTGCTCGATGTCCGGGATCCCGCGGATCCGCGCGTAGAAGCGCAGGTGCTCGAGCACCGTCATCGAGTCGATCGCGTCGAACTGCGGGCACACGCCCAGGTGCGCGCGGGCCTCGGCGCGCCTCCGGCTGACGGACGTGTTCTCGACGAACACGTCGCCGCCGTTCCGGCTCGGTTGGATGTCGCCGCGGATGAGCGAGATGGTCGTGGACTTGCCGGCGCCGTTGGGTCCCAGTAGGGCAAAGACCTCGCTGTGCTGAACGCCGAACGTGACGTTGTCGACGGCGGTATTTTTGCCGAATGATTTAGTTAGGTGCAACACTCGAAGACCGTCGCTTCCCTGTGGTGAGCTAGTCACACGGACGAGTTCGTTAGCTACTTCTTCGTCCGTATGGGCTTGGTCATCGGAGGATGGCGTCGGCTTCTTATTGAGGCGGCTCAAAAGGCTGTTTCCTGATCCACTGTCATGCCACAACAGGAATCCGAATAGGAAGGCTGATTGTAAAGCTAGGTAAAGAATGGGTCCTCCATAGGCAGTCAGAGCGCCGGGTCTGGGCTGTATCTGATCTCCATCGCATGTTACGGAGAAGAGGTTGAGAGTAATGAACATGGTTCGAACAATCGAGCCGATGGGTACAAAAGTCGAAATTACAAAATGCGCAACGAGGATGGAACTATCGATAGATTGAACTGGCGAGTATGTGATCACGCACAAATATGCGATCAAATAAATCAGGAATCCGACTGCCTGGCCAGCTGCAGAGAAAGCATAGGTCGATAGCTGATTACCGCAGAAGAGGGAAATGACGTATGAGAATAATATCGATGCCAATCCATATAATATGAAGATGAGGAAGAGATAGTCAACATGGTACCAAACATCTGATGACGCGGCAAACGCGGCAACGACAAGTGCTGAGGAGACTAGGACAATTGCAAAGTCGAATGCGGTATATGAGACCCATAGTGGAAGAGAACGGACTCCGTTCGAGTATTGTAATCCACGGACATTCCGACGCCTCTCAATGTTCGGGTAGAGTCCGAAAAAGGCGGGATAAGCGGCGAGAGCCAGACAAAAGTAGATCAGCAACTGAAGGGAATCTCCGGTCGATGGTGCCCAAGGAGTATCGAAGGGTGCATAATTTGCAGCAATGCTAGTATTGGCTAACATGATGTCTAATGCATTCTGACCGAAAACCGATGTGTAGACATCCCCGGCGTCCGCTTCATATGTGATAGTGGGCAAGGAATTAGAATCTCCAAGCCACCACCCAGCAGGTTTGACATCCTTCCGTCTCTGCTCGACAAATGTATTAAACTCGTCTAAGGAATTGACAAGATGTAGGCTCTCGAAAAGCGCGGCTACAGCAGCGGACCCAGGATCCGTTGCATTGTTCGATCCGGTGAGGTCCTGAATTTGACTCTGATTCTGTAGGCTTACGCCCCGCAGCGTGGGAGCGAAAAGCCTTTCCAAAGTTGCATTATTGAACTGTGAAGATGGGCCGGCAACTAAAAATAGGTTGTCGTAGAGATTCGAAGTATCCGAAGTATCCGCCGAGCTTTGGCTCGCCGGATTGCACCCTACTGGGTGTTGATCCGTAACGTAGAGAGATGTTAGAGCTGCCGCGATGATCGGGATCAGGAAAGCTGCCACGTAAGGAAACCAGTTCGTTTTGAAGATGGTACATCGCTTCATGAATAGCACTACGATTTGTCTCATGAACCCAATAGGCTGGCCCGATAGTAGCTCTAGTCCATCCTTCTCGAGCTCGCTAGCTCCCACTTCCTCGGAATTCACCTGCTTGTCATTACCACCTTCAGTAGATGATGGCGTCTGTGGTGACATGACACCATTTTCGCCTTTGACTTCTTCAGCTACTTGAAGGAAAACGTCCTCGATGGTCGGATTGGAGAACTTATAATCGTGGATTCCCGCGGCTTCGAGGGAGCGTATTACATCTGCAGCAAGACTTGAAGATGGCGCGATGTAACTGATCACATCAAAGCCTATCTTACGAGTAACATTCTCAATCTCTGGGGGATTTTTGATCTCTCTAGCGTTGAAGACATGAACCCGATAACCAGCACCAAGTCTATCCTTGAGTTCGACAGAAGATCCCTGAGCTCGAAGAGTTCCCTTGGAGAGAATGGCAATATGGTCGGCAAGCAGGTCGGCTTCGTCAAGAAAATGGGTCGTCAGGATGATTGTCCGTCGTCCACGTTCAGCTAAAAGAATATCCCAAATCTTGCGTCGTGATAACGGGTCGATTCCGGAAGAAACTTCGTCAACACAGCAGACTGCGCTCCCACCAGTCAACATCATTCCGAGCTGGAGCTTTCGCTTCTGTCCACCGGACAAAGTTTTGGACATGGCTTTGACCTTTGGCCCAAGATCTACAGACTCCACTAAATCGCGGATCTCTTTCGTGGACGCCGTATTCCTTGGAGACTTAAGTCTATTAAAGACTCTGATGTGCTCTTCAACCGTCAATTCGTCCCACATGACATTTTTCTGCGGTGCGATGCCTAACCCTCCTGTGCCGTCAATTGTAATATCGCCACTGGTCAATTTACTAATACCAGCTATGGAATCGAGTGTAGTACTCTTTCCGCTACCATTAGCACCAAGCAGAGCTAATATCTGTCCTCTTCTAGCAGTGAGTGTCAACTTATCCACGGCTACGACTGGCTCCCTTGGCGTCGAGCTGAAAGGAAGTAATCGATATAGGGGATTAGGATAGTATATTTTAGTAAATTGTTCAAGCCGAACAGCATCAGGGGGTGCCGTATCGGAGGTTTGGCCTTGAAGAATTGTACGGCCCTTGGTAGTCGTGCCATGGAAAACACGTTCTAGGTAAGCACCGATGATGGGGTAGATAATAATCTGAAGAATGAGGAATACCCAAAAAACAATACCAGGCAAGTTCCATGGGTTTTCTGGTGGTGTATGGACAAGGTCTGCCGGGAACGAGTACCTTTCCCATCTCGCTATAAACGTCATAAACCAAACAAAGTTACAGGGAGTCTAAGAGTAGGCAATCATTAGTGTTTACTCTAAAATAAAGGGGGGGGAAGGCGAGGGCATAATATGAAGCGTAGTCGAAATGTCTCGAAAACCCAGAGTCTAATAATAGACTCGTTTAAAGATATTGGCGTATTAAGTAAAGTGAAAGGTAGAAAATTGGATGACTCTGAAGAAATACATACGAAAAGCAAACTGAGAGCGGTAACTGTAGCAGTACTAGGCGATGTCAGCGTCTGGGCTAGGATTGCTAGCAGAATATACGCTATCACCGTCACCACGCCCGATAGCTGCGATCTCTTGAAAAACGCAGCGCCTAAGATAGACAGCGATGCTAGGGCGAGCCCGGCAAGGATAAAGTAGATGAGTACGATGGCGACACTTGTATTCGCCCAGACTCCGCGCGCGATGATGATCGAACCGATTACCCAACCTGGAAGGTATACTACAGTGAATGCAATGTGGTAGGACAGTAGTCTTGCGACTTGGGCTTGCCATCGATACTTGGTAGGCATCATGGCATCTAACAATTGAGACATGCCTATCTCTCTTTCGGTTGCCATATGACCAGTCATATGGTAACAGATTCCGATGACGACAATGAAAAAGGATACAGCCAGAAAGTTTGTCAAGGACGACTGGTAGTTGCGTCGGATCCTTGCTGCTCGCTCCTCTTGGGTTTCGGGCGTGAATGGGTACTCTTCCGTGGTAGCCGGGAGTCGTACCGTGCCATCGGTATCAGAAAGACCGGAAATAGCGGCGTCGACGGCTCGCTGCAATGGTAGGGAATAGACCTCGCCGCTATTATCGTCTCGTGTCGTATCGATCTTAGAACCCAATGCGCCGTCCGCTCTTAAGGTATAATTCCATATACCTCCTTCTCCCTCGCGAGGAGAGGAGTAGAAGACGACGGCGCCATAGCAAGGCGAGACACCACGCAGAGAACTTCGGCACGCATAAGACAGCTCCGATATTTGCGACAACCTCGATGCATTCTTTCCGGCGCCAGTCACCGTATCCGAGAGCGTATCGATGACGCGGTCGATATCGCCGCCTGCCAAGCCATTGTTCACGAAAGCCACCGTATTACGATCCGTACTAGCCGCCGCGGCAAGTCCATCTTGTAGCGACCTAACGGCGTGCGGGTCGCCGATACCATATACGGCCGGGGGCACGAACAGGTTTCGCGCAAAGGTAAGGAAGGCCGCGAGTAGAATGGGGAGGACAAAGGCTCTAATGAGCGTCGCAAGATAATGGCGTTGGACGACGATCTTAAGATTCTTGGCCGTCAAGGTCCAAGTCTGTCGCAAGAAAGCCATTGTCGGCGTAGACGGTTCTCGCGGGTTCACTCCGGGACGGAGGAGGCTCTACGGAGCGATATCGAGTCGACTTGAAGGCCGGTTGTCTGTTGACGGATCCGTGCCGCACAAATTTTTATCGCGCCATGTAAGCTGATTACCGAGCAGATGGATATTTCGAAGGTGTGAACGATCAAATGACAGGGAAATATGAAACAAAAAGATGAAAGCGAATGTACTTCGTATGTATTCTGTAGTTAGGATGATATACAATAAACTAAGCCTCCTCCTCTTACGCAATATATACAGGAGTCCAAGACCATCGCAAATAACCTTGGTCCTTCTTCAGCCTTTCTGGGGTTCGCAAGGGAATGGGTGTTATTGGGATCGCGAGCTCATTGACACGCATAAGCGATGAGAAATAGTGGTGGGGGTACATTGTGAGACATGAGAGACACCAGTTGTATTTGTACAGGAGTCCTACGTAGTGGCTGTGCCTTAAACCTTCCCAAAAACTCCCCGAACCATGGAAAGAACCAATCAGAGCGAACGCAGCTGCTTGTCGAAGCTGCTGTTACCTTGTAACCGGGCGCCACCTGTACCTGCAACATGCTGAATCCTGGTTCGGCCGAAACCCGGTTTACACCTTCCAAACCTTACATGTCTTGACAATACAGTACAATAAACAGTTCTTGGATTTTTCTCGCGTCTTCAAACCTGATAAATCTAGGTCAGGATTAAACATGCACGAATACAATTCACTTCGATATCTGCCTCCATAATTATAATATGCGACCTAGGTAGATAGGTAAGCAGCAATGTATCTACTACCTAGGTAGAAATACAAGAGCCTGATATGTGGGTAGATGATCTGCAGAGTCGCAAAAGGCAGCAGTTAGAAGCGTACGTAAATAAACGTGTCGATTACTACAATATTTGCAACAGACGTTACACCTCGTAAAACTAGGTACATCAATATACGCCAATGGTTTCCTAGCATTGCCTCTTCCTGATGGCGAAAAACTAAGGTCGGCTGTGTGTCACGAAGCGTGTGGCACAATCATTTACCGCCGATTACTTACCATTATAGGTGTTAAGATTCACTCTTAAAATCTGAATCATATTCCCCCTTCAATTTTGAAGCAATATGTATCAATTGCAGAGGGTAAATCATAACCTGGGTATCTTGAAGCTACAGTCCTTAACATGTTCAGTCGAGCATAAACCCCCCTGCATATTCGTCGTCTACCATGAAGCCGCCACCTTCATCACTGTCGTTACTTTGCTTCGCTTCATCATCCGAGGCGTGCTCATGAGCTATTTCTTTGCCTTTGTCTCTGCCTGAGGCCATATCTTGATTGCCATCCTCATCTTCGGAGTCAACGTCCGCGAAGATTCGTTGACGGACTCGGAGGCTCATCAAAAATAGTCTCCAAGCCTTGAGGACGACCTGAGTCCGTCGATCCTTCTCTAATTCGGCTGCCTGATCCCTAAGACCGGTAATCACAGCGCGTACAGCCTCCTCATATTCCGCGGCGACGACTACTCCATGTAATACTGCGGTGCCCTGCTTCCCCTTAAACTGGAAGCCGGTAAGCGCAGGGGCGTAATCGACCCCCAATATGAATGCGGCCCGAGCGCCCAGCTCATCGGCCACATATGCACCGCCTTCGGGCACCATACTCGGCACGTAGAGGTCGATGTTCTTGAACCGGTTTTTTGGCACTCGGCCGTTTACGACAGGCGGGTGTTTGAACTGTTTAGTTTGATCAAATGTGTAAGTTGGTACCCCATTTGGTTCACTGGGGTCGTCTTCCCCTTCGTCGTCGAACAAGTCTGCCTTCGTTTTTTTCCGTTTAGGGAGAAACTTAGCAGGTATCTCATTTGGAAGAACCTCTCGACCCATGCGATACCACTTCTCTCTGCTATGAGCGATCCGTAAGTCCTTACGCCTATAAACCTTCTCTAGAGGGCCAGTACTACCGGCACCTACTGTTCCTGAAGCTGAAGCATTCGGCACAAGAACCTCATTCCGTCTAAGATGTCGCTTGAGGACATATATCGGGTGGTCTTTAAAATCGGCAATATTACGAGGCATCGGTTCTCGTAGTTGTCTATCTGCCAACTCGGTATCCTCGATCTGATCTAAGTCCGTAGGGAAACCGCGAGAGAATGTTCGAAGAGTTTTCTGCCACCACTTTTCACCGGTAGCCTCCGCGCTTTCGATCCGCATCTTTCTCGTTTTCGCATTGTACGCTTTCGCATAACGACGTGTAACATCTTTTACTGCGCCGTCATCTTCAAAGGCAACAACGTAAGCCATATGATTCTCTCTATCAGAAGCCGGTGGCTCCATATTTTGAGGTTTCCAAAACGAGTTAGTCACTAACGGGTCGGCCGGTTGCCATTTCTGGTGGGCTTCGTCGAGAATCTCAACCCAGTAAATAGGGTAGGGAGATTCTCGGATCTTCTTAGGGACCGGTGGAGCTTCCCGCGTCGAAGGAGTTGTCGGTATCGTAGGGAAATGAAAAGCCGCAGCTTTCGGGTGTCCCAGGCGCCTGAGTACTGAAGAGCTACTACTGCTCTCTGCAGGCGAGTCAGGGACACTCTCTTTCTTCGATTGCTGAGCATATCGTTCTACAAGGGATAATTTCCCTTTCCCCTTAGGTGGCTTCCCCAAAGGGGGCCCTCCAGAAGTGAAAGCAAGAGGTTGAAGAGAGCATACGAGCCTGGCTTCAACGCCAGCGCTTCGAAGCAGCGCACAATATAATTGAGCGCCAACATCTCGTGAGCCACAAAGGGACTTCGCAGCTTCGCGAAAATCGTCCTTATCCATAGGCGTTTCTGCATCATCTGGAAGCTTATACTGTAAATATTAGTCAGCATGTATCCTTAAAAATACATAGGGCTCGGGTCTAAATACATTTTGAAGATGTTCCTCATTCTCGGCCCAAAGTGCTCTTCGAATTCCGCGCTCGGTAACCTGGTATTTGGTCTTGAACATGGTTCCTACCCGGTTTAGTCCTTCCTTGAGAGAATTGGCCTGTCCGAATTGACTAAGTTTAGCGCTAGGGTTGAGATAGGTGACCATTTTATCGGTCAGGAGTTTTCGCAAGGTCTTCTGAACGGTATCATCGTTGCACCATTGGTTCCTACGGGCGACGTGAGCTAATAGGCATAGAAGATGCATCTTGTGTACTTCAACCCGACGACTCCTTTCCTCCTTGCTAATTGGCTTTCGCCGATCCACAGACTTTCGAGGGCTTGCGGCCATCCGCGACGAGAAATTAAGCTCGAGGTCTTTATCGCCGTCCTCAGTAGTATCTAAGTTTGAGGGAGGAATTGAAAAATCGACGTTCTCAAATTGGATTTCATCGTCTTCTTCTTCCTCATCGGAATCTCTAAAGACTGTCTGCACGGTGGCAGCGGGGAGTGGTACATCCTCAAATTGTGCGTCATCTTCGTCATCCGCATCCTCAGGCTTCGGTATCACTTTGGGCGGGTCGGGTTTCTTGGGCGATTGTTCATTTCTTCGACCAGGCTTTCGCCTTTTCAATGGTCGTTCGGAGGGTGTCGCGTGAGCCTGGACATCGGCATCGGCAAGCATTTGATTGTAGATATCTGGAACATCGGACTTTTTTGTATTAGACCTCATCGATCGGGAGGATCGAGGTGTCGCATTCGTCGCATTCGCCCTAGACGCAGTACGCTTTCTCCCGGCCATGACGATGGATTTATATCAGATAGGTGGGTGGGTAACTAATGAAAAGAGAAGAATACGGGCTTGGATTTTGACATTGAGTCATGTCGCCAACCAATATAAAGTTGGGAAGTGCATGATGCTACTGCACTCACTTTGAACAGGTGGGCAGTTGCCGATGATTAACTTGATGCTTCAGCACAGGCACGAAACGAGGGGTTCTTTCCATTGTTCAACGTGCCGGACGTGGCGTACCTAGGTACCTATTAGAAATTGAAACTCGAAACCACGTGACTGTCCTTTTCTCGCGTTGTCAGCACAGTTGGCGGCTTTTACTCTACCCATCACTTTTCACTTTCTGCATGGTTTAATGAACGGGAACCAACATAATCTCTACTATAAATCTCGGAACTCATCGCTCCCAGATTGAGCCATCTCTATTTTGATTTCTTGGTATACTACGGAAGCTTATTAAATTACTGCATAGAGCGCTAGCGCATAGCGACCTTTGGCCTTTTTCCGATTGATATTGTCGTTTTCTTTGGTACCTAGTTACGCACGCTATCTGCCTACCCAAACCCGTCGGTTCATTCATGACCTTTTCATGCAAATGCTTAGTAGGTATTCATGGTCTTCGCAAACAAGGTAAGTAATTAGGTACCTAGGTATACTATGGACTAGCCTCAAAAAGTTTTGAGCAATCACCCCCTTTCCCCTGTTCTCACTCATCAGACCTGGGGTATCTATTTATTCAAACGTCCATCCTCGTATTGATTAGGAGAACATATCAACGGATCTTGACAACTGAAAGTCCGAGAAAGCCATACGCTTCTGGCTTAATACTTCGTTCCGCCTGTTAATCCACCAATCAGCCTCAGGAGCAACCTCCAGCGAATCTTTCAACGCCCTAGGTGCTAGCTTTGCCTCCCTAACCTTGGAAGTCTACCACTTCTGCATCCGATTTCGCTGTAGGTGGTCTTTACAGACGGTATCGCGTATCCGAGCATCTCAGCTACCAGTGGAATAGCCTTTCGAGGAAGAAGAAGTCGCGGCTAACGCATCAGCCTCGTCTTCGGCCTCCACCATCTCTCTGGCTTCTTGTAGAAGTCTGTCCCAGCACTCATTGCACATGCCTTCATTCCATTTAATGACGATTTTATCTACTTCTCCTCTAGGTCCTAAACACCTTTTAAACAACTCGGCACACGTTTCTGGTCGCATAAACCCCCAGCACGAGCAACCAACCCAACGTTGGTATAATTCCTTACACATCCTTTCGACGCGAAGATAAAGTAGCGGGCAAGTTGTGATCGGAAGTGAGTGGCCTGATACAATTATAGGATATTGTGGTCCTTTCTAGTATCAAAACGGTGTAACTCTTAAGTTTTGAATTCGCAATTTCGAGATGATGACTGAGACTTCGACACCTGTTTTACGTCTTATCTCCTCCGCCTCAAATCGGTAATGAATGTTGAATGATCGGGAAACTCCTTCTTAGCTGTCTAGTAACAGCAGCAATCATGAAGGCCGTTTTATTCTTTGGCTAGCATTGAGCTGTTGGCGTCGTGTACTGCCGCCTCGTCGTTGCGAACCTGTTTGCGGCGATGATACTTAGTTGTCTAGTAACAACATGATCATGCCACTATGAATAGATGGAGCAAAGTTTAACCCTAAAAAAGGTCAGATGAGAATTGGCCAGTTACCGTGGGTTTCGGATTGGAATGGAGTGTTCGTGGGACCAAAATGTTGTGGATGTTGTGTATGGAATTGGAACACGGCCATATTTCTACGCGACTCGCATGTTCATTCAACAATTCAGGGTTCAAACGGCCTAGACAGCCTAGAACGGCGGTAAAGCTGGCAGCTGCAGGACCCCACCGTGGCTTGCTGTCAGAATCCCGGGAGCGTTAGAGCCACGCCAAACGAACGCTTAGCCCGTACGACTTTTATTGCTAACGTTGTGTTCGGGGAAGGCATCCCCACGAGGCATTTTAGGGATCGAGATCTACTTCCTACTTCATCCCCTCATTGATATTCGCCCCGGCCTGTCGGAGTCCGTCTTCGGCACGATGCTGTGGACTACCGGGAAGATCATTCGTTTAAATCCTTGACACCGGTCTATCAATCTACTACCTAGGTATATAATGTCTACATAAAGCCGAGAATGTTCTACATTCGGGAGTTTTGTGGGTTTAATCGCTTCACTTGTGTGAGGTTCCGCTGACAAGTCAGTCGCACTAAAGACCCCTAACAGTCTTATCTATTCCAATATAACTCATATATATCCTCTTACTGCGCTAAGCTGAGAGGGTTCCCACCGGGTACACTTTGGGGATGTTGGAGATATTTGGCTGCATCTTTGGCATCGAAGCATACGATCCCATTTGAACGGTATAATTCGCAAAAGCTGGCGTCCTCCGTAGTGGCCGGAGGCGAGTGAAGTGACTAGCGATGTTCAACAACTTGCTCTCGGAGAAAGGGAGACCCAATATTTCCATTCCAATGGGTACACCAATTGGGGCATCCTGCGAGGATGGAGAGAACCCAACCGGCACGGTAACAACCGGGACCCCCGTCAGAGCAGCGAGGATACCGTTACGCCCGGCCTGGGATGGCGAGCCAACCTTCACCACAAGATTCTTCTGTTCGGGATAGATTATGGCGTCCAGCTTGTTTCTAACGAATGTAGTATTTACCGCCGCTTTGAGATCCTCGATACCCCGTTGGGCGGTCGCAAATGCCGGGTCAGCGGTCGATGAGTTTCTTGAGCTGTTCATAAAGGCGTACTGAGCTGGGATGACCAGGAACTCTTTACTTCCATATACGGCGTCCCAAGTGCTTGGTCTATTTCCGCTAAGGCTTGGACTGGAGAGGTATTTGTTGAATACCTCCTTAAACTCGAATTGCTGAACATCGAACTTGGCAATGGCTGATGCATTGTAGATTGATTCTGTTACGTTGATTATCTCGACACCCTGAGATTTAAGGAATTCAATGGTGCTCGCCAATGCGTCGTTTACCGGAGTCGTTTCGTTCGATTCTGTGTGATTCCAAAAGCCGTCCAGCAGCCCAATTCGGAGTCCTTCAAGACTTCCATCGCTTAAACCCTGTGTGTAGTCTATTCCCCTTGCCTCTGGCGGAACCAGCAGAGTGGCATTGTCAGCCTCGTCAGCACCAACGCTAGCCATGACAGTTAGCGCAACGGCCAAGTCTGGAATGCTCCTTGCGATAGGTCCGATGCTGTCTTGTGTGAAGCTGATGGGCAAGATGCCCTGTCTCGATATAAGCCCACGACTTGGCCGCACACTGACTAGGTTGTTCGCGCTCGCGGGACTGCGAAGACTGTTTACGGCATCCGTTCCTGTTCCAAAGACGGCAAAACTTGTCGCAATCGCGGCACCAGTACCTCCACTGCTACCTCCCGGTGTTCGAGATTGGTCATACGGATTGATAGTTTGCCCTCCTAATGAAGATACGGAGAGGCCCTCCAGTGCCACTATCACAACCTTGTAAGCCTAACCGTTTCTATGGGTTATTCGAAGTATCCTTGGTCTAAACCAAGTGACCATTCTACGTATAGGAAAAGCTGGGGTACCAAAAGAAGAGTAGATAGGTACGTACTTTCATGCAAATTAGTTTTTCCTAGAATGATAGCCCCCTCGTCCTTCATAGCTTTGACAGAGGGAGTATCGACACTTGGACGATTACCAGCCAAGGCAGCATTAGCTCCCGTCGTATTCATACCCACGGCATCATAGTTATCCTTTAACAAAACCGGTACACAAAAGAGCTTTCCCGCTGAGTCACCAGCAGCAAGCCTCTTATCCAGGTCGTTTGCTGCATTGAGGGCGTCCGGGTTGAGACTGACAAGGGCGTTGATAGTCGGGTTGAACTCCTCGATACGGGCAAGGAATGACGATACCACGCTGTGGCACGTGGTCGAATTCGCGAGCAGTGCAGCCCTTACACCCTCGATAGTCGACTCTAGTGAATCGAACGAATCGGCTTGAGCGTTGACTGTCAAGACCTGGAGGAATAGTGTACCAAGCATCCAGGCTGTTGCTGGTGGTCGGGCACGTAGTAAGCCAGCGGCGACTGATACGGGGGACTTCATGTTGGGATCCAATGCCTCAGAATTTCGACACACGAGTGAGGATCCTTCGAACTCGATCGACCTTTTTTCTAAGTCCGAGCTTTATATATGTCGGTCCTAACCAACCTTCAGAGCCTTCAGGATATCTGGATTGTCTCCAGTTTATCCGACCGATTTAGGCGACAAAACTGAACGTTGGTACAGAGATTTGGCTAGAGATCTTTGTTCATGGGTACCATGAAATATGCCCCCACGTAAAATCTCCATTATCCAATTTATACAGACGCATCGACGTCTATCCTCATTCTCTTATTATCACGTAAGGTAGTAGAGGTCTAACGAGGAAGCCACATAATGCGTAGCTCAGCAGATGCTTGTTAGCAAACATTGCTTGGCACCTAATACTTTTTACTGAATCTTGACACTTCTTGATTACACAAGAATGTAATGACGAGAAGTATGACGATCATTCGAGTAAAAGGCAATGAAAATTCAGACTTTCTAGCAAGCGTTAGGACATGAAGATCCAGAAATAGACATCATGTTCACCAAAACCTAGCAATGGCACGCAAACATATCCAAATGAAACCTAGGGTAATATTTGCAAGTTTGACAGGATGTAAACGTACAACGTGCCTATCAGGAGAAGAAAACCAACAGCCAACCGCGTTCCCGTCTTTTTGATTAACTTTTATTATTAGAGCAGGATCTCTCTTACCTACCTACCCTACGTACTCCCCCCACGTCCGCCTTATGCAGGAAGCCCATCGGTCCTTGCATATCATTGCCGAAACGGATATATTGCTGCTCGATAGTTTCCTGCCGTTGCAGAATGCGGATTAGACAGGCGACGTTTGGTAGGTCGGGCGAGGGATAGCTTTCGCCACGTAGTCACGATAGGTGACCAACGAATCGCCAACGATAAGTTGGAGCCGAAGACGAAACATTGTCATGTCACCCGCTTTCGTGCGAGTTCGCGTGTAAGTAAAGACATGCGGGGACACGCTACACGATACGCATTTGTGATGCGTTTTGGCGAACACCGTGCGCTACGCACGCACGCAGGTGATATGTATATGCGGATGTATGTATGTCTGGCTTCGTTGCCCCAATTCCGACCAAAAGCATATTCGTTTCGAGCTCGTTGCAGGGGTGTAGCGGTCCGGTCTGGGCGTCGATTGGCCAGCTTGACGCTGTTCTGGCTGCTGCAAGCTCGGGATCTACCCTTGCGGATCAGCAGGGTTCGTTGCATGGTACAAGAGCCGAACTACCTGACCGCTAACGCATGGTGAATCCGAATACCGCATTTAGGAATCTGGTCTCGTTTTGTCGGTCGTGGTTGGAGGATATCCATGATGGGATCTGGGCTCTTGTAAGCAGGGGCCGAAGTTCATAGGTTGACAAATACATAGTTCCCCTTATATAATTGGAGCACCAGAATCCGCATCTCAAAAAGCGTCGGATGGAACAAGCGAGCCGTGTTCTTTTCATTGTTCCTATATACAATATAGATCTCGCAAACACAGGGGTTGAATGGCATATGGTACTTTACATAGCCCCTGGCAAATTCCATAAGGGGCAATCCATGATTCGTCGACTGAAATCCCCTACAGTTCTACCGAGGCAGTGTTGAGGTGAGACGGTATGTAGAACCCGGATCTACGGCCACAAGCAGCTCTACTGCTTGATAGGAGCAAGCTACCTAAAAACACACAAGGCCTTTCCCACTACTCCAAAAAGCTCCTCGTGCTAATGGAGAGTCCATTGGACACAACCCCTCATCGAGATCTCACGGGTCTCACCCTAAGCGTGCCGTCCTCGATTGCCTTGTCGGGGATGTCGGCAAGGGGATCCTTCTTGTCGTACGAATGACTGGCGCGCTCCTTCCGCGACATTTTCAATATGTTGTATTTTTCGCCGCCGATCTTGTAATCCTTGCCGAACTTCTTGAACTACGATGCAAACGCGTGTTAACAAAGTCGCAACACATCAAAAGGGGGTTTCAGGGGTAAAACTCACCTTCTTTTTCCATTCCCATCTATCGGACTTAGGGCTACCGGAAAGCGGCTTGATGGGCTTCCCGCGCTCCTTTTCCAAGGCCTTCACTTTCTCGTCCGTGCCGTAACATCCTGCCTCCTTGAGGTCGATGCCAGCTTTCTTCGCATAAGCGATGGCTTCCTTTCGGAAAGGTAGGTCAATTCCTTGCTCGTGCAACCTTGGGTGCTCGTCGGCCCAATAAAGATAGAATGTTATGACCAGGCCCAGGTCCTTGATATCGGAGTCAGCCTTCAGCAATTTCGCCCGATCAAGCTCGTTGAGTGAGGTGAGTAAGGCGCGGCCAATAAGGCTTATGGTGGCCTCCAACCTCTTCTTGTCATTCACCTCTATTTGCGCAAACGTCAGTAAATCATAAATTGCTTAGTTATTTATTTTTGGAAACTGACTGATCCATGCATCAAGGGGTATTTCTGTAAGGAATTGCATTATAGCAGCCACGATGGCCCACAGCTCTCTAATGCCCCTTTTGCTGCGTTTCTTTTCAAATTCTTTATTGAAAGCAAGGAGCTAAGAACCGGTCAGCCGTCCGCTGTGGTTAGTCTTTAACACACACACACAAAAAAGGAGTTATCTTACCATGTTCTCAATCTGCTCTTGCATGCCCAAGCCGTGGAAGTGCTTGTGAACACTCATTTTGAAAAACTCGGGATTGGTATATGAAGCCCGTTTTTCCCATGCGGAAAACAATTTCCATGTCTCCCACATGGCAATCCACCGATGCTCAGGATGCTCGGAGGCGGGCTTCATTTCAATGTTGTCATCAGCACGTATGTACTCATTGTACTGCTTGATCAGTTCTTCTTCATCAACTTGTTCCTCCTCATCCTTGTCCGCGTTCTCATTCTCAATGTCAAAGAATGGGCGGAACATGCAATAATACCCATAGGTACGTCGGTGTTCCAAGTGGTCATATAGCGACTAAAAAGGGGCGGAATAAGTACTTGAACTACTTCATTGAGGGGTAATTTTGTAATTTTACAAGAGTGAAATACATACTTGATTATCCTCCGGGTCGGAGAGTACGCTCACGAGGTCGTCATAGTAACTTTTTGTGTCATCGTCCTCGTCTTCATCGGTCAGTTTACCACGCCTCGACTCTTTTGCAGGACTAGCCTGCTTTCCGATAGGGGAAGGCTGAGAGTCGGAATGTTCGTGCTCTGGGGGAGGCGAACCGACGAAGCCGGGGGGTGAAAATCTATATATGAGATAAGCTGACAGTAGAACAGGCGCGATTGAGAGCACTAGTGTCTTCTTCGATGGAACAGTTAAACCCAGCGTGGCCATGACGTGCCAAAGCTTTGAAGTTTCGATGTAGAATGAATTGTTCCCAGGTCTTCGATTATTATACCGATTAACGTTAAGCCTCTTTCTTCAGTTTTCATCGGTCCCACTCCTAGGTATGTACGTAGGGACGACTTGATCTCACAAGGCAATCACGTTTTTAAGTATGAACACTAAGATAACGGAGGGTTGGTCTGCGCTAGGACCACATGACGGTCTGAGACCTAGATCGGACTTGCAGACCGCCCTTTAGAGTTTCACATCCCCATGTCCGACCCCTTGTTTTAGCAGCTCTTGTGACGAGTTTAAACTTTCCGTAATACCACCACATTCAATTGATAGATAACCCACGTAAATCTAGAGTCTAGAATACAAGTTCATTGTCCCAAATCCAAGAAACGACTAATTCGTTTCATAGAATTTGAAAATATCAGCGACAAGATAAGTGCTGACCGAGTTATCGGAAAAGGTGTCCGGGTCATCGGAAAAGGTGTCTTGAAAACTCACCGAGCCCACCTAGCCGGAACCCATACGAAACCTATTCACCCGTCCACCCCGCCTTTAAAGGGTCTCTTGATCCTTCGCGACGCGTTCGCGTCTTGTTGGAGGCTATTTTACCCCACCACGCGTACCTGCTGACATCATGACTATTCTTAAAGCAGTAAAGCAAGGAACCCCTCACAGCCCTCAACCCCTTTTTCAATTGATAGGAGTCATGTGATACCCATATTCCATACCACCACACCATCGTATATAAATATCCACAGCACCAGCTTGCCATTGAGATGGAGATAATGCTGCATAATGTCTCTCAAATTGGCAACTCATTACAGATTCCACCGAATATAAACTCACTTGACTTAAGAACAGGCGATGGCTAGGGTCAGGTGCGTTTGCATTCAGTGGGGTCTATAGTAAATAACCGATTCAGGAGATAGAACGTAGGAAAGCCAAACCATAAACACCGGCGACCGTTCAGACCAAAAAAATATATGCCCCTTTTATAGGCTTGCTTTAACAAGCAGGAAAGTCGAGAGATGCATGGAACATATCACCTCAACAACATAAGCATCCTAAAAAGAACCTTTCAGAGAATAGGTAGTCGCTTATTTTTCGCTCCTAGACGTTAATAGGGTATAATATATAATTTCTTAGGAGTAAAGAGGGAGCTTGACTTACTGCAGCCTCAGCACGGCCTTACTCATGAATTGACTTGTCGAATCTCCCCAAAATTTCCAGGTGCTATTTGGATTACACAACAGATGAATAAATATCATCCTATGCCTAGGAAAATAACTAAACATTGGCACTGTTGATCATGCTGATTTAAACCAACATTTATTCTAGGAGGAGGTTGCTACAAACGTAGAAAGGATATAAATTCCATCCATCATTTCATTCGTAAATTATCAAATCGTCGAGAACTAGTATATCATAATGGTTACATACTCCCGGCTATTGGTTATGACAAGGACATGTTAGAGGTCTAATCTATGGAAGACTGGTGGCTAGAGGTTTTACTGGTTTATAATTGGGCCCGTGGGAGGCCACTGGAGGCACTGGAGGCACTGGAGAGACCTATTGGTAGCTATCCTTAAAGCACAGTAAATCGAAGGCTTCTTCTATAAGTATACCGGGCTCCCTAGGTTAGAATAATTGAAAGCTACTCGCGCAACGTCGTTGTTTCCTCTCTCCTGAATTCCGCGTCGTGATAGGACACAAGGTTACTTGAGGTAGTTGTTAGTTGTAAATAGTTTACTAACTAGTTAGGTAGTCCGTTCATGATTCCATTTAAAGAATTCGCTAATGCTTCACGAAGCCTTCGCTCAAATTAGATAGTCCACGTTTGATAATTTTAAAACACTTGATATTAAGAGACAAACACTTAGACTTACTACATTTTCGTAGTAATTACGGAACTTTCCAACAACTTTAAAAGAGCTTTATATTGTCCATGCGCTGTTCGTATTATGATTTAAGGAAGAGTATAAAACGCTCCGGGTTCTAAGATTTAGAAGCTTCATATTATACTGCTAGTTTACAGTACAGTCTCTAAATTCAAAATATAATAGAATCGACCAGTATCTTAGTGTTAGGGGATTCCATTGATGAATTCAGTCAATGGAATAACCTAATACTTGACCGAAGCAAGGAGTCAAGTATAGCACCTATGTAGGTAACTAAGTCAATATTACGACTCCTATTAAAAGTCTTTGGGTAAGCTTTCTCGAGGAACTTCCCTCCTTCCATGGCTGGGAAAGTAACAATACGGGTTCCGTGGGACAATGGGTATATGTGGTTTTTTGTTTCGCTGATGTCTAGGTACCTAAACCCGCAAGTAGCTTTAGTGAATTTATAATAGGAGCCATCATCTCTTAACCGGACCAAGCTACCAACTTCGTCGTGATCTTAAGGCAGCTAAAGACTTGCACTTTTAATTAAAGGAGCAAAAGCAGTCAAGACAATTAGCTTACATAAAGAACAACTTTGATGAGTTGCCAATGATTACATCTTAGGAAGTTCAAACTCATAATTATTGTAGGAGGTCCAACTATGAATCTTTCCACGAATAATCCCAGTTTAATTTTCATCATACTAAGTAGGTAGATATGTTATTAGAAGGCTCCGCTGTTCCTAAACTTAGTAGACTCATTACTTGCCTACCTAGGTGCTTACGCAATTTCGGGCACCTCCGAGTAAGATAATACCATGATAAACGAATCGAAAAACCATACTTTGCCTGATCAACTTCTACCAAACAAAGTGGCAAATATGGCAATGCCTTAAGGTAGCGACTCGTCCATTTGTAAGTGCTAGTCCATATTTTAGTCCTAGTATGATCTAGATACATGCCTTCTAATTTTGCACTAGCTTGATCATTAGCAAAGTCTTAATAGGCTGAGCCTAACATCTACGGCACCTTCCCCTTTACAAACGGCGGTCAGGTATGTTCTTTACCATCATGTGTAGTCTCGTGTCTCCGGCTTTTCGAGATTGATGAGGTCGGACTAAACTCCGTGGGTCAAGGAATCCGTCGAAAACGGCACATTCTCCGAGATGTGGGGGACGCAGTATTTCGACAGCTTCCAAGGATCTACTTGCAGGCAGATACTCATATGGCGGGATACAATGCATATAAACCAGGATCATTCCATCAGAGTCTCGACGTCATGCCGTATGTATGCAAACCGCAGGCACGTGGCAAAGCAAGTATCTTCACTTTCTGTCGGTCAGCGAGGATTGCGTATACCCAAAATACTATATACTCACGCCCTCTTCGGGATTATTCCACGTCAGTGCCCTTGTGACCAGGAAACCAAATCCGTGAGGATGGCTTGGCGGCTATGCAGTGGAATTGAACGTTGGGCATGCTCGCAGTATCTCCCTTTTTGAGCAAGAATTGGGCTCCGGGCTTGTCTCTGCATACGTAAGTGTCTATGTAATCGTAACGAGTCCTTTGAGATATGGTCTTATACTGCGAATGGCCTGAAGTGATGATATGATCGACATTTCTCAGGGGAGATTCATGACATACTCATATTATGTATACGTTATGATGTGCGTTGGTAATATAATTAAGTGTCTTGGAATGGGATTGAAGGGTCACATCAGGACTAGAAATTTGGGATTATATTGGCCAAATATGATTAACAAAAGGGTCTTTATTACTCCGAAGTGGTATTAAACAAGTGTCTGGGATATCTAATTCGTCATTTGATTAAGTCTTGAAACCCGGTTATGCACCAATCTGAGGGGATAGCTCAAGATTACAAGCATCTCAATACGATGATATCCTAAGTACTACGCACAGATTCGCAGTAAGATGTGAGTTTAGCTTCATAATAGTGAAAGGAGACATGGACATGGAATCTAAATTATCAAAGATAGACAGGTACCTTACTAAACATTGCGATGGACAACCTCCAAGATACATACCTAGAGATACTTCTAATAACCCGCTCTCCGACATGTAGAGAGTAGGTAGCTTTGGACTTTCGTTCCTGTCAGTGTTAGATCCAGCTTGCCGGAAACATAATCCATGTAATAAATGTATGAGTACCATGAGATACATACTCCCTATCCCCGGCTTCGGGAGTTCTAGATTCAAGGGCGCGGATCATTATCAGATTCGAGGCCTGTCATCACATCTCCTTTGCACATCGGATTTCAACAAGGCATATACATAATGATACCTGACTTAATCGGCATTTAAGAGTCATCACGCGATCATCATGAATACGCGGAGAGAAGAGATGGTTGTTCAGGTTTCCTTTCTGGTCGGGTTACTAACTCGCGAGCTCGTTTGACTGCCCACCATTCGGATGAAGCATATCCCCGAACCAATCGACGTCTTGAAGTTGGCTAGGAGCATACTAAATCTCTGCAACAATAGAGTAAGAACACGGTTCCAGGTGAGCTAAATCATACCGGTAAATGGTCGCCCAAGTTCCGTAGTTGCCGGCATGATAATAATATAGTCATAACACATGATGTAAGAGGCAGGCCACGGAAGGCCCTGTAGACTTCTTACTAGCATAGTATAATGGTAACCGAGAATATCAAGGAAAGCATGTGTACGTAATGGTAGTTACGTGATTCCTCCGCGTCTGCGTTGAAACCAAGCTCAAAGGGGAATGTGTTCTTTAACTTGCCTCTATAAGATGCATCTCCGGCTGTCATATAGTCGAATATCACGATGTCTGTGCTCGCTACTTCACAAGAAATGACACCCTGCAAGAAGAAAAAAAAGATTCTTCGACATTATTACTCTCCCACCGTAAACTTCCAAACTCTGGATATCTATTCCTAGCCTGGCTAGGTCAATACCTAACCGGCCGACGATCGCTTCAACAAGGGATGTATAATACTAGTTGTAGATTGTCCGTGGGGATGCATGTTGCAAAGGAGGAATTAAGTGGGGTGGTTACTTTAATTCATCAGCCGCCGAAAAAAAAGAAAAAACCGAGTTCGTGCATATGACTGGATGGTTTTGAGGCAGCCAGTCATCTTACCAGCGGCAAGGAGGGCAGATCATCAGTGAAAAGGGACATATGTGACGAGGGTTACAAGATATTGTAAGTAATTCCTAAGCCCTAGAGGGGGGAAACCTCTGAAAATGAATTATGATAGAAATCGAATACCTCACTATAGATTTGCCCCACATTGGTAGATTTGGTAGACTTGGAAGGCTTGGTAGAGCTGGAGAATAAGCAGAAAGAGATTAACCATGCATCTAAGTAGGCGATAGAGGGGTAGAAGCGAGGGATACGTCACATCTCGGACGGATACCTCCATCCTTAAACTCTGTTTCCCCCATAATACCATACCGGATCGTGGAAGCTGCTAACAAAGTTGTTCTGCGGATATTCTATGTAGGAACCGCACGGGACGATCTTTCCCTGAGATAATTATGGGCTTTATTACTAAGCCCGTATTACCTGAGTCCATTTTACGGATTACCTAGGTCACCCCCAACTAAGACTAACCCCCAAACCTCCCAACTCCTAATTCCCAACCCCCCAACTTCCTCTAATGCACACCATCCCAAATTAAGACCGACAACACTTTGGGATTCTAACTCCTAGTTTCAAGAAGACTATGGTCATAATGACGACAACGGTGATGATGGTAGTCGTGGCTACAAATGTCACGAGCTTTCGTTTCTCAAAAGCAAATGCGTCACCTTCGTTTCATCTACCTAGATACTAGATTTGAAGATGCCGATCACATTCGATTTCCCTGCTTGGGTGGATGATGGATGCTAGTTCCGGCCGTTGGACTTAAGACTTGAAATCGGACCCAGCGTTGCGGTGCCTGGGTAAACGACAGCCCAACTCGCCAATGAACATCGCGGACTCAAGCAGCGCGGCCCCGTCTAAGCCTTAGACATGCAGTGATCCGTCGTAACCTTGGAGCTCCTCTAAGGTTGGATAGCGAAGTGTTTCCCGCATTCAACAAGATCCTTCACGTTAGATTACTACTACGGTACGACGTCCCGCTTCTTGGCCAACTCGGTCTTCCACCAGCTTGCCACATTATTACCTATCTACCGGTACCGTCTTCCCCGTACCTACTGGATGTGCCTGATTCCGAGCTGGCTGTATCAAATCTCGGGTCAACCTCCCTCGTTGGCTAGCTTGGGGGAGCGAATTACTGTGTGCTCACGCTCATGCTCAGTATCTTGTCTTATAATTGGCACCTGGCCGGCGCAAGGCAAGGCGAAATAATCCGTGAGACACACCGCTATTATGGGTAGATTAGCAAAGACCTGATGTCCGATAAAACTGCAGGGAGGTCATTCGCAACTTTTTTGACAGCTTATTTCGATAAGAGTGACACTGCAGCCGCCCGCCGGCCAATCCAAAGAGCCACAATCACATCGTCCTTCCAAACAGCGAGTAGACTCTTTCCACGAGTCGCAAGTCACTTTGTATCCATGCCGCTTTGCCACACTGGGTTCTCAGCCGCCTGACGAGACGGTTGACTACTAGCCGGGTCTTTCGTCATAAACGACATCCCGAAACCTTTATCACATGGTCTTCCATTGGCCCTGGCCTGTCTTCGGGCTCGTGACGGCACGGTCGTCGTGTACGTCTGTGTCGGTTCCTTCCACTCTAGCTTGAAAAGCCTGGCACTGTTCAGATTTTGCCAGCACCCAACCGGGTGCCGCAGATGCCCTGCTCATCTTAACACTCATAGGCTTTGGTCTATGATGATGTCCCGGCTGGTGGTATTGCTAAGCAATCACCGACGGCGGTGAATGCGACTCTACTTAAGTGGTAGATACCTACCTAACGATATCCTTAAACAGTCTTCGGTGACGGCTCGTGCTCTTCTCCGTGCAATTTCCTAGCTTGCGCCAATACCTCTCGCCAACTTGCTCGAGTTTCTGGACGTTGTTCTCCGTGGGTACTAGCCTACTTATCGGCTCTAGATGCAAAATGGAGCAACCTGGATCCTTGTTTCTGCTGCCGAATTCTAGGGCCCAAACAAGCTGGGCCTTGTGTAGACACTGTATCATCAATGCCATCGCCGGCTTGTCGACTGCTGAATATCTCTGTATGCGAACGGAGCATCTTGGGGGATCACTAATACACGATACCAACGTCGAGGCTAACCCCCACATTCGAACCCACATTTAGGCGGCATGTATTCATGAGTACACTTACAACGCAACCATCCTCGTCCCTGCAGGCCATACCCATGAGGTACATGCTACCCCGGACTCTAGATGGGTTTTAGGATCCATAGATGATTGCATAACAACTTTGTCTACCTAGGAATGGCCCTCGGCCTGCCATCCGCACTAATCTTCCCGCCCGATACGAAAACATTGCAAGACCCTTGTTTCCGCGGCTCGAGATATGCGGGCGTTGCAGATCCCCCTGCAAGAGTTCGTGGTTCTCCCTCAGCTGTCATGTTCCGAGTTGACTGATGTCGGAGCCTGCCTAGGACGCGCCACCAGGCAGAGGAGCGGGTCATAGCGAGAAATACAAGACTCGTATGTCAGGTTTCTCGATAGTATATGTGTCCCCGTCCTTGCCATAGAGGTGGGATGTCATCCGTCCACCTATCTCCTCACCCCCCTATCTTTCTCCTTGGTCGAGTGGCTCCTTTTCCTTAAACAGCTCTTGTTGTTAGGGTACAGACATATCCTACATCGTCTATATATATTACGCCACCCTACGTTGTGTTTTTCCATAAGGGATCACAGACATAAAGTCAATCACCATATGTTTCTATTCTAATTCCTTCCAACTCTCATCAATCCTACCACTGGGCCCTTCGTGTTCTCTAAGATCAACATGGCACCTCATCTTGATGTACCGTCTCCTGCTGGAAGCTTTACAGCCAATTTCGATAGAATCTCCTTTGAAGCTGCTGCATCGTCGGATGCGGGGACCGGTTATCTGGCACCCTCTGAGCCGCTCTCCTCGCCTAGTAGCTTTTTCGAAAGCGACTCGGTAGCGGAAGATTTCCATATAACGAGGCCACTACTACCAGGCACCTATGTGCCAACCGTGTGTTTCTTCAACGGGACCGAAGACATCGATACGGATGCCATTGCTCGCCATGCAGTACGGCTTGCCGAAGCTGGTGTGACGGGACTTGCAACTCAGGGCTCAAACGGCGAGGCCGTCCATCTCACGCATGGCGAGCGCCAGCTAGTTACATACACTACGCGAAAGGCACTAAACGCAGCTGGGTTTTCGCACATCCCAATCGTTGTCGGATGTGGCGCCCAAAGTACCCGCGAGACCATCGAGTACTGCCGCGAGGCGTGGAAAGCGGGAGGTGACTACGCCCTTGTACTGCCCCCATCGTACTACGCACCTTTGTTTGCACCATCATCCAAGACTATCGAGGAGTACTTCATAGAGGTCGCCAATGCATCTCCGATACCGCTTATCATCTACAACTTTCCGGGTGCTGTAAACGGGATGGACATGACATCAGATGTAATTATTAAGCTATCACAACATCCCAAGATAGTCGGTGTTAAACTGACGTGCGGTAACACCGGCAAATTGAATCGCGTGGCAGCTGCTACACGAAAGAAATCTAAAGGATATGATGCAGATAAACCGGAATTTTTGGTCCTCGCTGGCTCGGCCGACTTCACGATTCAGTCGTTGATCGCTGGCGCGCACGGCATTTTGGCAGGTCTTGCAAACATCTCACCGAAAGCCTGCATTAAGACAATCGATCTATATAAAGCAGGCAAATACACAGAAGCTCAGAAGATGCAGGAAATTGTATCACGGGGTGACTGGATAGCCATTCAAGGTGGCGTAGTAGGCGTGAAGGAGGGACTTCAAGCATGGATGGGATATGGAGGCTATGCTCGCAGCCCACTCCCAAAGCCAACTGCCGAGCAAACTAAATCATGGAAAGAGGGATTTAGAGAATTGGTGTTGCTAGAAAAGTCCTTGTGATAGGCTGCTAACATCCGGGAACACAGCAGTGGAAAGGCACAACCATCAGCGTATCTCGATCGCCGCGGAAGTGGGCGCTATTCGGTCATCGAAAAAGACTATAGAATAAAGTGAACTAAAAGCATTGCGAACCCCTGTTCACTGTCATGGATTGACGTCAGAGTCGCTGGTCAGAGGAAAGAAGCAGAAAAAGGCATCTCCTGTTGGCTTCACAGGATTTCACGCGCAAGGGGGGTAAAAGAACAACGGATATGGCATTTAAAAGCTAGGGTTTCCATTGCTTGCCCTCACAAGGTTCTTTTGCAACAGCACGAAGTATTGTGCGGTCGTATACCTACCAAGCTTCTCTTTCATCGTTCGCTTCACATCCGCCACCTCCCAACATATTGTCTAGCAGTTATCACGGCAACTACCTACCTACCTATTTATGGCAAACCTTCTTAATTGGCACGACGTTACGATTATCGTACTCTATGTACACATTTATCCTAGGAATTTCAATACAGTTATTATATTTGTTGTAAATCTTGGATATTTCAACTTGTTTCACGAACAGATCAGATAACCAACCACAGAGCCAGTCAGTTGAAGGTGAAATTTGATATTCTACTTAGCTCTCGGTTGATGAGCCGAGATGTCTCATTTCTAAAATTTCGGTCCCGGTAGTTCGTCATGTCTCTAAATTGAGGTAACAAACAAAGTCCCGAGATAGACTTGGTCGGACGAAGGTGTAACACGGTCCTAATGTGCAAAAACGTGGGATGTGATGCTGGTTTGGGCTGTCCCGAAGGGCCTCCACATCGCAGACGGATGAGAGCACCGACAACTTGACGCTGAATACCTAATCATTGACCAGCTGTATAATTTGACGTCTACCATCCAATTAGGATCGAGAATGTATGGGTCAACATCTCATTCGTTATGTCTTCTTTTCGAGCTTATGGTTCGGGCTTGACCTCGAACATTCGAGACTTCGAAATAAAAACAAATGGGCGAACATCGATCTGCTCATCTGATAATCATATGATAAAACCCACTACTTACTAAATGATCAATACAGCAGTTGTACTCATTAAACTACCCGTCAGGTTCGGCTACAAACCTCTTGGTAGTTGACTACCGTACCCAGATACGTGGAACCTGCACTTGGCCGAATGAGTGCTGTAAATACTGAAAAATGCATCAAAAACAATCTACCTACCTAATTTGGCTGGATTTAACTGGATTACATGCAACCTAGGCAATCTACCTCGAACTACATGGGTCAAAAACTTCTCGGGTTTGCCAAAAGCGGTGGACCACAACCTTGAGGGACTTCACGTTCCTGGGCCATCCGACGTTAGCTCGTACATATATTTTAGCCACGGGCGCGAAGAGACGCCGTCGTGGGACTTGCAGGAAGGGTCTTACGCTGTGTACCACAACGGCGACGCACAGCCAGAGCTGCGAGCAGAGCCATTTCCGGGCCGCCCAGGAGCTCATCCCCGGATATTGGGGCGTATAGACCGGAGCTGTCTCCGATAGGTCGGCTGCAGCCACGGCTTGTTATTATTGACTATGTGGGATGAGATAACTCGGTCTCTCTACGGACCACTTAGGTTCCTGCAGCCTGCCCAAACCCGATGTGTGCTCTGCGTGAGAACATGGCTGGCGGTACACACGCACGGAACACGCTTGGCTGTTCCGCAAGGAACGTACGATACTTACCTATGTACTCACCTACGATACCTGACCCAAAATGCTTTCACAGGACGGCAACGCAGAAGCGGTGAATCATTAATATTGTCACCTAACCGAAGATCGGACGGCCTCCTAGATACGTAGGTAGACCTGACCTATGACTGCCCAGTGGATATCCTCATCCACAGCTCCGAATCGGTGGCGCGAAGCAAGATCCGATGATGCCAAAGACAAACCTCGTGTGCCTCATCGAGTATATGTATGATACCTGTTGTGCTGCCTCATATCAGCGCTTCATAGGTTCATCCCCCACGCGACTCTTGGCCTCTGCAGCGTTAGCCCATCGTCTCCCCTAGAAGAGAAGCGACATGATATCGCAGAGTGAATCACAATGAGTGTACCGAGCGCTATCATAACACGAAAACTAACGTGCTTCGTTCTTCTGTTGCCGAGATGCGGGATCCCATGATCCATCTTCGAGTACTCCGATTGCACACTAGGGGCATGGGAAGTTTGCGAGTAGTTGATACGTTTAGCGCTCAACGTGCTTATTGAATGATTCCTGATTTCTGTATATTGAGGCTAACGCACACACCTGTTACTGTACCGTTTCCTGAGCCATTTTGGTTCAAAACCATGATGTCGATAACCAGGAGACTAACCCCCTGGGCTCTGTTCATGGCCGCCGCGGCACTAGCCGCTCCGCATCGGTTCGACAGGCAAGCCCAACAACCTATACCCGTAACCGGGATGAACACAGGTATCGACAATCGGACCGGCGAGAGGCCTTCGCGGTGGGAAATCAATGCCCTCGAACATGAAGGAGGACCTCGATGGTAAGAATACCCCTTCAAAATTATGTATATGAACATGCATATCTTAGCAAGAAGCAGGGACTTGTATATCCAGGGCCTCGCAGCACTGCAGAATAAGACGGAGACGGACGAGCGATCACATTTCAGTATCGCGGGTGAGATCATCCATCAGCCATCTCGGCCATCTTGGTTCTCTTCTATCCTCATACAGCATCTTGTAGGTATCCACGGAATGCCTTACGTTCCCTATAACGGGGTAGGCCCGGCTCCAGGGGGCTCGGGCGGTGGTTTCTGTCCTCACGGTGTAGCACCCCCTTTTACCCCTTTCTACAAGCTTGCGCCGCTAACGGCGGAAAGGAGGCCCAATTCGTAGCTTGGCACCGCCCGTACCTCGCCCTCTACGAGGTAAGTATGTAGGCAACCTCCTTATCCTATCCCATCCTATCTCCCACTTTCGGCTACAAAAAGCCTAGTCTTTATCCTCCTCCTCCTCCTCCTCCTACGCCTCATCATCTCATTTTCTCACCCCCGCCACCCCGCCCATAGCAAATCCTCGGCTCCGAGATCCAGCGCATCGCCGCGCGCTACAACGCCAGCCACCGAAATTCCTCCGCGTACCGCGAGGCCGCGCGCGCCTTCCGGCTGCCGTACTGGGACTGGGCGTCGAACGCGCAGCTGCCGCCCTCGTGCGCGGCGCCGAACGTCACGGTGGCCGGCCCGCGCGGACCCCTGACCATGCGCAACCCGCTGTACAGCTACAAGTGGCCGACGTATCCCTTGAACCAGACGCAGTTCCCCGGGTCGGTGGGCTGGCCCGATGAGACGACGCGGGCTTCGGATGGGAAGAGTGATTTCAGCGTCGACGTGGTGAATGCGAATCTGGCGGCTGTGGCGGGGCAGTTGAAGGACCAGGTTGTGAGTTAGCTTGCTTGAGTTGGCAGGGTGCATGCTTCGTGTTTATACCTATCTCCCTGCCTAAATGCCTACCTAGGTATAAAGGTGATGGTGGCTCGAGACAGGAGCTGAAACTGACTATCAGCTTTGGACCGGATCTAGTACCGTACTTTTGCCTACGCCGAGACCTACGACCAAATGTCGTCGATGGCGGACCCGGCGGGGGTGAGCCTCGAGGCGGCGCATAATATCGTACATAACGCTGTCGGTGGCTCGTTTGCTTCTATTGATGTAACTGCTTTTGATGGGCTTTTGTACGTGGGTTTACATTCCACCCCCCTTCCCCTTATTGGCCGCTCTTCGCCCTTTTACATCTTTCCCCCCCAAATATTTGTAGGAGTTATTACCAAGCCGACAGTATACGACATATATAAAGTGTTCGTGACCTTAAACTGATATACACAAAAAGCATGCTCCATCACGCCAACCTCGACAGGCTTGCCGCTCTATGGCAAGCCATTCACCCCAATGATACCTACCAGTCGCGGTCCTACGCCAGCGGCGGCCTGTACGGCACTGCTCGCGGCGAGAACATGACGGCTGAAAGCCCGGTGAAGCCGTTTTACCGTGCCGACGGAAAGTCTTTCCACACGGGAATCAGTGCCTCGTCGATTGAGGCGTTCGGGTATACGTACCCCGAGCTTCGGGGTTGGGATTCCGGCCAGAGGAATCAAGGAAGTAGTGATCTTGTGTCTCGTATCAATGCCCTCTACGGAAGTGGTAGCGGCGGCGGCGATTTTGGTGAAGCAAGCTTGGCCGGTGACGAGTGGTTCGTGGAGATCGCTGTTAACCGGTCCGAGCTAGAGCTTCCTTGCAACATCGATATTCACGTAGGAGAGACGTTCGCCGGACGAGTGGCGCTGCTTGGGATGCCTATGCACGGTTTGGCCTATGCTGAGATTCCCCTCCAGAGGGCTCTTAAGAGCCTCGGCTTAAACCGGACAGGCAGTAATGCGGTGGAAAGGGTACTACGAGAGCAACTTCGAGTCGAGATTATTAAGGTACGTTATGCCACAGTCAGGTCAGTTGTGTAGGTATTACTTAAACTGAAAGCAGGGGAGCGGAGTCACTTTCGATGCTAAGGACACCACTGGACTGGTAGTGAATATCGCAGTCACGCACATAGTGTCTCACGGTAGCGATTTTGAACTCACCAAGTACGGACACGAAAGAGTTGCGTCGCTTGGAGATTGGTCTGGTACTGGATAGGTTTCTGCCGAGATCCCCCTATTTCCCACACTTATGCTTGACAACTACGTTGCCTCTAATTCCAGCATTATACACCTTAATTTTAATACTATTTATTAATCATCAACTTGCCTTTTAACTTTCGAATATTTTTCTAATTCCCTACTATGGCACATACCCCCTTTTAAATGGTCGAGGACACCGCCATAACTGGCAACAACAGGCCTAATCGAGGTCCTGCATTAAAATCAAATAAATTAATCAATTAATTTTTAATCTTACGTCCTATTAGGCACTTTTCAGACAGTTCTCAAAATCACATCGTGAACACAGCAGCTACTACACCCATTATCAACACACTCCAAGCCACCACCTCCTTTTCCCTCGCCCCTGAAATTTTCGGAGTGATCTCTCCTCCAGACCCAGGCTGAGACTCAGATCCGGATCCAGCACCCGAAGTGCCGTTCGACGCTCCCGCGATCCCAAGCAGCACGCCCTCGGCCCTCCTCAGGCTAACCTCCACCACGCCATTCTGTCCCACCTGAAGCGTCTCCTCGACCTCCTGGCCCACCTTCTCGCCAGTCTGCGCATCGAACGTGACCCCCGAGACCGCAACGCCGCTCTTCGCGTTCGTCCCTGGACCCGTGAGCCTCGTGACACCGACCTTGCTCCCCGCAGCCCACGGCGTCGAGACCGTGATCGTAGCGTTCGGCCTCGCGCCCTGGCTGAAGAATGTGCCATCCGTCGCCTTGAGGGTAGAATTATTGCTCAGCCCCTCAGTCCCGTTCCAGATCCCCATGTCGAGGAACACGAGCTTCTTCAACTCCTTCGTCGCGTTCCCCGCCGCGCCGCCGCCGTAAACCGCAAACCCGCTCAAATCACTCGAATTCGCACCAGGCAGCGCCGCAACGCTAAGCTCCTCCCCACCACCTTGGACAACCTTCGCGATGAAATAGTGCCCGTACCAATTCGCCCTAATCCCCGCTCCCAACGTCTCGTTCTTCAACTCATACGCCTTCGGCGTGAAAGCGCTGTACTCGCTCTGCGCGCCGAGATGGAAGTACGTCTTCCTGACCCCGATCGTCGCGCCCGTGAGCACGTAATCGGCGCCCCAGAGCGCGGCCCCGAACGTGTCGCTGATGCCGCTCTTGCCGCCGCACGACACCGAGTTCGTCTCGCCCATGACGAGCGGCGCGCCCGCGGCCTCGGCCGCCGCGGCTTGCGGCCCGTACTGCGACACGTTGAGCCACAGCGTCGTGTGGTTCGACAGCAGGTCGAGCCGCATGCGCAGCCAGCGCGCCGCATCGCACGACGACTGCGGGTACAGGTGCGTCGCGTACGTGCCGATAACCGCCTTGTCCTCCGCCGTCTCCTGCAGCGTCAGGTTCGCGATGCTGAAGTCGTCCACCTCGTCCTGCTGGTCGGGGACCCAGGGCGGGTCGGCGAACACGCCGGCCTGGAACTTGGGGGCGCTAGCCCCGGCCTGCTTGTACCAGTCCGACCCCACGACCTGCCCGCTCAGGTTCCGGAACTGCTGCAGGTACGTCGCCACGTCCCAGGACTGGTCGCGCCACCCTTTGTTGATGAAGTGGTCGATCTCGTTGCCGAGCTCGAAGAGCACGAGCTTGTCGCCGAGGGCGGCGTGCGCGGCGCCCGCCTCGGCGACGGCGTTGGCCCACGCCGACGTGTTGACGCCCAGGTTCAGCGTGTACACGAACTCCGTGCTGGGCGGGAAATAGTTAGCCCAGCCGTCGTACCAGCTCGGCGTGATGTTGAACAGCTTCGCGGTCGCGGCGTCGGGGATCGCGACGGAGGCGTTGCCCGTGGCCAGCGTGGGGTGGATGTACGTCTGGTCGGCCGTGTTGCCGCCGACGCGGATGCCGGGCGGCTTGCCCGTGACGTCCTTTATGGCGCTCAGCAGGTTGTTGGTCAGCGGCGTGCTGACGTAGTCGTTGACCCACGTGGGTTCTATCGAGTACCCGTACACGTCCGGGACTAACGATCGCGGCGCGAGGTCGCTTGGGACGTCGAGCACGACATCTTGGCTTGCGACCTCGACGGCGGCTGCGAGCGCCGCGAGGGCAACTGAACGAACAGACATAGTCGGGCTGATTTAATTAGCTAGCTGTACTAAGTTAAGAACTAGTAGAAAGGCAGCAGCTTCAGCTCGCACTGGACGAGAACGAGAGCGAAACCCGAGAGTAAGAGAGATCCCGCCCGTTTTATTTACCTAACCTGCCCAGCCCCAGACGTCATATCACCTGCGCTTCGCGTTCCGAACGTCCATCCCCCCCAATCCGCTCCGACGGTGACCAGGTACGAGGTAGCATTCCCAGATCCTAGGACGGGGGCGGCTAGGGTGGAATTGCGGGGACCCTGGGGCAGAATTGGGGATGGCACGGCCGACAAGCCGGGAAAATTCAGGCCGAAGCTAGACAATTTCCACCTGTGGGAAGCTGTGCGGCTAGGAAGCTTGCTTACCGACACAAAGATTTTAGCTATGAGGCTAAGAAAAATATCGTGATCCTTCAGAACACTACCTACTCTAAGTGATGTTCAGGGGTCGGTTAACTTAGTTGATTTCATAATGTTATGTCTGTCAAATAATGCACATGTATGGATTGCGCGACGCCAAGACATATATAATCCTCTCCCCGTTCCCCTTCAAGGCGAGGTGTACTTATACCCGTACTTCTCCTTAGCCTCGTTCAAGAACTTGTTCAACTCCTCCTGTTGCGCCTTCGTCTCCGGGTTCGACTCCAAGGACTTCAGGAGGGCGGCGTTACTAAACGCGGTCTCCTGCGGCACCGCGAGCCCCTTCTTCACGGCCGGGCGCTCGTGGATGCGGTCGAGCCACTTCTTGATGTTGGGGAAGCGGTCGAGCTCGACGCCGCTCAGGAGCGCGATGTTGGCCCAGCCGAAGAGGTTCATGTCGGCGATGCTGTACTTGCCTCTGCCGGGGCCGACGATGTAGTCGCGGCCCTCGAGCCGCTTGTCCAGAATGCCGTATAGGCGCTCCGATTCGCCGACGTATCGTTGTGCGGCGTACGGGATCTTCTCCTTTGCGAAGCGCAAGAAGTGGTTGGCCTGGCCTTGCATGGGACCAACACCACCGCTATTCGAGTTATTACAAGTTAACGAATGCTTCGCTCATAGAAGTGCGATTAGTAAGCAAACTGTTCACGTACTGTTGCCAAGCCATCCACTGTTCAGCGATGCTGTAATCGTCGCTGTCTACAGGGAAGCTAAATTTATACTCGGGGTCGTAATGACGGGTCAGGTAAGTGAGAATTGGGAGACCTTCAAAGACGGCAAAGTCGTTCCTGTCGTGGTCGACGATGGCTGGGATACGGCCATTGGGGTTGATCGCCGTGAACCATGGCTCCTTTTGAGTGTTTTTCATGATATTGACGGATTGCCATGTGTATTCCTTGCCATAGGCGGCCTTGAGCTCCTCGAGGAGGATGCTCACCTTGTGGCCGTTCGGTGTGCCTATGTGAGTTAGTTGAGCAATGTTTAGGCTACTTCTAAATAGATCATTATACCGAAAGTTAAGAGCTCAATTCCGCTCTTAGCGATAAGACCGGTTGGTTCAGACATGTCGGAATCTTGCTGCTCTTGACTCGACGTGGGTGGCGGTGGTGTTGCTGTACGCGATGTGGAGAACGTTGCTTTGCGGTGTAATGTGGTGGTGTGATTGTACTGTCGGAGATAAACAGAGTAAGAACATGCAGACGAGAGACGGGCAGAGGGAATTCTTATAGACCGCGGCAGCAGACCACGGAGAGCACTGGCGGACATGAAGATCAGATCAATGTCTGGTGTCTCCGCTAAATCCGGACGAGTGTCTTTCAGGAGACTTTACAAATACAACGGCGAAACTCTATGCCTAGACATACTACGATTGGCTTTTATTGGAAATATCACTTACTCAATTAATGTGGGGAGTGATACGAAACTCTTCAAAGGTATAGACTTTGGAATATCATATGCTTGTTTCGGACGTTTATTTCACCATAGTACGCCATTGAGATTTCTAAGCAGAACGCCGGTCCGGGGTTGCCCCGGTTTCAATCGTGTAGCACCGAAAGAACATCAGAGATCCAGATCGTTAGGATTAATAAGCAAAGACGTAGATGCAACCCATGAATGGTATATGACCCAATCCGAACCACTCTAATATTATTATAGGTATATGTACTTAGAAAGAGTATACTATAACCTAGCAGTATACACCTTAATTCTCTGTCACCTAATTCAAGCCACCGCCTAGGCGAACGGAAAGTGGGTAACATTCCTGAGCTTGGTACTTTGCTTCGGTGTTAAGCATCTCTTAATGGGACGATCCTTTTTGCAACGATCCGATCCAGCAATAGCATATTCGAGTCACGCCTAGCAAGTATATTTGCATATCTAGTAGCTGGACTGCATATATGCATGCAGCTTCCTCGTAGCTGCATCGGTTCCCTGCATCATGTACTTAGGAAAGCATCTCATTCGGTCTTCGTAAAAGCAACAGCCACTATCTTTGCTTGATCATACACGCGATTAACCTGAAGCTAACTAGAGCATGGTTCAACCAAGCCTGTCAGATCAAATAATCCATTTTGCATCTTATCCCTGCCGCCCTCATCGACACATCGAAACCGGCCGTAAAAACTCATTTTTTATTCCCATATCGGTTACCCTTGAACGTAAACTTGACCCCTAATTTTCGTAACCTATTTCGTAGCTCTAGTTCCCATACTATACCTTAGGCGCGGCAAAGCGGACCGGCCTTACGGACGAGGAACGGCGAGGTATCTAGATAACGTAAGGGGGGTCGTTCAAATAGAGTTGAACTTGAGAAATTTACCAGTAACCACCGCCACCCCGACGGTAGTCCTCTCGAGGATAACCACCGCCTTCGCGAGCTCCGTATCCACCATCCCGAGGTGGGAAGTCTCGCGGAGGTCGATCGTAGGGTCGACCGTTGACGTACGGGTCCGGAGGAGGGCCATAGTCGCGTCGGTACGGGTCCTCGTAACGTCCACGCGGGGGCGGATAGTCATCGATAGGTCCACGGCGTGGCGGCGACCTGTAACGACGATCGTCGTAATAGTCGCGACGAGGAGGGCTCCTGTCGCGATAATCATCACGATAACCGCGAGGGCTGTAGCCACGAGGCGGACCACGTCGATCATATCCGTCACCGGGTGGGCCGTGAGGTCGACGACCCGTGGGAGAGCGCGAGCGACCACCGCGCTCGCGGACAGGGAAGTCCGGCTGGGTCTGATACCCGTGGTTAGCGCGTGCAGAGTAGCGGACGGCTACTGGACTCACGTCAGCGATGCAGTTGACTCGTTGTCCCTTGAATTCGCGGCCGTCAAGCTTCTCCACCGCAGTCTTCAAATCCGCGGCGGTTTCAAACTCGACGAAGCTGTGGACAAGTTAATTAGCCGATATGCGGGTATATTTAGGGGATACGTTGGAAGTCTTCACTTACCCACGGCCATTGCCGTCGCGGCCAGTCTCCGAGTAAACGACATCCAGACTAGATTGTCGGGCAAAGTCTTTGAGGTCCTAGATCCAGATTCCATGTAAGTGGGGGGTCCGAGGAGCGGAGTAAAACATGTGCGAATGAGGCCAAAATCTCCAACTCCAGAAGCAGTACCAGCAAAGGAATGCGGTCAAACCAATCCAAGCAGGCGGCTAGGTCCAACACGGAAATCCTCAAGGAACCTTGACCAGCTCCTAAGACCTGTCCGCCAGAGGTTGGGAGAGTTAAATCGATGGGCATGACATCACAAACAAAGCGTTGGTTGACATCAGCGTCCTCGCTACGGAGGCGAAAAAAAAGCACACGGCGCAAGACGGATCTCTGTACCAAGGGAGGGAAAGCATGATCTAAAGCCAGAATCCGAGGGCGAAGAACGGGAAAACGGGAGTTAAACAGACCTGCCAGCTGGTTTCATTGGGAAGTCCAGTTATCTGCATGCGATGAGGGGTGCGACGAGGGCGCGGAGCGCTGCGTTCGTGGCCACCGAAGCCTTCGCGGTGACGAGAGCCTCGAGCGAACTGCACGGTCAAGCGTTCGCCCATGAAGTCAGATCCATCTTTTCGTCAATATTAGCCAGGAAACAGGGAAGTAATCAGGAGAGACGGTGGCCAGGAACGGTCCAAGACGTACGGAAAGCTGCGACGCGGCAAAGTTAGCGATTGAACTCGAAAAAAAAAGCTTTAGAAGCTATAACAGGGTGGGGTTTGTAGTATGCTCACCAGGAACAACATCGCGCGCATCCATAGGATCCTTGTATTCAATGAAGCCGAATCCATTCATCAGCTTGACCTCGGTAATCTCACCAGTGCCATGGGTCGCGAAGTGAGCTTCGACATCGGCCTTGGTAGCTGGTTACGAGCGTTAGCACCCACGACAAGGGCGACACGCCAAGCTAGCTCAAGCTCTGTTACACCGCAACACGAGCTCGAACACAAGCTATAAAGGTATAATTACTTACCACCCTTAGGCAGGTTTCCCAGGTAGAGCCTGGTAGCAGAAACCTCAGTGGACGCCATAACTGCGGTCGATTGTAACTTGCAGGCGCTGAGATCCTATTTTGGACGAAGACCTAAGTAAAAGCCGAGATCCTCGTGCGCGACGAGTAGGAAAAGACCTCGTCTGCAAAGAAGTCGCAGAAACGACAGCAGCCTACAGATCAAAGGTTTGGTAAACGACGACCCGATCAAACGAATTGTGGTTTGGTGTGGGAACCTTGAAGAAAGACCAGGGCTAAGAAAAAAACCCGACGAGGAGGGGAGAAAAACCTCGAAGGCGTCAAATGTGTGGGCAACCGGAATGACGATGTGGGAGGGAGGGTTTGGATGGACCGGCTACGATTTTGGATTGAGGTGGGAAAAGGGACGTAGCGGTCTTGATTTTAAGATGTTCAAGGTGGGAGGAGTTGTTAGGTTTGTCAGGTTGCGAGTCGCAGGTTACAGTTTGTACGATTAAGACCCGACGACGCAACTGCTGAAATTAATAAGGTTGACAAGTGATTAATGCAGAGGCGAGTGTGATGGGTAAGAGACTGCGGACATGGGAAGGTGTGAAGCAGGTGCGAAAATGCAAGGTGCACGGTACACTTAATAATGTGGAGGCGGCAAAGATCCTCTCCCCGCACGGACCAAAAACGGCAGCCTAAGGTACCTAAAATTGTGTGGACCTTGTTTAGATCGAACTTAACGGCTAGGTACTTCGTATCTTGGTAACCCTCAAATACAACATGGACACAACACATTCAATGGTGATTTAATAACAGTTCGAGTCTGATTTGTTGAAGTATGTCATAGCAGGGTTTCACGAGAGTGATACCCTCTCTAATTTGAGCCACCATTGATAATATTAACTGATAACAAGGGGTTATTTCTCAAGAGTTTAGACCTATACTGTAGACTATAGTCGTGTTTGTCATGGCTTGTGTAAGAAAAGCCAACAAAACAATGGGGAATTGTATGGTAGCTTGGATAACTTCACTTGTAGCCACCAGGCAATCACTTGAAGAAGGAAGACTTTACTACGTATAGGTAGGTAGGTAAATTACTAATTAAATAAAATTTGATGTTGATTCAATTAAGGGAATCCGGGTTCCAATTGATCAACATCAATCATCGATGCCTTCACTTAATAAATGCCAGATGAGGTTTATTGATTATCTATTAAAATCTACCTACCTGATGCCTATCCTTTCGGGCTTAGGAAACGTGTGTAGGCGTCTGAAAACAGGGGTACTTGTTTGAAATACCCCAGACTTTAGGTCATCTACTCGTTCGCCTCACCTAGCTAATACCCTAGGTACCGAGCTCCTGGATACACCCTTGAGCATGGATATAACAAGCGATCATCGCCTCGCCTTCCTTGCCGCGACTCTTAATTCGAAGCCTGGTCCTTCCAAGCATGCAAAAGGCATACCCTGCCAACTACAGTGGTATCAAGTATTCATGAGCATTCATCAGCACCTCGATAACATCCTAAACACTCCGGTCCGAACGCCTTGCTATGCTGCATAGAAGAAAAATAACCACGTCTCTGCGGTTTGACGGGCTAACTTTCGTTGAATAGAATGTCAATAAGCTCGTCCATGATCGTGAAAGTCAGGTGTGAGCTATGACAATTCGTCAGCACTAGAGCACGGGTCTTCGGGGGTTGGGGATTTGCAGGATAGGTACATACTTTAATCTCGAGTTATTCAGCGTCGCGAAAATCCTGCGGCTTGCTGCTTGAGCATTCAGCCGCCCGACCACGTTTCCGGCCAAATCTGGAACTAAGGTGGCTAGCATCAAGCTTGCTTCCCTACGAGTCCGTGCCTTCTCTGGCGGTGTCCTAGGCTGCTTATTTCTGTTGATCTGTCCTCCGGGCCACATGCTGTTCCTCAAGAGTGCGATATATTTAAGAACAGCATCTTCTTGGACTAGCACCTTGAAGTTGTCCCGTACTTTTCGTTCAATAGTGCCCCCAAGCATTTGGTGCAAAACAACAACGACAGCTCGTCCACGAAGCCAATTGTTGCCCCTGTTAAGACCAAATACCTCGAGGAATATATCGCATATAGGTTTGATGAAAGGTTCAAGTTCCTTGTTCTCAAATGCATTTAACTCCGCCTCGGCTTCAGCAGTTGTCATGGCATCCTCATTGATGCTGAGCGGCATTGTGCTCATCTGGCTTGTAGCGGCCGCGATTAGATTCTGTCCTGCCAGAGATAGCTGGTCTAGGACAGGTATATTTCCTAGGATGTCCTCCATGCCATCGGTGACGGAATCGTATAGGCGAGTGATCATGTCCTTCTTGTCTTCGCGGCTCATCAAATCCTCTCCTTGGGTGATCACGCTTTGTGACAAGAAAGCTCGAAGATCCCTGCTCCGACATACGTCTGGCAAGAGAAGTAGCTGACTTAAGTATTGTTCTAAAGCATCGCGTCGCTTGCGGAGAAAATCACTCTGGAGCTTCATGACCATCCGTCGTCGTGGAAAGTCGAGGTTCCGTACTGATGGATATCTATCCCGCAACTTCTGATGAAGTTCGTGGAATTCGCTGTACCGTCGCGTTACTATCCAAGTAGCTGCGGGCATTTTCTCGCCAGCGTCCCTCTTTACCTCGACGACGTAAAGGGCAAATTCTTTGCCATCTTCCTCTCGTCCTACCTGGATGGACTTGATTTTAATCGACGCGCGTCCGTAGAGACTATTGTCGTTCTCTTGGATTACATATTGTTGCCTTTGCAATTCTTTTCGCCTGAGCTCCCTTTGTAAACTCGCTTTTGATTTTCGTAAAATACGTAGTTCAGCCGTGTTGTTTGTTAACTCTGCCTTTTTCGTTAGTGATTCTATGACAGCTTCCTGAGCAGCAAGCCGTTCGATATCGTTTGTAAGGGCTGTGATAGCCTCCGCAAGGCCAAGGTCCCCTGGTGCAGCCTCATGTACCTCGTCCTCGGTATCGGCAATTTCATCTTCATTATGATCTTGTTCATCTGATAAGAACTTGTCTTCGTCGCCGAAGAGATCATCATCCATGAAAACGCCAATCCTAGACGCCGCGCTTACAAGCCCAAGAGACGCCAAACTAGGCTTCTCGACTTCTTTTCCAGATTGTATTGGACGTTGCTGGTCCATCGAGCCTCTAGCTGAACCATTATCCTGCCCTGAGAACAAACTCGAAGCCCCGTCGTCGTTTTCTCCGAATAAGGACTCGCGAAGATCCTCCGCGGTTTTTGGCCGGTTATCATCTTCCATAATATTATTAAGTGCCTCCTCTACCGCCTGGACAACTTGGGTATCCGGCACGGGTATCGAAGGCTCCTGATCAAGACTTAACAGTGAATCAGTCATCGGGTCATGATCTAAATCATCATCGTCAAATAATGGCGAAGAGATGCCCTCATCTAGCGACCGTCGATGGCCCATCAAATGATCTGAGCTATGACTAACATTCGCACCAGCGCTTTTTAGGTCCGAAGCAGAAAGACCTCGTCTAACCTGGCCATTGGACGTGCTGAGCTTCGGGTTGAGTTTTGTTACAGACGAGGGTTTCAACGCATACGATTGCGAGGGGCGAACAAGTGGCGGGCTAACTACTGGTCCTGCCTGAGGCTGTCGAGAGAGAGGAATACTCTTCGATGCCTCTTCCGATGCCAGGGCCTTATAGAATAGGTCTGACTTTTTAAATGCGTCGAGAAATCTAGACTGCATATCCTCAAGTACAGCACTTTGAGCTCGCAATACAGCTCGGCGGGCTTTGTAATATTGTGCTGGAGAAGCTGCTTTGCCGGCATCTAGGAACTCACGAATAGTTCGTCGCGAACTAGCAGGAACCTTTAGTTCTGGCTTAGACAGGTACGCCTGGTCGATCTGAGCGAGATCAACGCGATCGGATTCGGTCCAAGGGCCTAGAGTCGAAGGTAGTTGCTCATCATCGGGTCCATCGTCTTCTAGGGGGTTTCGTAGGCCATCCACAACTAACCAAAATTGTACAAGGGACATCAAGCCTTGTCTATCCATGTACTCCATGAAGTAAGAAAGACCTGACGTGTCGCGTAGCAATTCGACTAAAGAAGCATTCTCGAGCTTGGAAGAACCGGAAATTGGTGAAGGATTACTTGATAACGGGACACGTCGTCCGTCACCACCCGCTGCTAACTGCTGGACCCTCTGATCTAGAAGGCGTTTGCCCATCTCTAGCCGACGAAGGTAGATCGGATCCTGGCCATTATACTGCGAGTCCTTCATTAGCTGACTTGCCACTTCACTTCGAAATCGCCTTGCGTCGGACAAGTTATTAAGTTTGCGAATTGTACGGATAAATCTCTCAAATCGACGTTCACTATCTCCCGGAGCAAGTCGTGGGAACGCCACTGATTTGGAACTTTTTGGTGTTGGCGAGGCATGCGCATCCAGGGCCGCACGAAGCTTACGGACAGTTGATCGATCCTGTAGCATGCTTCGGCCATAGTTTTCCATCACTTGGTTCCAAGTATCAGGCTCAGAGAGTAATTGTAAGGTGGGAAACAAGACAGCACAAGAGACAATTTCGCGAATAATGCTGAATACGGCACGGCTGTCCAACAAGTTGTTAGGAAGCACTTTCGGTAGGATCCTAGTGACTATATTCCGTAGATGATCCTGCTGTACTAGCTTTGTATCTGAGTAGGTCAGAGATGCGGCGGGGTGTAATTTGCCATCCCGATATTTTGCGGCGATAGCTAAGTCCAATTCTTCAGATTCGGTAACGTCACGGTTCAGTCTGCGGCCGCGCACCGCTCTCTCGGCGTCGTAGAAATCCCGAAAGTGAGCCGTCAATATCGGGACGATTCTGCTTGTAACTACCTCTACCAGGTCCGTCTCAAAAAGACGGTCCCTTATTCCGACCAACGCATGCCTTATAGCGTTATCGACCGCGTTCGCAAACACGGGGTTCTTGCTTATGTTCGAATACCATGACTTGACAAAGTCCCGTAGGACCAGGTCGAGCAAATCGTCCAATGCGTTGGATATGGCGGGTGATTCGGAATATAGAGGTGCTCTGATATAAGTCTGCCGAAGTCGTAGGGCAGTCGTTTCTTTACGCCAGGAATCGGCACCCACAAAACTGACTGCATTCGGTCGCGCCGATCGGTTTCGTTGACCATATGTCGAGCCCCGAGAAGTTAGAAGCAATAGGCAAACACCTAGGAGCGAAATGATGGCGCCGCTGACGAAGGCATATCCGGCCCATCGAATGGCAGGAAACCAGCTGGTTGCATAACCCCATGCAAAAAAGCAAACGATGCCAGCCAAACCGACATCTCTCCCCTTAAGGGCCATACTCGGTTTGAAGTTGCGTAACTCCCAGCTTCATGATTCGTCCGTAGGGCGATAAGAATCGTAAGAATCGTAGGAATCGCGAATAAAGGCAAGTTGAAAGACGGAGGCGCTTATCGATTAGAGGTAACACGCAGCCTGTAGTAATTTCATTAATTGAATGGAATCTTCAACGATGAGTTGAACATTCAATAATCAGATGCGAAATAAGGGCACGGACCATGTATGCAAGGTACATACAAGGTACAGGGTACACGAATCATGATGCCTTTTCAAGACTTAAGTACCTTCGTACCTGTAAGTAGACTCATGATTTTCTTACCTGAACATTGATCCTTCAGGTTAAAAGTGAGAGATAGAAAAACGCACCTAAGTACCAAATGTAGATAAGACAATAGGTCATTGGTATGAATATCAGGCACAGGGGTATCTCTTTTGCTCATTTTATAACGGCAAGTATAATGTTCACAAGAGTCAACTCTTTCTCCGGGTCCCTTCCAGAGAACAATACTATTATCTTATAAATTTTCCATCATAGAATTGACGATCACCACGGAGGGTCTTCCAAGCGACGAAACAAGGCAACAAACTTCTGTCCCTTGTTTCTCTCAACCTTCTTCCCCTCCTCGGTTTCGGTTCTCATAACTTCCACGCACGCATCAGCATCTTGCTCTTCTTCAGATACTCTTTCAAACGAAGGGTGAGCTTCGAGATGTTGCACCATCCACTTATGAAGATCCTCGACGTCTGTAATGGTGTACACAATTCCACCTGGCTTCAAGACGTATGCGTACTCTGAGTTTAATGTAGTGGATACGATCCGGGCTTTGTGCTTGCGCTGTTTGAAGTGTGGATCCGGGAAGCAGATGAATATCTTTGAAAGCTGCCCCTTTCTGAAGAAATTAGGAAGAAACTTCATCGTGTTTGCCCGTATGCAGCCAATGTTCTGAAACTTCTTTTGCTCGGGATCCTTCGCACGAAGGGCTTTGATACGATCTTGAACGAATTCTGTTACTTGAGATCGGATCTCCATGCCCACTATCAATATATCTGGCATCACAGGAGACAATGCCACTAATAGACCTCCAAACCCACAGCCTATATCCACAACCTCGACATCCTTCGTAAGTTTTTTCGGTGGTGGGTTCGGTATTACTTCGACATCTTCAGATGCCTGTGGGAATGAATTCGATTGTGTATCTGCGACAAATGTCGGAAAGAATGTAGACCAGTCCATATCATCGGGTCTAATTGGGCTACAATGAATAAGTCTCGGAATATTGTGCAAAATTGGAGAGGTGGTAGACATACTATGTTAACTTGTGGTCTGAGAAGGGATTTGCATGCGCCCGTTGGCGATAGAATTTCTTCTTGGGCATGTTTGTCGTGCCATTTTCTTTCAAGGCTTGACGGTAGTCTTGCCGCTTCTGCTTCTTATTCGGAGGTCCTGGCATATTGAAAGAGTGTAGCGTTCAACACAATTTATTCATTTCAATGTTCAGTTGGAAATAATGCGCGAAGTGAAATTCAAGCTGATATGGTGGGGTATTAAGCTGAAGAGATACCTAGCTGAAGAATGCGCTAAGTGGGGTCCCGGGGGATGGGTGATAAACGATAAGCCGCTATTTTGCTCCGGTGAGGAGGTACAACGTGCAGTTTAGGTACAGTACGTACCGTACTTTGGTCGTAATTACTGTGCAGTTGCTGGGCAACCGCATCCCCAAATCTGCATGTGGTAACCAAAAGGCGGCGTAGCTCAACTTAAACAAAGTATCCACGAACCATGTGCTTAGTTGGTCAATCGTAACTGACCAAACTAAAAAGGTAAGGTTTAACGTCGAAATGTATTCAACTTGACCCTTGAATCCTCTATTTTCAAACCTTGAGACCTTCAACCTTCAATTCGACAACCCACGCTTTGCAGATGCAGATAGCTCAATCTATCGTCCGTTAGCTTTTGCTTCCGCCCGTTGAACTCAACGCGGTCACGGTCACGTCCTGAACATTGCTAAACATTGCTAAGCATTGCTTGATAGCACATGGTTACTGGCAATATTTGACGTTTTCCTTCCCCCATTTGTTGCATTTTTTCACATCCGTCTTTGCACGCCCTTCGTCGACGACCTGAATTGCTAGATCACATCTCCCATAGGCATTATGGCATCAGTGAACGACTACCACATCACGGCGAATATCGCCCCTGGTGCTGGCCGACAAATCCAGCACCAGCGGTCAAAGTCAAACATCCTGAAATCTTTCATCCATAAACGTACCAACTCCGATGGATCGCCTCTACCGCCCGCAGACCTCTTACCTTCATCAACGCCCGCTTCAGACTTCCAATACACACCCCACGATCACGAGATGGGTAACCTATTCTCTCGCCCTGTCGCCTTAGGTGAAATTCCGCAGAATTCCTCCCGATCACCGACCAAGGACCAGCCAAGTGCTCCTTCATCCCCAGCCAAAAAGGGATTCAGTAGCATCAAGCAACCTAAGCAGAGCTCAGTCAAGCCTAAGAAGATCAAGTCGGCTACGAACCTTATCGGTCTTCTGAGCCGTCCCAAGAGTTCAAAGAACTTGAAAGTACAGTCGGCCGAGGACGAAGACCGATCCAAGCAGAGGAACAAGGAAAATCAGCCTCCCCAGACTTCCCAGGCGCCCCAAGCACCTCAACCTATTACTCGCCCTCCTATTTATGCTCAATTTTCGAGTGGTGCGGTAGAGAAACAAAACGAACTAGATCACATAAAGGATCAGAATATTCGTAGATACATTACCAACAACCAATCTTCATCCAGCATGGTATCAAGTAATCGATCAGCCAAGGAGCGACCCAAGTCGTACCACGCGCCTAACCTGCAGTCTGCTGATATGAAGGCCGCGTCAGGTAGCGCGAAGGCCTCTAAGTCTAAGATCCAGAGAGGTTTCAAAGCACTGACCGGCAGTACCGAATCGCAGAACAGGCCTCTTTCAGCTCAATCCGCCGAACCCGTACTCGACCCGAAGGATGTCGACGAGCAATTCGAGGCAATGCTTGATCGACGCAACATTCCCGAGCATCAGCGATACAAGATGCGAAACCTGGCAGGCACTATGAAGATGGAGTTAATTCGACAGGATTGGGCCGAGAGCCGCGGTACTACCGGCATGAGACCGGAAAGTGTTGGCAGCGATTTCAGTTACAACGCTTCCCAGGTGCAAGAGCAGGAGAAGGAGAAAGTGAAGAAGTCGCGCGGTCGAACCTTTACCATGTCACGAGGCAAGAAGTCAGATTCTACTTCTCCCGTGAAGAAGCAGAAAGGCGAAGGTTCCATAGGACGGCACTTTCGAAGCAGATCGACGGATAGTGTGGCTAGTGAACGACCCGTATCCGGTGGGTCGAGCACGGGAAGCGGTATTCTGTCAAGAGTGATGCAGCAAGGACCTGTAGATTTCGTGAACTACCTGCGTAAGGTGCAGAAGCCAGAGCTGGTAGAGGTCGGCAAGCTACACAAGCTCCGCTTACTGCTGCGAAACGAGACGGTGACTTGGACGGAGGAGTTCATTCGACAAGGTGGTATGCAAGAGATTGTAAGCCTCCTACATCGTATCATGGAGGTTGAGTGGAGGTAAGCTCACCACATAGGCCTTTGGCGAAAGAAGACGCTAATCACCACAACAGAGAAGAGCACGAGGATGCTCTACTACATGAGAACCTCCTTTGCCTCAAGGCACTCTGCACCACCGCTCTTGCGTTACAGGAACTTCATTCACACCAAGGATCGTTATTCCCGGCCCTCATACATATGATCTTCGATCCGGACAAGAAGGGTCCTAGCGAGTTCACCACACGCAACATCATTACCTCTGTGCTGTTCACCTACATACAGTCAGCTGCGCCCGCCGACCGCCCAGTTCGCGCCAAGACCGTGCTTGGCCATCTGCGTGACCCCGAACCGAAGGAGGAAGATCGACCCCTCGGCTTCGTTCTCGATATGCGCCGAGAACGCCCGTACCGTATGTGGTGCAAGGAGATTTCGAACGTGGTCAAGGAGGTCTTCTGGATCTACTTGCATCGCATGAACGTCGTTTACCTTCCGCGAGAGAAGGAGCCCAAGGATGGGGCTGGCCCGTCGGGGATGGACGGCGTGACTTACATGGAGACCTACTTTCCTAGTGAGAGAGCTCCTCAGCCAGCCGCTCCCTACGTCGGCGGAGTAGAATGGGATGCTACAAACTACATCACGTCACACCTTGACCTCATCAACGCCATCCTCGCCTGCACCCCGACAGCAGAAGAGCGCAACAACCTCCGCGGTCTCTTGCGGCTATGCGGGTTGGAGCGCAGCATGGGAGGCAGCATGCGCCTCGCCAAGGAGAAGCTCTACCCTTACCTGCACGAGTGTCTGCGAACCTGGGTCGCAGCCGCGGCCGAAGACGGTTGGGACGTGCGAGATGTACGATACGGTCCGCCCGCCACGCCCGCCACTCCCAAGAGCCCGACCAAGAGGCAGGCGGGAGGCGGAGGAGGAGCCAATAACAAGGGCAAGAGCAAGGTCGAGGAGCCGCCGCCCAAGATCGACATGCCTCAGTTCAACTTCGGACTAGATTCTGATGCGTCCCCATCCCACCGCGCGGCTGCTCCCGCTGGCAAGACCGGCGTGGACGACTGGCTCTCGTAACGAGGGTAAATAACGAGGGAAAATGACCCATCCAGCACCCGGTGGAGGGCCGGTGGGAGAGCCACACAAAGTCTCGCTCCTAACAGGGAAAATGACGGACGCCCCGTTAGATCAACAGTTGTGGTTATGGCTTGGAATCATAGTGCTGACTTGTGTCCATTCGTCTTCGCTGGCTGGTTCTCGCGTCGAGCTAGGGGACGCCCGCCAAAACGGGACACTGGACATCGGCATTTTCTTGGCCTGTGTACTGTATTTTCGGGAGTTATTTTTTTTCTTTCTTCATTGGGTTTGCTTTTTTTCAGGGGGGGGTGTTCAGGGAAGGAATAGGTGTTCTCGTCATCATAACATCATGCCCCTTCATGATTTCGGAAGGGGGGTTATTTCCATCTTTGACCATCCCTTGGTAATGACGTCCGGTTGGGCAAAGGAACTTATGGCTCTCTATTCACATACACATCACACAACACACACATACACACAAAACGCACGCGGTAATGCGGTAGATTGAAACGAAACGATCATGACGACTTATGAACTATGGCAATACAGCTCGATGAATCAAATGACCTTCCCACAAGAGAGACTGAGTTGTACATATATGTGATGTGTACCGTACCTTGCTTTTGTATCCTGTTTCTGTGTCTTGGTAAGCCACTGGCGTTGCGACTCGTATGACCTCGTGCTTCTTTGCCGGTTACGTGGCTGAAGAAGCTTCGGGTGCTGGCTGTTATAGTCGATCAACCATCTAGGGCTGCCGAATCGGGGTGCCTAAGGCCGCTCGAGGGGCCACTTCGCAAGCCTAGGGGCGGTGAAAACCTAGCATAGGCGTCCGAGTACGGCTGACGATATATAGCCAAGTCCACCAGACAAACGAGTCGCGTTGCCGGTGGCCGATTTTACACTCCTCAATGGAGCCAGTGGCTAGCAATACTAGTAATGAATAATGTCTAATTACCTAACGTCCCAAAGTACCCCATCGTCACGTATGGAATCTTCCATAATCCAAACGAAGGATGGCGTCCTTAGATAGAAGACGGCAGGGCTAACCTTAACTAGTCAGTAGTAAGAGTCTGAAACTAACTATACCGTATGCTTCCGACCGCTATCGGCTAACCATGCGAGGGTATTCGCTTCGTCCCGTATACTCCTAAGGTGGATACGGTAGACATTGGCTTGGACTATGCGTGAATTGCATAATCGTGCCGCGTGCTTCTCTGCCGGAGGAACCGACCCACGTTCAGCTTCATACCGCCATCGCTAGTCCTGGTAATAGTTTGAGAGGTCGATCAGCGACAGTACGAGCAGGTTTTATCGAGCCGTTACATCACGCAGGCTTTCCCATTATGGGCCATAGTATATCTCATGGGACATGATGTAAGCATTGGCGGTTCTGGAAGCGCATCGATGTCGTATGAATAAGGTTGCCTTCGCCTATTTGGGTCCCAATGCGTCGAGGCAGCATCCTGGAATTGTGAAATTCGATCCTGCTTAGCCGTAAAGATCTTCAGCATAGTGCTCGGTCTATTCCGAGTGTATCCGCTGACTGACGTGGTTTGGACAGGCGGCGAGAGACTGCACGATAGGCTGAGATGAATGAATAACAAGCTCTGTTCAAGAAAAGTTCGGTTTGGGAAGAGATTGCCCGAGCTAATGATCTGCAATGCATGCTAGACCGAATTATAAGAACAAATTAGATTCGACCAGCCCTCGCTCGAACTGTAGGCCGTGGAGGATTTAACTTTGGGGTCATGAGGAAGTCAGCATTATCAAGATACAATTAACGTAACGTAACGCCCCGAGAGCATGATGCCTCTTCGTCTCTACCAGGCTAGACCGATGACATGAAGCGTCTCATCTAAGAGACGTTGCGCGGGGAGACCGGTGTAAAATATGATAAGTCCCTTCTTGATGCGGAGCCTCAGTTGAAGGTGAACCAATCAAATGGGCTCCCGACGAGCAGGAAGTAGATCCCACAGATGACAGTGCAATAAGAATGACATTGGTTCTGTAAAGTCGCATTTGTATATGTGTGAACCGGGGAATAGAATGCTCTCCGAAGATATCATGGGGTCCGAAGCACTTGGCGGGCTTGGGGTGACAAGCAGGTCTCGTCCCCAGGTCTGCGTAAGTGATAGCCTCTGCATGATTCTTTCGGTTTGGGTCATTTCGTAGGCTCTGATAGGCCCGGAAATATGGATGAAACTCGGGAGGCTAGCCATGGTACGCAGACTTCGCAGCCAATGACCGAGTACCCGATGAATCAATCATGTGTGTCAACACACTGAACCAGGAAGTTGAACGGTACGCCGGTATCGTACAAAACGGGACCCTGACAGACAACCAGAAAAACATGAGATCGGGAGAAAGAGGGGAAAGAGAAACTGGGTTCGACGGGGTTGACAACAGACAACCGAAAAAGCCTAGATCAACCGAGGCGTTCGACAATAACTCTGCTCGTCAACGACTCTGAAGATCATGATAAGGCGGAGTGACCACTGATGATCAGGTTCCAACCGACGACCCTAATTTCATGATGCATAGCCAATGTGTGTGTACTATGCATTGAACCAACCTGCCAACCCTAGCTTGTCGTTGGCCGTGGTAAGTCAAGACCGGAGGAGACCAATGCTCGTTGGAACATTTGAGAACCTTTGAAGTCGACGTGGTTGGTTTGACGGTACGGTCCGAGGACTTATCTATATTGCGTTTCGTGTAAGGGCTTTTTTGGTTTTGCTTCTTTGCTTCTTTGCATATTGTAAGCTAGCCATACTCGATATCTCTTGACGTCTGAGAGTTATTAATGCCATGTTCCAAATTGTGTAATCCAAAAGAAAAAGGGTGCCGAGAAGATATATTGGAAATGTCTAAGAATAATGAGAAGGCAAACGAGCTGAAGGATCTACTAGTCGGATAGGTAGTTCCAACAAAGGCATGGTTACGTAATTAGCCAATAGTGGATTGACTTGCACTTGCCAAGTCTATGGGACAATATAGTAAGTAGGTAGTTGCTAACATTGATGGTTTAGGAATCAAAATAAAAATAAACTATTTGCTCTTCCTTTTTAAGTAATACCCTATTTTACTTTACTTCTTCTCAACATCCAAGTTGGCCGTTCCGCTCATAGCCCACTGCAGTATGTTGTGATGTATGTGTGAGGCGTAAGATACTTGACCTGAGATATTAAAGCATGTGAAAGGTTATAGCTATAGAGCCAATGAGAATGTACGAAATGACCGAATAAGTACGCACCTCCATTCACAGGTACCTACCTAAGGTATGCTTATTATACGTACATATCAACCTATATATGTACACAAGACAAATCCAAGGCAGTCTCACTTTAATATCAATTAAGAAAGTTTTATGCATCATGTAGGTAGTACTGTAGATTAGGTAAGTTCGAGAGGTGACATCTTGGAACTTTACCCCTCTTAGGTATCACAACTTTGTGTGATGGAGCCTAATCAATCTTATCTAATTATGATACATGACTCCTCACGTTCATTTAGCGTGAGACAGAGGTACCGGTGGCTTGAACTTGAATGACCGCCACCTTCTTACTCAGGTTAGTCCGTTCCATTCTTAGCTCCTTGCCTTAGGGCTTTTGGACCGGGGTCTGGGCGATGTCTTGGCACGCATAAATTATCCCTGGTCTAGAGCTCTTCTTTTCCCACCTGCCCAGCCGTACCGAACCGGCGAATATCGCTTACCCATACCACCTGTAATCAGGTCTTCGTCATCCATCACACTGCTGCCCAGTGCTCTATCGCTCTATCGCTCTATCGAGAATCGAGAAAGGCTTTTCCGACCTACCAGTAGAAACTTACTTACTTCAACGGTTTCAGGTACATTGTCGGCCCTTCCGACTGGAAAACCCCCCCTTGGACGTGAGCATCATCATCCCCTACCACTATCACCACCGTTGTCAAATAGGCAGATACCTAGGTTATCGAGAACCAGGAAACCAGTTCCCGGTTTTGCGCCTTGCAGCTGAAGACAGGAATCCTCCCTATTGCACACCCCATCAGTCAATATCAAACTTCGCCATCCACTAGAGCTATTCCAGCGCCTACACAGTACAAGTGCCACTCCACACCTGTGAGACCTTGTAGAGCCCTGCTAGTTCTGTCGTACCAGTCGCGCGCCGTTCTGCTACCAGTTCCGGCAGCGCAAGTTCCAGCGGCTACCGTGTTAGTGGCCCACTATTATCAATATCAACATCTCCATCAAACTACCTGCAAGCCGTGCCGCTCCGAGGCCAGCGAGAGCCCACCGAGCCAGTTCCTGTCACCTAAATCGCTGGGACCTTGCCGGTTTTTCTTGTGCCGACGAATCCCAGGAGCTCGGTTGGCCTTGCTAGGACTTGTGCACAAGACCCGAGAGCTGACCACCAAATTTGTCCGAAATGTCAATAAAGTATGTATGAGTTTCTCTTGTCTGCCTGTATCCTATTCCCATCGGCTTGAGCCTCGAACGAGCCCTAGGCCATCGTCCTCATCATCCCTCCCCTTACCTAACCTCCCCCTTTCTTTCCCCTTTCTCTCCCATCCGCGACTCCTAGGATGTAATATCCGTCCTTATCCTCCCTGAGAGCCTCGCTCTTTATTCTACGCTTTGCATGCGTAATTAATCTTGCGCCGTTCGTCTCCCATCGTCATAATGGACTACGGCCTTCACGACCAACATGCGTCGTATATCCTTAGCCAGAGCAACCGGGGTGAGGAGGACACTAACTTGGATGCTAGCTGGGTCATGCTGTCCCGGGCCGGGGAGATAGAGCCTCTGCCGCATGAGACTATCCTACACAGGACAAGAGGCAGGATAGCTCTCAGCATAACCGCACCGAACCAACCAGCCGGCGTCCCTCCTCTCAGCATCAAGAGCGAGAGTGGCACGGCATACATAACGAACCAAAGGGTAAGCGGTAACACCACGTATCACGATATTAGAGTTGAGTGTTAGATTAACCTCTACCCTTAGTTGATCTATCTACCTTCCAAGCCTACGGATCAATTCAAGTCTTTTTCATCTAAGATATTAGCCTGTCAGGACAGCCGCATGTGTTCATCATGGATAGGCCCGTGGTATTGGGAGGCTCTTGTGAGACCAGTACCTGACGGCAATATCCCGCCTGAGTTTCCGAGGGTGAATCTGAGATTGACATTCAAGGATGGCGGTTCTAGCGAATTCGAATCGAAATTCGTGGAGCTTAAAGCGCGCCTTCACCACGCGGCGCAGATTGCGGAGGAATCGGGCCAAAGCAATTGGGCACAGACAGTTCATGACGAACAATTACCAGAATATAGTGGCCCTCAAGGTGGCGATGGCGCCAGCCAAGTAAACGAGGTGGCTCGACGGGCAGACGAAGCAGTTCGAGAACAGCAGGCCCACCAGCAAACTCCAGATGAGCCCCCACCAAACTATGACGAGGCTCAGGCTCAGGCGGTCAGCATGCGCTTCGACGAACGAATGCGGGAAGAAGCAGAAAGGGAATGATGAAGTCGGCCTATAAGCCACTATAGAATCTCGAAGCCGTCGTCTGATGTCGGCGACGAATTCGGTTACTTAAGGTCCTTGGTTAATGGGTCTTTTTGGAATCGACACAATAAGAATTTGATACCCCTGCCACTGAAAAACGACATTCGGTGTGCTAGCGTAGCTACTATCTACGTGTTTGTATCCTGGTCATATTCTAAGCGCTATTAGGTCGGCAGATTCGTAGCTTAAAGGGTGACGAAGCCGATTTGCGAGGAAAGTGAAGATAAGGAAAAGAATAATAGGTATCTATCTATACTACAAGAATAACAAGCGGAATACAATGCGAACAGCTAGTTGTGTCGTATGAAGAACGAGGGTCTAGCTATTTCTAGTACCTAGGTCTATTAGGTGAAGCGGCGAGCTACAGCTTGCGTCTCCTGCTAATAGGTTTTCGGAGTTGTAGGTTTTAGCACAGTGGCGATCAGGAATTAAAATACCTAAGTCAAAGATTAGTGATCTTATGAGAGTACACATACCGTACCTAGACATCGAAATGATGCCATTTACGTAAATACTGTTGACGAATGGTGGATATAAAGCGCATATTTCTCTATCCCATACCATATTAAATATATCGAAGCTTTACAGTGATACATGTACTTAAGCATACTATGACCTAACGATATAAGCTTTCGAAGGCGGAAGGGATCGGGCTCGGATCACGTGATTGAAGCTCATAACCGCGGCCAATCAAAATAGCTCAATTGGTGATGCTCTATTTTTCTCAGTGCCAACGTTTATCGGAGACCGCAGTTCACCACCAACCCTCGTTCATCCCCGAAAGCAAGCAAGGCATTCAAACCGCCCGACATCCGCTCCGAGCAAAATGGGTATCTGGGACAGCATCCAAGACCTCGTTGAGGCGGTGACGCCATGGACCACCGTCGAAGCTGAGGCTCCAGCTGAGGACAATGTACGATCTCCCCCACACCAAAAACGCACACGAGAAAGCTCGAGTCCGAAATTCGAAATTCCCCCAGATCCAAGCTTGCGGCTTGCGATCTAGAATCTGGTGGAATTTTGGATTTCTACACATACTTGATATTGTCGGGAAAGTCGGCTAATCGTTGACCAGGACTCTCAGGAAGAGGAGGCCGAGGAGGAGGAAGAAGAGGAAGACGAAGAGGAGATCGAGGATCCTAAAGAAAAATTTGAGGAAGGTTCGTCACATTACATTCATGTTATCCCTCGTATATGGGGTCTTCAATTCGAAACGACTGTATACAACAATGTTTACCACGTCCTTGAAGGCATCATCCCACCAAATACATAATACATAAATCGCACGACGCTATTGGATATCGGCTAACGACTACCAATATAGAATGCAAAAACTCCAAGCAGTGCTCACCTGCTAAACACCACTTTGACGAATGCGTTGAGCGTGTTACAAACGCCTCGGACGACGAACAAGGCAAAGAAGATTGTGTTGAAGAATGTAAGGCTCGCCATATATTGGTCCGGCGCATCCTCCCTTACAGGAATGCGTCGGGCTTCCTATATGTCTACTATATGGACAGCGAGCTAATAGAACATTCCGGCTTCTAGTCTTCCACCTCGCGCACTGCGCCAGCCAATGCGCCGCTCCCAAGCTCTGGTCCGTCCTCAAATAAAAGACGCAAGTCCGCTCCGGGAACCGCCGGCACCATGCACAACATGCCCTCGGAACTTCTAGAACGATGGTGCTGGTGGATTTTCGATCAAACAACCCGGCTACCCTTGCGCGGCCCCTGCCGAATCGGCCAAGCGGTGGTGATTCTGTAACACGATGTGCGGCTCGAGCGGATTGCACGCGGCCGGGGTACTTCAGCCCGCCTGCTCTATGTATCATAGACTGCCTTATCAACTATAAATTAAAATAGATCTCTGTTCCTCATCCCCCCGTTCGGTATATTTTCAACTTCTATTGTTAGTTCATTTGCTTATAGGTATCGTGCGTGGTGTTAAGCGGACGTGCGTTACCCTTAGACGCATTGACTGATGATACCTCGTATGTCTTCGCGGTCACTCTATTTTATAGTATCCGATGTTGGGATGGATTGCTTTTTGATCTTCATGAAATAAACCAATACGCTTCACTAACAATCTGGCCATAGAAGCTTATATAATAATACCTACTTAGGTAGATAGGAGGTTTGGAAATACCACGGGGTGAGACTTACCTAAGTGCCTGTCGACCACAATTGAAAACCCCTTTTCACAGTGACATTTGGAAATGTAACTTCAACAGTAAGAATATTCAAGTGGCATTGAAACTATGTGAAATGTAACGGCAGACTCAACTTACTAGTATATAGAGTCTCATTCCAGCAACTTGAATGCCTATACCACACCTAAAATATAGCCCTATCTACTTTTAAGGGGTTGTTTCAATACACACAATCACCCTATAATCAAGCAGATGTTGACGCACAGCAAGCACATGTCACAAGAGAGCGGCCGAGAGAAACTCAACGGACGTCGAAGATGGCCCGATTCAATGCCGGGTCACAGGCGGGATACACAGATTTATGGGTTACAATGGCATAAACCCTTCGAGACTCGAGGAGGGTTGGAGGGGTTATGTTACACGGAAACCGTCGCCCGATGTGGTAGGTGTGCCCCGGCCGCCCTCCAACCGCATCCCTGGCGAAGCTCGTTAAGAGTTGATGCTGTGCGTAGCTGAAACGCTATAACTCTACGGTTATTATCTTGCTTGCGCTTGCCTTAGATTTACCAGGGACTTACCTCACAGTTTCCCAACTTTCAGGCGCACCTTTCTATGTTGGTGAAAGAACCGGGTGTTCTGTGGGGTGTGCTACTAACTTAATCGGCCTATCTGTTCGTAGGCTCCACCTATCAAAGTTGCTCGGTTTCCTCGTCGCTTCTCTATTGGGAAAGCACCCATGTGTTGGTCGCTTTCGACGTTGGACGTACCCCTGTTTTGGATGGTCCTCGTAGCTTTTTGATCGTTGTAAAACAACAACCTAAACCGGCCTCAGCCTGGAAGTCTGTCTTGATATGAGACGAGCATACGTAGAGGAGATGGTTTCCTCTTAGGCAATACTAGTCCTGTTTTATTCCTTCTCTTATCAGGATACCACATTGTATCCATGATCTCTTAGCCGAGTTTAATCTTGTCCATTACTTGGGCCACTTTTTGTTGGCCGTGTGTGTCGTATCTGTGCCGCACCTGTGCCGTTTCTTTTGACGATGCGAGATTGAGACATACCGACTTGATGTTTCTCAACGGTGAAACTACCTTGTGCAACCCAAAAGGCCACGATATTCGATATTCGACGAAAGTAAATATATAGCTATCGGATAGTAATAATAAGTCAGCTGGCTGGCTGGTGGGAATCTAGGAATTTGGAGAGATCTTGGAAGATCGACGCGGGGCGACAATTCGGCTAACCGAAAATATCTGAGACTCCGATAAGGGAAATACCTAAAAAGCTCGTGAAAGACAGCCAGCCGAAGGAGGACGTCCCAAGAAAGAAACACAGGCGCCCGCGGGACGGACGGGAACCACAGAGGGCCATAATGTCGCTCAATAGCCGCAAATCGAACGAAGAGGAGGCCGTCACGCCGACGAACAACGATTACGACGACGGCGCTATCGCGAAGAAGGCACGCGACGAGTACGCCCTCAATCCCATAGGCTCCGGTTCGTCTGGCAAGAGCTCGCACACTAAAAGCGGCCACTTGCGTCTCGCTTCCGGCACGACCGACGTCGACATTAACGATCTGGCAGCCATCGCCAACCAGTCTCGGGAAGAATTAGAAAACGCTTCGATCGAGAATGGCGACCGCGGAAGCATCACATATAAGGTGTACAAGAGGCGGTGGTTCGGTCTCGTGCAGCTCACACTGCTAAATATCATCGTCAGTTGGGATGTAAGTTACTGTCTTTTATACAGCTTCTACGCCACAAGCAGGATATGCCCCCCATAAGGAATGGCTGCGAAATCTACCAATCGGTAGACGTCGTGCCACATACCCTGTCATTGTCACTTCATTTTCGTCTTTCCCTGCATCGTAGCCTCGCCTTGGTAGGATGTTGTGCTCCTATCGAGTTTGCATTTTTGCTACTCTAACATATCCAACACCAACACGAAAGGATATGCGATAAGCTGGCTAACACCCGAAATCCTCTAGTGGCTAACATTCTCGCCTGTTTCGCAAGATGCGGCCATCTACTACAATACGAACGAGTCCACCATCAACTGGCTCGCGACGGCATTCCTATTCGCTTTCGTCGTCATCTTCCCCGTAACAATCTACACATTGCACTGGGGGCCTAAGCCGTCCATCATGGCCGCCGCCGTGCTGATCCTCGCCGGCAACTGGATCCGATATGCCGGATCTCACTCCCGTGATGGAGGGATGTACGGTGTCGTCATGTTTGGTCAGATCCTCACTGGATTGGCGCAACCTTTCGTGTTGAGTGCCCCGACACGATATTCCGATATGTGGTTTACGGATAGGGGCCGTGTCGCTGCTACGGCCTTAGCTAGTTTGGCGAATCCATTCGGCGCCGCTCTCGGGCAGCTCGTCGTGCCGTTCATGGTCACGGGGCCTGGCGATGTTTCCGACGCCGTGCTCTACGTCGCTATCATCGTACGTCCGTTCGCGTAGCTTCTCCCTGGTAGTGATTAAACTAACCCGAAACCCAACCTTAGTCTTCTGTAGCAGCGCTCCCATCTTTCTTCATCCCGGCCGCACCACCCACGCCCCCAGGTCCCTCAGGCTCGACGCCCAAAGCCTCGCTTCAGGACTCCTTGCGGCTTCTCAAGTCTCTCGAGATCTGGCTGATCCTGATTCCGTACTCGGTGTACGTTGGCTTCTTCAACAGCATTTCTTCGCTTCTCAACCAGATCATGCTACCGTACGGCTTCTCATCCGATGACGCCGGTATCGCGGGCGCCCTGCTTATCGTCGTCGGGCTCGTCGCCTCCGCCGTCACCAGCCCGATCCTTGACCGCACGAAGGCCTTCCTGCTCGCCATCAAAGTCGCCGTGCCTCTCATCGGGCTGTGCTATCTCATCTTCATCTGGATGCCGGGCACCCGCGCCATCGCAGGCCCCTACGTGATCCTCAGCATCCTCGGCGCAGCGAGCTTCTCCCTAGTCCCCGTCGCTCTCGAGTTCCTGTGCGAGTTGGGACACCCGATGAGTCCCGAGTTCACGTCCACGATCGCGTGGGCGGGAGGGCAGCTGTTAGGGGGTATCTTTATCGTTATTAGCGACGCGCTGAAGGCGGGCAACAACGCGAATCCGCCGCAGAATATGGATAATGCGCTTATCTTCACGGCGGTGCTGGCGCTCGTCACCGTGCCGCTGCCGTTGGCGCTGGGATTGTTCGGGCGCAAGGATAAGCTCGCTTTGAGGAGAGTAAGGAGCGATGAGAGGGATAGGGATAGGAGTAGCAATAGTAGCAGCGGCGAAGGGAATGGTAATAATGGTATTGTTGACGGGAACGGGGCTGTGGGGACTGCTGTTTAGGGATTAGGAATTAGGGAAGGCCTTGATATCCATGGTTTAAATGATGGTGCTGGCTAGGCTAGCTAGCCCGGGAACGAGCTAGGACTGCTAAGTAAACGAGCTTCGCAGCGCTAGCGTGATGGAGTTAGGTGGAACGGGAATTCGGCAAACTGGTAGGACAGGACACGAGCTTACGGGCTTCATAAGCCATAGGAGGATTTGGGATTTATTTTTCGTTTTCTTTCTTTCAGCTCGTTTGAGCTGTGTCGATGAGATGGTCTAGACCGGTCCGGGTCAGACCAGACCAGGCTCCAGAGATGTTTTATTTGCTTTATATATCATTTTAGTTGTATTTTGTGGATTTTGAGCGATGGGTGGGATTACGTATAAGACGTGGAAGAGGATGGACGGATGGATGGATGGATGGATGGATGGATGGATAATGTCAACTTGTTCGTGTCCTCCTCCATGGTCAAGTTCGCGTACATTGATGGATGTCATTTAGGTATATACCCATGTTGTAGTTAGTGTGAATAGGTTCAATAAATGCGTGTACATAAATAACTGTACTCTCAATACTAGGAATATATGCATTAGACACCAAAAACACCATGATAAATACCGCCCTAAATCGTAGGTATATGTGATATTTCAATGTGACGCAACGCCATGACAGGCAATTAACCCGGACTAAGCTTCGGGGGTATACACGGTATAAGCAATCAAATAAGATAAGCTAGAAACATCTCACGAAGCTACTAGCTACTGCTTAGCAACATCACCCTCACCAAGCGCCTTCTCCCAAGCTGTCCTCAGCCTCTCCAGCTCCTCCCAGCACTTGCGTCCGTCATTCTCGAACTCCGCTCGCTTCTCCTCGGTCAAGTCCTGCGCGTCCCACTTACGCCCAGCCAACCTATGTAAAACACCCGCTTCGTCTTCATGTTCCATGTCCTTAGGAGTCGTAACGTTCCCATCCCATCCCCAGCCGTCGACCTCCGATTTCTTAGGCGCGACGTGGCCGGTGCGAGAAGCACTCGTGCCCCATTTCACACGATCGGCGCGTAGATGATCAAGAGTCTGCTGGTCCGCTAGAGCAAGCCAGGCGGTGGCACAGGCGCCAAGATACGGCTCGACGGGGTGCCAGGGGGAGCCCAGCCAGCGGGCGATATACATGGCAACGTAGTAACCCCAAAACATGAACCAGGAGAGGGGGAAGAGCGGCGTACACACGACTCCAGGGTGCGTTAGGTAGAAGCGCGGCTTGATTGGCTTGTCAGCCGCGGCGGGCGAGGCGAAGTACGGGGCCGACGCCTTCTGCACGCCGGGTAGGTCCGCGGTGAGGCAGATGAGGTCTGTGATCCGCTTGCTACTCTCGTAGGGCGGGTTGCCGTGTCGCGCCTGGAAGTCGGAGAAGCTTAGGTGTTCGTGGCTGGCGTCGATGGTGCTTGTCCAGACGATTCGGCCTATGGGCTCGTCGGGCCGCGAGCGACTTAGTAGCGGTAGTAGCTCATGTGCGAGTATATAGTGACCGAAGACGTTGGCTGTAAAGACCTCGGCTAGCTCAGGTGGTTGGGTTTTCAAATCAGCAGCTTTATCTCCGAGGAGCTTGCGTTGGTCTAGCACAGCGGCGGGCAGGGCTTTCTTGAAGGCAGGGAATGTACAACTTTGCACCAGCCCGACCTGGAAGAATTGCTTTGCAAGCCCGAGCCAATCCAACCCAGACCAACCACCAATACCGGCGTTGAACAGGACAGCATCAAGACGGGGTATCTCCACATCGGCGATGACGCCAGTTGGATCGCTCACTTTCCCATGGATCAACTGTTTCGCGGCGCCATATATCGATTGAAGGTTACAAAGATCGAGTTGAATACCGAGGATGTGAACGCGAGAGACAGCGGATTGAGGATCGTAGTCAGAGCCTGCTCGTGACCGAAGCTGGTGTGAGGTGCTGGCTGTTTCTTGTAGGTGGGTGCGCAGGGCGATGACAGTGTCGCGAGACTTGGAAACTGAGCGAGTCGTAGGTATCAGAATCAAATGCGAGGACAAAGATCGTGAAGCAAGAAATTCGTCGATGATTCGCTGGCCGATACCGAGACCGACACCACTATAGAATCCTTCCATCTAAGACACGATAATTCTTCACTTATTTGTAGAGGAGCTCATACCTATTAGCCCCTGTTAGTAGGACGAAGAATTGCTCGTGGCTCGCGGCCTCTGCCCATGGAGTCGCCATCGTCGACTGGAGATGTTTCGGTGATAATTTTTCAAGCTTATCTCGAAATCGAAAATATAGATAAATCAGAAAGATGGCGTTCTCTCAACCCGTTTCCATTATGACACATGCTGTATCATGTATGTTGCATACAGATACAAATATGGCATATGGCGGGTAAATTAAGGCGGTGACAGCTGGCGAAATATAAAACTAGGAAGTCGTCGATCTCAGACCACGGAAGGCGGAAAGCTTAGGTAACGCGGGGGTCATGGAGTGGACCCTGGTAGCGTAGTACTGCGGTCGTGAATGCCGAGCATGGTCTCCATCTTCATCTTCTAGAAGATCGTGAGACCAATATGCCAAGGACATGTTCGTCTTACGACTCTTCGAGAATCTTGTTTTCTCTTCCGTCGATTGTTGATATGTATTGAGCAAGAAAGTCAAGTAAGGAGAATGATGGGCTAGAACTTCGTCACTAACCAATAACACCTGAGGACCCCTGTACGTAACTTGTGATCGGTATGTCATTGGACAACGTACCATGCTTGCGTAATGACAGCCAGTCTCATTCTAAAGTGATGAGATGGGGGAACTTACATTGGAACTGTCCAATATTATTAGGATGTCGTACAACCTGCACTGGGCAAACGTAATCCTGACAGAAGCAGGCACGATGGACGGTATACATCCCTATGTGGGCTTGCTTGATCAAGTCGTCTTACTATGTCGGCCTTGAAGCTATTCCAAAGTGGTGATGGTAAAAGAGACTGTGCATCTCAAGGCGAGCAAGTATAGTAATGTATTCGTTTGCATCGAATGTCTCAGAAAAATACAATATGTCAAAGAGATAAGGCTCGGGTGATTACCACGAGATAAATAAAATTGCGTGTTAAGGGTGTTAAGGGGACTGAGGACTCTTCCCTTCCTTTCCGTGCCTTACATCTGCGCAGGTAAGTTGATTATTATTAGACCCGGTCGTCATCTTCTTAATTCCTTCGCTCGCTCTTCCCTCCTTTTCTCTCTTACACAATAGCCTCATACATACGATTTAAACTTTGAAAACTTACAACGTTCCATACTAGTACTATTTAGTATATGGTCTCTGCCCCAAAAGAAACCTTTCATTGCGACCACAATAGCACCCTAGTTGCCTAGTCGAACTACCTATTGTTCCGTAATTTTATCAACTCAATTAAAGACGCGATCGCGCGCCGAGTCTTACAATTACTTACCACTACCACCCACTTTACCTTCAACGCTCTCGTCAACGTCGAACTTTCTACAATGCACAAGATACCAGTGGACTTGACCATGGCCTGGTACCCGCATATTCCCCAGACTGCTCTGTTCTCGGACGGAATTTGGAATACGATTTCATGGATCGCATTCTTTTTTGTGAGTACCAAGCTAATGTCCTCGGCCTTCAGCGTTTCTGCTAACTTGCTATACTTAGAAATTAGCAAGCCTAGCTTTTGCCGTCCCCGTCATGAGCCTTATCCTCTTCGATTTCTGCCTTTGGCTTTGGCGACTGAACCAACCGCAACCTAAGGACATTTCGGAACCGGGTCGCATCTCGCGCAAGGGTACAGAACGAAGAACAAGCCTAGCTACATCACCGAACGGCGCCAGCTCCACAACTGCGCTTGCGTCCGGTCCATCCGCGAGTCAGAGACGTCCCGTCCACTCGGGACATACCTACGATTAGCCACAGGACATGCGGATGCTTATAGGGTTAGAGACAAACGACAATAATGCATGACGAAATACGAATCTATTTTTGTTCCTCGGTTTTTAATTACGAAATTTGAGATAGTACTTTGAGCAAGTCGCTGGTTACTCCCATCGCCGTTACCTCTCCTCCAGCGCCGGCGCCTTGGATGATTAGCGGGTTTGATCCGTATCGCTTGGTGTAGAAACTAATAATGTTATCGCTTCCCTTAAGACCCGCGATCGGGTGCGATTTGTCGAATGTTTCGAGTCCGACCTTAACAGCCTTAGAAGCCACATCGATGCTGCCCACGAACCTTACCACCTTGCCTTGACTTTCTGCCGCAAGTTTCGTCTCCCCCATCCGAGAATCGAATTCGGGCAGTCTCTGCAAGAACTCGTCACCGCTCGCGACAGACTCCAACTCCTTTGGGATCAAGCTCTGCACTGGGAAGGCAGTGGGTGATTCAACAGGGAGACCAGCTAGTCGCGCAAGAATTGTTAGCTTCCTAGCAACATCGAGACCGTTCAAATCATCCCGAGGATCCGGTTCCGTATAACCCAATTCCTTCGCCTTCTTCACTTCGGCAGACCATAGGCCGCCAGAGCCCTCGACGGGAGCGAACGAGTTGAAGAGGAAGGACATAGTTCCGCTAAATACACCTTCGATCTTGGTCACCTCATCACCAGTGTCCACTAGATCTTTCAGTGTTGAGATGACTGGAAGGCCGGCTCCGACAGAAGATTCATGGTACACCTTAGCTCCGGAAGTAGCAGCGGCTGTGAAGATATCTTGCCACAGCCTATACGAACCCGAAAATGCCTTCTTGTTGGGAGTAACGATGCTGATACCGCGGCTCAAGAAGAGAGGGTAGGCATCAGCAACATCTTGGGAGCTAGTGTTGTCCACGAGAATAACCTTTGAAGGCGCTGCAGCTAGGTAGTCGGCTACCTGCGGCAAGCTCAGGGGAGCTTTGGTCGAGGCGGCGAGATCTTGGACGACGTTGTCAACTTCGATAGAAGAATAGTCGGCATTGAAGAGAGCTTTTTTGCTAGTCGAAATGTATGAGAGGCTTAGCTTAGGTGTAGGTCGTCTCTTCGATAGGGCCTGGAACTGTGAGAGGAAGCATTTGCCCACCCCTCCGGCGCCTATTTAGTAGTAGATGAAGTAGATTAGCCAATTGAGTTTCCCTTGAAGCTTTTCCTGCGGTTGGAGCTAATTACCTATGATGGCAACAAAGACTTTGTTAGTAGCAGCCATATTTTTAACCAATTCCTATCGTATCTCTTTCAACGTCAAGTTGAGTCTCGCTGTAAAATCCGGTCCTAGATGTCCTTGCGTGCTTTTGAACGTGGGGTAATTTTTTAAAGTTAGAAGACCGATCGCGGGGCATTTTAAGGGGCAAACATGCCTAGAATTATAGTGGAGCAATGGCGTTAGACACGGGATTTGGAAGCCGCAAGCCTTGGAATTTAGCTTCCTGCCTTACCTCATACGCTCACTCACCAACTCCAGCTAACACCAACCTAACACCGTTCTTGTCCCACCAGTACGGGAATAGCCCATTCCTACTTCTATCTACGTCCACGATTACTCCGCTTCCGACGTCCAAACTGCCCCTACCGAATCCCGTAAAATAGCCTCTTTTCGGTGTTTGCTTTTGCTCCCCATCCACAATGCCGCAGGACCCAAACCTCTACGGGCAACGCCCCGCCAAACGGCAAAAAAAGGAGATCCCGCTCTCCAGCTCCCTCGACTTCGCATCCCAACTGACCTCCCTCCTCTCGACCTCGGCCTCTGACCCGACTTCTGCGTCGTCTCCGAGCGTAGCGGCCGGCCGCGCCCGCCCGTCGAAAAATAAAGACGACATATTCTCCGTCAAGGCAAAGCGGAAGCCGGGATCCGCAGCAGCAGATGGGGGAAAGGGAAGTAGGGAGCATGCAGACCGAGACCGGGACGCCGCGAAGCTGTCGCTGAAAGACCCCCGCGGCACCGAGGACGAGAAACAGGACCTCGCGCGCGCGCGCCGCAGGATGGAGGAGAAGGCGCGGCTATACGCCGCCATGAAGCGCGGCGACTACATCGCGAAGGAGGGCGAGGCCGCGCCGCTCGTCGACTTCGACCGCAAATGGGCTGAGAAACATCCCGAAGACGACCCTAACAACGCCAACAATTATTCGAGCTCCGGGACGGACGACTCCGATTCCGAAGCGGGTAAGGAAGAGGAAGGCGGGGAGGAGCAGCTCATCGAATTCAAAGACGAGTTCGGACGCACGCGCCGCGCGACGCGCGCCGAGATCGCGCGCCTGCAGCGCCGACGCCAGCGCGTCGAGCTCAGCACCGCGGAACTCGAAGCCATGGCCGCAAAACCCATCAAAGCCCCCACAAACCTGATCTTCGGCGACGTGATACAGTCCGCGGCCTTCGACCCGGAGGCCGAGACGTACGCGAGGATGGAGGACCTGGCGGCGAAGCGGGACCGATCCCCAACGCCGCCGCCCGACGCGCACTTCGACGGCGGCGCGGAGATCCGGACGAAGGGCGTCGGGTTTTATAACTTCAGCCGCGAGGAGGAGCGCAGGAGGGAGGAGATGGCGGCGTTGGAGCGCGAGAGGGCGAATACGGAGCGCGTTAGGCGCGAGAGGGAGGAGGCCAGGGAGAAGCGGAGGAGGGAGATCGAGGAGCGTAGGGCGAGGATCGGGGCGAAGCGCGCTGAGAAGATGGCGGATAGCTTTTTGGACGGGTTGGCTGAGAAGTGGGGTGCTACTACTGGTGGTGGTGGTGCTGCTGCTGCTAGTGGCCCTGGTGGTGAGGGTAAAGAGGTTGAGGATGGAGGGAAAGAGAAGGAGAAGGACTCTTCGTGATGACGTTTTATTGCGTTTAGTCAAGTAAAGCTACACGGACGGAGCACCTGAGGTCGAGGACTTTATGAAGAATCAAAGATACCCCCATTTTCGTTGTCTTAAAAAAATCGGCATAGATACATAAAAGTAATATAAGAGAATCGCTTAACATGACAGATGAAGCTGTATTCGAGCTTCTCATGTTCTTCTCGAAATTCAATAAAACAGATTACAACTACATCGCCTCATTTATTTGAAGTTCACTCATGAAACCTCTTTACTTAGTTTCCCATCAAGATGATTGTTAAATCAAATAGAAAAACAATGGAGATTATCTTAGTTTATGGTTAGACACATGGATCTCTCATATATTATGTCTACACGCTGGATTTTCGTTATCACCCCGTTCCCCAAAGTCTCATAATAATCACCCATCGATTTATCATACAAGTCATTCCGCTACATTCGACTAGATCCATTCTCCCCCTTCTCAATTTTCCACCTACCATACCCGCACTCACCAAATCAAAACTACCACATCACCTCACCAACCCAGACGAATCTCAGCTTAAACAAACAATACATCAAAACCTTGTCTAGAACAATCAGTGTTCGGACTACTTAGGTTAGGTATCTCGATAAGATGCGCTATATATATATGTAGGATATGATATATATCCTTATAAACCCAACAATCCCCCAACACTCAGAAGAACCAAAAAGAAGCATATACCGATCCTATTAACGGAAGCCTTTATCCAGGCCCTTTGCAAATAGTACGAGCATATTGCCCCGTCGTATACCCAAACGCCGTATCCCCCCTGACGCGCCGCGGATAAAATGTCAGTGGAATATAGATCGATGGCAGAAAGAGAAAAGAAATTGGAATGATGTGGGGAATATTAGCCGCTCTCGTCCTTTTGTAGATATAACAATAACAAAAAAGAAAAAACATTTGGTAATCCCTAAGAGCCCTTGGGCCCGTGGGCGAAGTTGCTCCCCTGAACGCCGGTACGTGGATATGCGCCGTCTCGTGAGACAATAGATGCTATGTACAATACCTATATAAATTCCCACATTCGCTCAAACACAAGTTGGATATTAAGAGACAAGAAATGTTAACGCTACACATAATTTTTCCGGCGTTCAAGAGAGCCACCATATACAACCGCAATCGCTCATATCGGTGCCTTTAGCACTGTTGCGGGTCTCCAGATAAGCTTCGATGTTTCGTTTCGATCCGCTCGATTCGTCATAGCCTCCCTCATCTTCGTTGATGTAGACATCGATGAAATGCCCATTCGCATCCAGAGCCGGAACGGGGGCTTGGTTGTCACCAAGGATTTGGTACTGGCGACACCACGGCTTAGCTGCCGTAGAGTCGGCATTACGACGCTCTTCTACCTTGACCACTCGCGGATACGGGGGTGAAGGCATCGAAGGAGCATCACTTGGCATAGGGAGGTCTGGGTCGAAGCCGCCAGTAGATGTCGAAGTCGAAGACGAAGCGGTTGTGGTACTGGGAAGGCCGTCGGAGACCGAAGTTGTCGCTTGGAAATCATCGAAAGGCGCCCGCGAGGGACCGGAGAAATCATTTGCAACGTCTGCCGCAGCTCCCGAAGAGGTGGGTGTCGCGGAAGCACTGTCGCTTGACGATGTCGCTGGAGCACTTGTCATCGGGCCCGGATCGATTGGTCTGCTGAAGCTGTTATTCTGACCTGCATAGATAAAGGCCTCCAGAATAGTATTGTCCCAATGACAAACCCATGGTTTATCTCCGGGTTGAGCCATTACACCCTTGCGCTTGGCATCGTTGCCGCCAAACATCATTCGGCGGCGATTCGGATTCGACGTGGGAGAAGATGAGGGAGAAGCCGAGCTAGCGGTTATGAATGGCTCGGGTATGATAACGGTTTTATTGTATGGTATTTCAAAATTCCACGCCGGACCTCGGGGCGCTTCAAAAACGTCACTGACGAGCTTCATTTGCAGATCAGTTAGGTCAGGTGGTTGTACACCGTATGTGAAAACATTGTTTTTCAGGCTGTAGGTCTCGTTATACAAGAATCCGAAGGAATAATCGGATATGTTCGGTTGACCAGATAGTTTCGTAACGTTCATATTGAGTTGGAAGAAGGTGAGATCGCAACTCCATGCCTGAGCAAGTGTCGGGTCGGTGAAGCAAGTATTAGATATTCGGTTATTCCTACCCAAAAACATGGAATATGTTCCCGTAGGTAGGGAAGGTAAATCTGGAGGTAAAGTACTGAGAGGTTGTGTATCCCAGTTGTTGGGATCTTGTGCTTGGGACGGCGGCCTATTTATAAATTAGTATCAAAAGTCAGAATAACGTTGTAGGACAGTTAGTCCTCACCTATCTTGAGGCGGTTTCTTAAAATGAGGATTCAGCAGCGTGCCGATGACAGCTCCCAGGATTATTCCCATCAAGACGAGCACAATCGCTGCCAGAATGATGGCCCAGCATGGAACAATACCCCAAACCCTCCTTTTAGCGGTTACTTGCCAATCCTTCATTGCTTTCTTCTCGTCCGATATATCTTGATCAGACCGAGTCCCAGCAGTTAGCCCGCGTTGGCTATTATCAGATGTAAAGCTCCGAACAGATTGTCTAGATTGTGGTGAGTTCATGTCGCCTAAGTCCTCGGTAGACGCAAATTCTGGATTCAAAGCGGCCACCCCTATACCTCCAGCGCCCGGGATGGCCAACATTGGTTGTGGGGGTTGTTGTTGATGTTGTTGCTGTTGCATAGGTTGGGTCGGTTGTATCGATTGCATAGGTTGCACCGGCACCGGTTGAGGTGTTTCTACGCCCATTGCTTTCCTTGTATACGCTTCTTCCGGATACCTCGTGTAAGGAGGTAGTTGTTCTGTATGACCATCAGGTCCAATCAAATCTGCTACATCTTCTCCCTCTGGACCAATTCTTCTTTGATAATTGTCCGTCGTCCCAGGAAACCCTATATTAATCTCTTCTTGCGCCGTCCTAGTAGGTACACCATCTGATTCCGGGATAGTGTTTTGCGGATACATGCCATACGGATGCGCCGGTCCGCGAGGTCCATTGTACGACCGCTCAGAAATAGGCGCTGTCGATGTGGTCGCAAGACTTGCTGTTCGTGCTAACCGAACATCCTGAGGGTACATCTGGTACGGATGCGAGGGACCAGATGGGCCTTCATATGGATCCTCAATATCAACAAATGGAGACGATGTTGAGACAGTCGAGTCTCTTGTTATTGTTCTGTCGAGACCTGTTCTATCACTGTCCGACTCGGTCGTCGACCCATCATGTTGCAAAGCCAAAGAGTCATTCCGTCCATAAGGTTTCGTGATACTCGACGGCCTTGGTGGTGATTTTGGCGCGGTCGGGGCGTCTTGCGGTGTGGTCGTCGATTGCCTCGAGGGTTCATCGTGTGTCAATTCCACCGGTCGAAAGCCATCCGCAATCCCCATTGCCTGCAGGTCGTAGTCGTCATCGTTACCTTGGACATTTGAAAATCTCACTGATGCTCTGAGTGAAGAGCCACGGTGCAATTCAGAGGATTTGTCGTTGTCGATGGCACCCATTGTTGTAGGCGGTTCCAAGGGAGAGCGCTACTGTACGTGCGAAGGGATAGAGATGCAGTGCAGCATCAGGAGCACGATTAACCACGACTTCGTCCCCAGAAGATCATCGAGTATGATTACCAAAAATACGTGCCAGACTATTTTACGGTTATTGTCCTTTCTTCTAACGTTGTCGTCGGGTCGGGTGGTGGTTGGATCGAGAGTCCCAATTGCAAGCTGTCTGTTGTGATGTTGATTGTAGACAAGTTGAATGGCTCCAGTCGGGAGAGAGTATGGAGTGGATGGAGCGGATGGAGTATGGATGTAGGTAGTAAGTAAACCATAGTAAGTAGAGCACAATAGGTGGAAAACAGCCGTTCTCCGTGCTAGTCTCAGTGGCTAGTGGCCTTTTACGGGTTCGGCACAGGGAGCCCCAGTACAAATCAGGGGGGTGTCTATGCTTGGACTAGTGGGTTTCGGACTTTTGAGAGGGGGGCAGGTGCTGGGCGGATCAATGATGGATAATGGATATGATGGATCAATCATAGTTCCAAAGCCAGTTCTTAAAGCCAGTCTAGCCTTATTGGCGCGTCACATACCTTCCTCCTACCTCCTAGGTACATGTATCCACACACATCCACATACTACATACGTCCAAAACTACATGTACATTCCTTACAGGCTTTAGGTATTCTCCAGGACATGGGTCATCTGGATAAGATTGGAAGTCTGGGATGGACCGATGGAGGGCACTTGCTTCCACATTCTTCATATATCAATTCGACGTAGCGCAAAGATAATGTACTTACTATATTGTGTTCAATGTTCTGATTCATACTACAACCTCTCTATCTCTAGATAAACACGGGTTGTCAGAACTTCGCCTTTACGTGCCTTGTTCTTTCTATCTACTCATCTGGCCCACCCAATCCATCTACCCACCTAGGGCATGACTGTTGAGGCTTCGGTCTGGATATATATGTGGGTAGGCCCTTGAAACCTGATGAGAAGCAAGCAAAAAAAACTGGGTTGGTTATCTGGGTTGATCGGTTGGCCTCGCCCAGTTCATCATCCCTCGTCGGAGCGCCATTTGATCTCTTGGCAATGGGACTTTAGGTTATTGTTAAATGTGCGAAGGCGAAAGGCACAGGAGTTCCACAGGAGTTCCTCGAGGGGAAGTTGAGGTAGAGTTCGTTTGGAGTGCCGTGTCTTTAGTGATTGCCCCCGTCGTATGTCGTCTTCTGGAGGTTAATGTGGCCGGTTGCCATGATTAAAATTTGAATAGAATCTAAGTAACATGCATATTCTCATCGGGATGTAATTCACCACGATCCTATAAGATGGCATCAGAACCTCTTGTGTAAGTCGGTATTATGTATGTAATTTAATGAAATGGCCTGTAATGACGGCAGGATGCCCCGCGGCTACAGGCTCGCTAATTCGCTACTTTCAGTTGAGCCTATTCAGCCGTTCAGAGTAGCTCTTTGTCTGCAATCAATATTCCCGGACAACCAGACGGCACGAGGGAATTGAGGAGGAAAAAAAAGAACGAAAAGTCAAAACTTGGAAATGAGGGGGAGTGCGGATAGATCTCGGTCGGATCCACAAGTAAGGTATTAGCAATACAGCCGGACGAAGCACCTGGCCATTCAACCATTCTTTGAACGTTCCAGACGAAGTGGAGACCCGAGGCACGTTCGTGTTTGTGTATGTGTAGTTTATGTATTATATCATAGTCTTCGTGTTGCGGCGGTCGTGCCCCAGTTTCTAATTTTTATTTAAACATCCATCGAGCATCCAGCATCGATCATCGAGAGTTAGGTCGACCGTTGCAGGTTTTTTTCCTCGTTGCCCAACGTCTCACTCACGCATACTATTTGCTCGGGTCTTTCCAGCTAGGACCGTGCCCTGTTGTCCCTGCGCACCTTGATACATTCATACTGGGTAGCCCTGGAAATATACGGCATTGTCTCCACACATAGTGCTATGCGGTACTATTGATGCGTTCTGCAATATATACCTAGTACCCAAAAATAAGTGCAAACCATTAAACTACTGTAGGTACCAATATAAGTGTGTACCCACAAAGGCATAGATTCCGTCAACTTTAAAAGTTTAGCTTACAGGCCATAAAGGTTCCGCTGGTGGTCCGCTTTCCGGCACTTGCTTCCCTATGACGAACTGGACAGGCAGACAGGTTAAGCGCCCCTTAGGCTCTAAGTTGCAGGTGATGAAAGCAGGAACGCTCGGTGATCGTCAAAGTGTTCTCACCGTACTTAAGCGACGGAGAGAAGGAAGCCAAAGAGCAAGACTACTACAACGTTGAACAGGAATCGTTCGCGTCTTTCTTATCAAGATGCATTGAAGAAAGCATAGTTGACAGAGTCGCAATTCACCGAGTTACGAAGGGCCCTAAACCAAGACGAGGATTAATGTATCTCGCTCCCATGTACATACTTAACACATGAATTCTCGGCACGTTGCTTCCCTGTACAAAATAGGAAAGGAATCCGCTCTGTCTTGGAACAATCTAGTTACCTTCCATATCCAGATAAATGCGCTAGTTGAATTTTGTCATCAGGGCTATTTTGCTTCGAGCATTATCAGCGCTGAATAATGTAGCACGGGCAGTACAGGCATATACAAGTATACATACAAATGTACCACGATTACCCAATACCTTACAAGGCTCAGCTCTGAAGGGATCTCGGCCTCGCGACAAGCTCAGGTCACAAGTGTGTAAGTGCCGGGAGGTAATATATCACGATGATTAAAGGTTTATTCGATATGATAATCCTTAGAAATATTATAGATGTGAAAGTAGTGGTAGAGCTCCTATGACATCGATGTTGCTCGAGTGTTTAGGATAGGTACCTAACGGACAGATGATGTAGGTACCTACCTAGCAGAGTATCCAACATCATGCTCACGTGCGATTTTAGTTGCTAGTAGCTGCTAGGTACGCCTTACTATGCCTGTACGCTCAGCTTGAAAATAATGGCCGAAATTGTTGCTGTTGCGATTGATGATCAACGATCAACGATCAAAGATTGGGCGATCAAAACCCGCCAGCCCGTTAATCGTCAATAGCGTTAATAGCGTGGTCTGCTAGTATCTAAATTGTGTAACTTTAAGTCACGCTTATAACGATTGGAACCTTGAGCTTACGGCACGCTAGTAATTAACGACCCCCTTAGTTGTGAAACCGAAACTCGGTTCCCCACGGAATATCTTGATTCTACCTTGACTCATTACCTTAATTACTTCGAACTTATTCAAACACACCTTAGTCCGGCATAATTCGCCATGCCAATATGAGAAAGCTTCGCGATGAACCGACGACAGCAGCGGCGATGGTGTCGTTTGGAAGAGAAACACGCCAAGCCCACTTCAACTTTGCTGCCTCCTACACTCCACTAAATCATGGTTCATTCGGGGCATTCCCTTCGCATGTTCGAGAGTACCAACGGAGATTACAGTGCGAAACGGAAGCCAGACCGGACACCTTCATTCGCTTCACTTATCCAAAACTTCTCCGTGAAGCAAGGGACACGGTCGCTCCGCTCCTAGGAGTAGAAACGGACGAAGTGGTATTCGTCCCGAACGCTCTCACCGCGGTGAATACCGTCCTGAGAAATTTGAGGTATCAGGATGGCGATGTCATACTATATTTCAGTACTATTTACGATGCCTGTCTCAAGACCATAGAGTCTTTAGAGGAAACTACCGGGGTCAAAGGACGCAGCATCGAGCTGGTCTACCCAGTTGAAGATGAAGAGATCCTTGACAAATTCCGCGCAGCAATCACCGAGATTCGGAATCAGGGGAAGTCGGTCAAGTTGGCTATGTTCGACACTATCCTCACTTTCCCAGGAGTGCGCTTCCCGTGGGAAAAGTTGGTGTCCATATGCAAAGAACATTGCATTTTAAGTTGCATTGACGGTGCGCATGGGATAGGTCATATAGATCTACGTCATCTTCCTCGCGTCGGACCAGATTTCTTCATCAGTAACTGCTACAAGTGAGCCTGCCTGTTTTCTTGTCTCTTCTGCGTGTATGTCTCATTTATGCCCCTGGATGATTTCTGCAAACTGAGTTTATATAGGTGGTTCATGGTACCTCGTGGGTGCGCAGTATTATATGTGCCTTATCATAACCAGGCCCTGATTAGGACGACTTATCCCACAGCAGAAGGGTATAAACCAGCCATACAACGAGAAACACAATCGCAAAAGAGTTATTTTATAAACTTGTTTGAGAAGGTCTCTACAGTAGACACTACACCGTACATCTGCGTCATTGAAGCATCGAAGTTTCGAGACCAAGTTTGCGGGGGTGAAGAGAGGATACGTGACTATTGTATAAACATGGCAAAAGAAGGTGGTGAGTTAATGGCGGCAATGCTAGGAACGAGTGTCCTTGATAATAAGGCAAGGACACTTCGGGATTGTTCTTTCACCAACGTGAGGCTGCCGCTAGAAGTGACAGAGGAATCAGAACGGAGGCATGTGGGTAAGGTGCCTGTGACGGAGGCGAAAGCAGTGGCTGACTGGATTACCATAACGTCGGTAGAGGAGTTCGACACCTTCATAGCGACTAGATATTACGCAGGCGCGTTCTGGGTTAGGATCTCTAGTCAGATTTATCTTGACCGGGCTGATTTCGAGTGGGCTGCTAATGTCCTACTTGATCTCTGCAGTCGAGTAAGAAGAGGTATAAGGTAGACAAGCATGAGACCAGACGATACCCCTAGATATGGGGATTCTCACAAATATCTTCATTGAAAATAAGGAATAGGAACGTGTAGTTTAATTTGAGTACAATGCTTTATTTGGGTTACACCGGGTTAACGATTATGAGACTCACAAAGCTTACCCGCATCTCACGAGATGCCCTCGGGAGAAGTAAAGTTGGAGTTGCCAATATTCATGATTCTATGAGTTGAGTCATCCAACGTCGAATCGGGTTTCAAGATTTGGTGATTGGCCGGTCCTATACTCACCGGTTCTCACTGTGATAAAAACCCACTCCCGCCATTCCATAATTTCCCTAGATCTAGGCACAATCTCCGCCCTATATCATTTTTTGGTATGTAACCTTACCCGCGAAAAAAAGCCATCGACCCTTGAAGATAAAATCTCTCATGCTGAAGACAGTGTATTCAAGTAGTCATAGGAGTTCCAGCAGATTGCTTCCACCTACCCCGGTTACCTACCTAGGTAGGTATATTTCAGAGAATACGGAACTTTGGTTCGATACACTATGTCATATTATTCCCCTAGTCATGTAAACAGCATCTATAAACAGATATTTATATCCAACTACGTTGTTCACTGATGCGAATGTACCGAAGTATACTCCTATAGTTTTCCTAAACCTCGGCATGTCATAATTATGTAAGAGTCGATATTACCTAATTAATTAAGGTTGAAGGTTGTACTCTCTGAAAACCGACCATCTTAATCTTAATGTAGGTGGGGGCGCTATCACATCTCACAAATTTCATCCCGAACACACCTTGTTCCATATTGAAGTCTTTTCCGCTCATATCATTGCCTTTAACGTGCGCTTTGTGCGCTTCGCTCCATCTGACAGGTCAATTGAAGACGTGGACAACGTCAGAATGCAGTGTAAGATGAAGCGCATACAGGGCAGACAAGGTTAGCTTCACTTTCGTCCACTGCGTGCTCGGGCGAGGCTTTCACACCCTCCATTATGTCGACCGATGTTGACTTTGGCGATTGGGGAATCGCACGCGTCGACTTTATCTCAGGATCGATATCCTACCCTTTGTTCATCGAGGGTTTTCGGGGTTGAGACGGCATCTCTAATTACCAATCATCTTCGTCGGAACGCACCCGGCGAAGTAATTATCTCGCAACCAAGTCCAATCCTTTTCGGGGCCGGAGGATAGGGCAGCATGTAGGGGAATTTGGGAGATTCCCCCACATTGTCTTCGTTTTCTCTTACCCCCTCGTCAGTATGCTCTTCGGGGAAAATAGGAATCATCAAGTTTCCCCAAGACTAGAAGTCGAATCCGCGGGGAATTTATTCCCTCACCTTTACTAGTGATCAAGATCCCTTGCTTCCCCAGAATACTACCTAGCAAAGCCGGGCGATGAGGCTCAATTGGTGGCAGACCTAGACCTGGGTTGCGGATGAGGTTTCATTCAGTCGTAACTAGTGTGCGGTGGCTGCAGTTGATATACCTCCGACTCGACCCAAGAAACGGGGCGAGATAGCTGTCTTAGTTTCTGGTTCGTGATTTGGGTCCGGTGGAATCTAGTTGGTTAGGTGAAGCCATGCGAGCACGTCTGCGGGCACACCCTGCAATTGACTAGGAAGTAAGGCAAACAGATTCTGACTGGCTTATTGACTAGCTCACCGATTGGCAGTGAGGGGATGAGGCTGCCCTGGCCGTGAACGTCAAGAACTACTCTCGTCCAGTGACGCAGCCCCCTATTCTAATGATACTAATGATGCTATTGACATCGAACTACTGCGAGCTTACCTATTTAGAAATCGTCTGCAGCAGCTGCAGTTAGCTGTGATTCCTGCTCATTCCCGTCGAATCGATCTTTGTGCTCACCGTGGCTTACACCCCACCAATCCCCGTTGTGCCGTATACCTGAATGCATAAGGTGCAGGAGAGACAGGGGAGCCGTTGCCCGAGCACACGAACAGCGTCCTGATAGGTAGTCCTGCGTTGCCCTGACCAGGAGCCTCCTGAATGAATTTCACACACTGTCCTTGGGAATATTTAAACAGCGTCTATACCGCCCTGGCTGCCTGGTTGACAGGCTCCCATCCTAAACTCCTCGCCTCATTTTCACATTTCTAACATCATCGACAGGCAAAAACCTTGTTTTGATTTAATCTTCATCTAAATTTGCCACAAGGCGACCCTTTTCTCAGACAACCAGGGCTAAGCTTGAAGCATCATCGACCACAGCTTCAGCCCCAAACCCATGCTACAATAGTCACATCATCTAAGTATAAAGAACTCTTGCATCTCGTTGTCATTCAACATGGCCCAGCGCCCTGATATGCGACGGAGCGGGTCTTATGGCTCGGACACGTCGTCGGTCTATTCGGGGCGCTCGGGCTCTGTCGGTTCGGCCGATTCCCTCTATTCCGTCTGGTCTTCATCGGACTCAGATTCCTTCGTCTGGAGAGAAGATGATTCGGGCTTTTACGGTATTGGAGGCGCCGTGACCCGTTACGTGGATGAGCGCGATGACAGGCGCAAACGATTCGCCTCTCATATTTTGAGCGGGCCGTTCGCTCAGTTTTATAAGAAACAGCGCCACTCCAGCTCCAACTCTCGCCCAGGCCGCAGCCCTCGTTCTAACCCACGCTCAAGCAACGTGGGTGCTAGCTCAGGCAGAGGCCACAACCAGCATTTTCAGCCGAGGCCTGTTAGCGTTGAACCTCAGTTCCATCAAGAACACTTCCAGCCACCACCGCCGCCATTCCACCCTTACGGCTTCAACGGACCACCACCTCCACCGCCTCCCCCGCCGGCTCCTGCGCACGCGGGGTTTGAAGGCGGCTTTATCCAACTCGGCGGTCCTCCCCCGCCACCGCAACACCCGGATGATCCCTGGGACAATGAAGGAGCATATGATACCGGAGTGCACGTTTATGACTAATGATACCACGGAGTAGGATGTGGCTATTTGATGGCTTATTGATGGATTACGATTGACTTGATCTCTACGAATTTACGGAACGGACTGTTTCTATTCGTTGGATATTGTTTCGGCGTTACGGTGGGACTCTTTTGAGGATCACAGCACTTGTTAACATGACAATTACAGTATGTGACGAATCGCAGAGAAAGGGAAAATGGGTTACGAAGGCAAAGCCGTTCTTTGCGAGATACCCATCTGCGAAAGGGCGAAAGGAGTAATGACCCATTCGATTTTTAAGACACGACGGATCCTAGCACAAACAACTCTTGGCCTTCCATGCCGATAGGTAGTAAAATTCAATATTTTTATGACTACGAATCGTGCCTTTATGCTGGGTAGCGAGAGCCTGACGCTGACAGTTGTCAGTTGGGTCTCCTTATGTCTAAGAACTTTGAGTGGCTATCCGAACTAAGACAATGCTGTGAATTTCACTTACTGGGCCGCCAAAATAGACTGGGTATACTGCATGGGATTTAATGGAGCCTAACAGGAATCCATTGGAGAGGAAAGAGACAAGCTTTTAGTATACTGCTAGAACCCCTGGTAGTCCTATTAAGCCTTCTGGCTATGTAGGTTAGCTACATACATGGCTGTAATGTAAAAGCCACCAAGATTATGGATACCATGGATATTAAGAGCATCAGGGATAGATTGTGGAAGGGGTATCGACAGAGAAGACGTGTGGGGTAAATCGAGTCGTCTAATCTGGGGAAGGTATAGTAAAAAATAGCTAGTTTCATTTGGATTTGTATAGCCTTAGCTAATCCCCAAATCTGCCAAATCAAATCTGGTCAAACCAAATAGGTACCTGATGGCCAATGAGCCCATTCGCGACCCAGCCACCTTACAAATCGTCTTACAAATTTTTCCATTCGCGTATCTAGGGGTTAAAAAGAAAATTCTGAGATGGCGAGCTTGTGCGATGTCAAACCTAGGTACCAACCGTGTGATATTCTTCATTTCCAGCATGGCGGAAACCATCTATATCCTATAGGGTCGTCGATAGGATAGGTACCTAGCGCAGTTGCCTTATACGCACACACAGCGTATGCAGATCAACCGACCGCCCAAACTCCGAGATCAGTAATATGTTTCTTAAGATCCTAGTACGGCAGTAAATGCACACATATTAATTCTCATATCACTACTGCGCTAATACTACACTTGCATGGCCAAGGGGAATAGTAAGGAGATAGCACGTAGGATCTAAGCCAAGTTTCGGGTGACGGCATCCCAACTTTTCAGGTAGAGATTATTAAAGTGGTTTAGTGCAAGGCTGAGCAGCTCTGACGGTGTCTTCAACGGGTGCAGGGACTAATTGCCTAAGCCACCTGGCTACTCATTGCGTTCGCCGGCTCAGCCCAATAAAACTACCTGCAATCTTTTGAAACGAACAACACTGATGACTCCCACCCTGTTGTTCGCGGCTGAGATCTGTATCCTAGGAGGTGGGTGGCCCCGCAAACAAGGCAGCAAAGATCCGCTCTCATGTCTGTCATTGCCGCTGGTGGCGGGCTCCCTCTTCCCCTCCTGTAGTCCTATACCACCTACCTACCTAAGTCCTACCTATTCGCAAGCTTCGAAGTTGTGTGACTTATGCGTTATGCAGGCTCCAATGCGAGGTAGCTTACCTAGCTACCTACGCCAGCAGTCTCACATCATCCGACAACGCCTGTTGAGGATTTTCGCGTGCGAACAAGAGATAATTGCCATTGGGTTGGCGTCCCGATGCCTTTTTCGGTGAGGCGCAAAGATGAGGGTCCAGTTACATATTTGAGGCTCTTGTTAGAGCCAAAGGTGCAAATGAGGAAGGGTGTCGCATTGGTGCTGACCATTTCCAACTTTATTGCAGCAACGCCGAGGCTTTGAGCTGCCGGCCTAGCCCTAGCGGTCTAGCAATGGCGATCCCATTTGTTAGCATTTCGCTTCTTCCGATGGATCTTTGTCTGGGTTCGGCAGAATGAGTCTTACACCCGCCAGAACACCCCTGCTATGACAGCTCGGATCCAGTTTTTGGTTCCAGTAACCACCATATATTGCTGACGACAGTGCAAGCGACGAACCAAATCGCGTCTATGAAGTAGGTATCCGAAAATCTGCGGTCTGAGTCAACCAATCAAATGTGCTATTGCCATCGTGGACAGCTCCTTTATCCTGCTGCCCTATAGGGTTACCTCGCATTCACACTTCGCAGTATGTTGTATCGACACTTTACTGGTGGTTGCCTGGCGGCTCCTGGTCGAGGTATGAGATATATAAACTTGCGATGGATCCGTTTACTCAGGCTGCCCTAAATTGTGTAGCGTTCAGCACGAAGCAGCCCATTCATAGTGAGTAGGGTGAAGCGCGGTACAAACCTGAGAACGAAACCCCTTATTCCTCCGTGCTGTATCTATCATTGGATCCCGACCTATCTATAAATTGTTGCCTTTATAGGCCTCTCGTCCCTCACTATGGCAGACCATCTGTCAGCCTCCTGCACGGAGGGCCACCCGTCTGCCGATCCAGCTTACGCCTCCAGTACAGGGGCTCCTCAACTAGCCGTGCTCGACCTTTTCTTCCCTGGGTTCTCGATGTTCGCCGGTGCCATACAGAAGTACCTGAAAATCGACCTTAACTTGTATATCCCTCTACTACTTCTTACGGGTGCTTTGACAGTCGTCTGGAATTACGCTAGCAATTACTTATGGGACCAACTCGAGACTCATTTCATGTCCGTCGTCGATATCCGCACGGACGATGAGGTCTATAACATCATCATGAGCTGGGTAGCCCGGCAGAAATTTTCTCAGGGAGCCCGACGTTTCGTTGTCAACACCAACATTAACTCTCGATGTTGGTATATTTTTGACTGGGATGACGACGATGACGAGGACGATGGTTCTTCTGGTAAGAAAAAGAAGCCTTTGTCATACACACCTTCCTTTGGTAGTCACTATTTCTGGTATCGTGGCCGCTTGCTCTTATTCCGAAGGTCGGCGAAGGAGCAGCAGAAGGGGTGGCAGCTTGTTAGTCAATGCGAGGAGATCTCGATCTCATGCTTTGGTCGTGACCCGTGGATCTTGAAGGAGCTTCTCCTGGAGGCTCGCCAGCAATATATGCAGAAGGATGAGCACAAAACCCTCATATATCGTGGTACATTGAAGCCAGGGTCAATGGAGACCACTTGGCAGCGTTGCATGTCCCGAGCCACTCGCCCCTTTTCGACAGTCATCTTAAATGAGAAAGTCAAGCAAGAACTCATTGACGACGTTACCGATTACCTTGACCCCGCGACACAGCGTTGGTATGCAAATCGCGGAATCCCATACCGACGCGGATATCTATTATACGGTCCTCCCGGAACCGGAAAAAGTTCACTTAGTCTCGCCCTGGCCGGTTTCTTTAATATGCGGATCTATATCGTCAGTTTAAGTTCCATCACAGCCAACGAAGAGAATCTCGCCTCATTGTTCGCTGAGCTTCCTCGACGCTGTGTTGTTCTCCTCGAGGACATTGATACGGCCGGTCTCACTCATACCCGCGATGACGCGACTCAGACCCAGTCTACAAGCAGTTCTAATGACATGGTTCCCGGCCAACTTACCCAAGGCAATGGCGATACAGACAAAAATAACAGCGGCGGGAGATTATCCTTATCAGGATTACTGAACATATTGGATGGTGTTGCGTCTCAGGAAGGCCGGATTTTAATCATGACGACCAATCACCTGGAGAAATTGGATGCTGCTTTGATTCGGCCCGGACGTGTCGACATAACTGTGAAATTCGGTCTGGCGGATGAGGGAATGAGTGTATCCATCTTCCGAGCCATATTTGCCCGTCTAGACGGCGATGAGGATCCTAGTGAAGCCGATAACCTACCCACCGACCCCGAAGTCAGATCAAAGCTTGAAGAGGAGAAGAAGAAGAAGTTAGCGATAGAAGATGCTCGTATTAGTGCTCTAGCAGAGGAATTTTCTGCCAAGATACCAACACATGAATTTAGCCCGGCTGAGCTTCAGGGTTACCTCATGAAGCACAAGCGGAATCCTCAAAGAGCGGTAGAAAATGTGGAAGAATTCATCGAGCAAACCCGGAAGGATCGCAAGGAGAAGCAACTTAAGGAAGCCGAGGAGAAGAGAAAGGCAGAAGCAAAGAAGAAGGAAGATCTGGCCAAGAAAGAGGCAGAGAAGGCTAAGGAGGCAGAAGAGGCCCAAAAGAAGGAGGACGCAGAGAATGGTGTAGACAAGAAAGCCACAGAGGCTTCAAAGTTGTCATCTGAAGTAACGGCCGATAAGAAGAAGCCGGCGGCAGAGGAGAAAGACACGTTAGAAGTCAAGACAGAGTCGGGTCATGTGAGAAATGATTCCGGCTACGTGACACCGGCGAGCGGCGAGCCATGATGGAGGCGCCGCAACCGCGTGTGCCTAGCGGATCCATCCGCAGGCTACGGACCCGGTACCGGGGTGTCGCTCGTAGACCTAGATGATAGTATCCACGATGAGTGATGGATATCTATTAAGTCCCTACCTTGCATAATTCGGCGTATAGGCAGTGTGTGTGAGCAGACGACTGCAGGAATAAACATGTTGCTATCCATTTATGCAGCTCTAGCTACGTGGTGTAGCCAATGTAGTGAAATGTGAATTGTTGACTAAGCGGGTTCCATGGCACTACATAACTTGGTTGACCAGGTTGACGACGATCGTTGAGAGTGGCCTGATTTCCGACATTCGTGATACGCTGGTTTTTGTAGTTGTTGAGATAGTTGACCAGGCACCGAGTTTGACTACATGTCGAATCAACGGCTAAAGTACACGTATTGTAGAAGCTGAATCTGAAAGGCCTAGCAGGATAATTATGGTCAAGCAGTAAGCTTGAGTTATTGCACCCGACCAGCAGACGCTGCAGACCAGCTGGCTGACGGGATGACTTTCAGGTCCCAAGCCTTCAGCCACGTAAAAACTAGTCGAGTTTAGGAAAGCCCCGATCCATGGTGCCGAGTACTGTAAACTGTTCCGAGGACCCCATCCGAGACTTTAATATGAAGCTTAACACTGTTGCCATCGCAATTAAACGGTGCGGGGTTTTCTCGTGAATATTTCAAATGAGATAATAGAGAATGCAGTGATATATAGAGTTAAGTTTTGACAGCAACTGGAATAGACATTTAGTTCTTCTAGACATGCCAACCTAATTACCACATTCAAACTCTAAAAACTCTACCTAATCTTATTATCGTTACCTTAACCTTAAGATCTAGATTGACCCACCAATGCTTGGGAAACCCGTAGACCACGTTGTACAGGTATCATACAAGCCCAGCGAAACATCGGAGATTTCCTCACTCACAACCTTACCCACTGATTACTGTGCATACATCCTCCTACATGCTTGAGAGCCAATACTTTCAGGGCTATCTCATGTCATACGTATAGCATGCTACCAACATCATCAAATTCGAGACTGCATGTATGCACGAACTAGTAGTAATAAAGAAAGGCTAAAGAAAAGCCATTTACGTACCCAGGTAGTATTCATCAGTAAAATGTCAGAGTTTGTCGAGCTTGTGCAACTCGGCTATTGCCAAGATAGGAAATACCTTTTATCAAGTAATTTTCGGCCCACCCAAGCACGGAAATCTCCAGGCGTTGAAGACTTGAAGTAGAGTCGTGACAGCCGGACGTCTTGATTTAGAGTATGGCCCTTTCCACTTTGGGTAATTAGGCTCTCGACATAAAGGAACAGGAAGGGACCCCTAATGCTATGTGCCTGCGACTGCGGAATGTCACTGGTTAGTGTAACTGCACTAGAGGTTTAGCTCACGTCTCTTTACCCCTCCATAGCCCCCCCTTTTCACTTTTCCACCGAGTAAATACGTAACGACGAAATTCAAAAGTCGACAAGATTTTTGTTGACCGTCTTCCACTTACACTAACTACCTAGGCGTTATCTAATTTTATTTTACTTCATTTCATCTCATCCTATCCCATCTTTCTCCCTCTTACTCCTTTCCCCCTTTTCTTGTTTACCAGAACCAGAGATAGACACGTACAATTAGTTGTTGTGTTGTTGACTCGTGACATCGTGACGAAGGACGAAGGACGATCTAATACCACGTCAATACTACCCAGGCGCATCGATATACCGCCAGATAAGAACCTGATAGGTGAGCTTTTCTAGTTTCTTGTCATTGTCCCTCTTCGTTAGAAAAATACCCCTGGCGGTCTGTAACATTTCTTCAGAGATCTCCCCACCATACATGATCGACACACACATGTAAATCCAGACTGGGCGTCACAAACAAAAATGCTAGGCTTGGCCCCTGTCCATTTTATAGTTGGGTTCCATTGCCAATTGGCGGTGAATCCATTCAGCCCAAGTTGAAAACCCCTGTCATATGTATGGTGGCGCTGGAGCTAATAAGCTAATAACACTACCCGCTCCCACAGACTGAGTAGAGAATACGCACGAGTTGGTTTCGAAATATTCTTCCCTTGTCAGAACAACTCCTCCAACACATCCGATACCAGTATCATTTCATTGTTCGAAGCCATGGCAGCCCGTCCTTTGAACATTGGCATCAAGGCCATCGAGCTTTACTCTCCTAGCCAGGTATGTTGCCGTCTCGTTTCAACCTCTTATCCCACCCTTCGATTAACCCCTCCGACATCGCACGAAACGCAATTCTCTTCGAAGAAACCCCTACTGACGCTCTCGTGCCCCGCAGTATGTCGAGCAATCCGAACTCGAGAAGTTTGACGGTGTTAGCACCGGAAAGTACACCATTGGTCTTGGTCAAACCAAGATGACCTTCTGCGATGACCGAGAGGGTAAGTTTTGCTGTTGCCGAACCTTCAACCTTGTGTACCATGTGCTAAGAAAAAGGCAATCCACAGACATTTACTCTATTGCTTTGACTGCCACCTCTAAGCTGCTGAAGAACTATAATATTGACCCTAACTCCATTGGTCGCCTTGAGGTCGGCACCGAGACGATTCTCGACAAGTCCAAGTCCGTCAAGACTGTCTTGATGCAATTGTTCGGCGAAAACACCAACATCGAGGGTGTTGACACTGTCAATGCTTGCTACGGCGGTACCAATGCTCTGTTCAACACACTAAACTGGCTGGAGTCATCTGCTTGGGATGGGAGGGATGCTATCGTTGTTGCTGGTGATATTGCCCTTTACGCCAAGGGCAACGCCAGGCCTACCGGTGGCGCTGGCGCTGTTGCTATGTTGGTTGGTCCCAACGCCCCCATCGTAATCGAGCCTGGTCTACGTGGAACCTACATGCAACACGTGTATGATTTCTACAAGCCCGACCTTGCCAGCGAGTACCCGTACGTCGACGGACACTACTCCGTCAACTGCTACACCGAAGCCCTTGACGCTGCCTATCGCGACTATTGCAAGCGTGAGGCTAAGCAAAAGGAAATTGCCAATGGCAATGGTGCCGCTCCCGCCGATGACACCAAGACGGCCCTTGACCGCTTCGACTACCTGGCGTTCCACTCCCCGACGTGCAAGGTTGTTCAAAAATCTTATGCTCGTCTTCTGTACCATGACTATCTGGCGAATCCCGATAGCCCTGCTTTTGCTGAGGTCCCTGGTGACATTCGAGACATGGACTACAAGAAATCCTTATCAGACAAGGTGGTAGAGAAGACTTTCATGGCTCTCACCAAGAAGCGCTTCAACGAGCGCGTCCAGCCTGCTATCCAGGTCGCTACAAATTGCGGCAACATGTACTGCGCCAGTTTATGGAGCGGGTTGGCCAGCTTAATTTCCCATGTCGACAGCGCTACTCTCCAAGGCAAGCGTATCGGCCTTTTCAGCTACGGTTCCGGTCTAGCGTCGAGCTTCCTCTCGGCCCGTATCAACGGTAGCACTGAGAAAATTTCCCAGGTCCTGGATATCCCTAACAAGTTGACCTCGAGGCGAGCAGTGTCTCCCGAGACATATGAGGCCGTAAGTTATAGCATATCTTTACAAGGGGACTCTCAGACTAACAATGCTGTTCCTAGTTCTGCGATCTACGCCACCAGGCTCATCTTAAGAAGGATTACACGCCTAAGGGAGATACATCTACCCTGGCCCCCGGTACTTACTACTTAGAGAAGATCGATGATATGTTCAAGCGAACATACTCCGTCAAGGCATAAACGGGATGAGGCATTAGATGCGATATGCATTTGATATAGACCGGTATTCGTTCGCCATTGTTACTGCATAGACATGGGTGAGACCTTACAGTTCCTAGATATCGGAGCTTATAAACGTGCATGAAGGCCATATATACAGCGGGGGAAGATATTGTGAGATAAGAGACCTACTAATATTGTTGGGTGGAGATAAGCGCCTGACTTGTATATACCAGGAGCGCCTCGTCACGATTTGCACGAAAGAATAATGAATAAAACGCTGATCTAGAGTCATACATATCTATGGAATGCGATATGAGTGAAAACTTGGTGCCATCTTCTGCCGTGTTCCTAAGATATGTTGCATTGGGCGTTACGTAAAGTAGTTTCCCATAACTTATACATAGCATTTCTAACAATGTTGCCTCTAATAATTCGAATTTATTTAGGAGGTGCAGTTATCCTGAGCTACCTACTGAAGAAGTCTTTAATAGATATACAAGACAGGGCAAGTATACGTTATGAGACATAGGTACATAAAGCTGCACTTAACAATCAATGCCCCTTCTTGCTAATGATGGGTGAGCTGGAGCACGACTTACATCCGTTAAATTATTAGTTCAAAAACAATATAACTAGGAAGACTTAAGTAAAATTAAGAATCACCGTATAATTAATGCCTATAACGATTATTAAGTAGTCGGTACATTAGTATCAGGCCCCTTTCCTAATCACCTTCCAGATTTCATCCCGCCCTTGTAAGCAAAGGCTTTCTACAAACCCCGTTAACTATCTAGGTATTCCCTCGTAATGCTCTCTACTCTTTCCCAGAATGGAGCGATATATTCCACCGACCAAAGCCAACTTGCGCAGAGAATTCTTCACGTGCCCCTGGTAAAGCTAAATAATAGCAAGTACACACTTCATTTCGAGTTAATAGTACCTAGGCATATCATATAACGATGTATACGCGCTCATTGAACCCCCTTTATTTCCCCCGCCCCCCAGATAGCCAGCCTACTAGCCCTAGGCAGTCTATAATGATCTATCCCTCTACCCCACACTTCGATGCTGATTACCTTACCTCAAAATACCCGATATAGGTATCGGTAGGAATACTAATACAAATAGCGCGCACGCTCTCCCGCCCTTAGCCACAAGCCACTCACATCACCTTTTGCATGCTTTCGCCTTAACCCCCTCTCCCTAACTTCGTACTCTGACAAACACACACACACACACGCACACAACATAAACTAAGCCAACTTCTCCTTTTCCCCCGCCCCGCCACTCCATTTCCACGCCGCCCTACGATGGAGCAAGTAATCCCGGCTCTTAATACCCTTCCAGATGCCCACGAGGCCGCCGAACGGCCAGGTGGCCTTGACGCGCGACTTCCAGTCCTTCTCGCCCTTGGGGTCGACCTTGACGCGCACCTTGTCGTAGACGCTGGGCAGCGACTCGGCGCGGTACCGCTCGCGCAGCGCCTCGTAGCGCGCGCGGTGCCCGCCGTACGCGCGCCAGAACTCGGGCTCCGAGTAGTACGTGTGCGCGTACAGCCACTTCATGCCGCCGAGCTCGTCGACGCGCCGCTCCAGGTCGCGGTTCGCCCGCACGAACGCGTCGCCGTCCTTGGGGCCCCACCCCCAGACCCCTATGTTCAGCATCTGGCCCTCGCCCTTCTTCCCTTGGCTGCTGCTGCTTCTGCTGTTGCTGTTGCTGTAGCTGTTACTGTTGCCGTCGCCGTCGGGTAGGTCGGACGCGGATCGTAGGTGCGGGTGGAAGCTTGGTCCCGCCGGCGTCTTCAAGGGACACAGCCACAGCGGCCAGATGCCGAGGTGCTCGGAGACGTAGTCGACGAAGGGCTCGGCGGCCTCGTACGGCAGGCCGACGTCCTGGACGACGAAGCGGCCGCTCTCGCCGCTGCCGTGCAGCGCGCGGTACAGCATCCGCGTGTGCAGGAAGTCGTCGAGGAACCAGCGGAAGAAGCGGTTGAACGGTACTTGACGGAAGTAGTCGAACGCGGCCTGGCCGACCCAGAACCCGCCGCGGTCGTACCGGAATAGGTACTCCGCCAGCGGGATGTACTCGGTGACGGACCCTTCCTTCGGCGTGGCGGAGGCGGACGATGGGAGCGCCGCGGTGCGCTCGCGCACGTGCATGTAAAACCACGGGTCCCAGGCGCCGCTGAATGTCTGCACCTTTTCGTCGTCGGGAAGCTCGTTCGTTAATTTCCCGCTGACAACGACGCCGTGGTCCTTGGAGAACAGGATGCCGTCGACGTAGTCATTCCCCCTGTCCCGCTCGCACTCCTCCCTCACCACCCTCACCGCCTCCGCGACGCTGCTCGTCCTCCTGTACGTCGTGCGCACGAACCTCTTCGCCTCGATCAACCGCAGCTCCAGCAGCGTCGCCACGCCCAGCGTGCCCAGCGCGCCGGCCGCACCCTTAAATAAATCCGCGTACTCGCCCCCATCCTCGTCCTCCTTCCCGGGCCGCGCGAACACGACCTCGCCGTCGGGCAGCACGATCTCGACGCCGCGCACGTTCTCGTCGAAGTAGCCGTGGCGAAAACTCGAGCTCTCGCCGGCGGTGCCCGCGAAGCCGCCGCCCGCCGTGATCCCGGGAAACTCCATGACGACGGGGGGCACGAGGCCGTGGGCCAGCGTGCGCTCGACGAGGCGGTCCATGGGCACGTTGGGCTCGACGAGCGCGGTGCGCCGCGCCGCGTCGACCGACAGCACGTCCCGCAGCCCGCTGATGTCGACGAGCCTAGCCCCGGCCTTCTGGTGCGCCGGCCGCGTGCTGTTCGTGCTGCCGTGGAAGATGCGGTACGGCTCCGACCGCTCGAAGTAGGCGCGGACGGCGGCCGAGACGAGGCGCACGGCCTGGCGGTGGCGTTCCATTGTGTGTTTATATAGTGTGTAGTCTAGTCTAGGTAGGTGGCTGTCCTTTTTTAATAGCTTGCTTTGAAGCTCTCACTTTAAAACCCAACCCCTCTACCACACATACACTTGCTCACGGTAAGTTGTGTGTTCAGTTCTCTTCAACTGGCTCCCAATCGTGCCATTGAGTACCGTCAAAGGTAGCTAACGACCAATTGGCGAGTGGCGTATAAGCCGATGCGCGATTTATGTGGATTTAGTTAGGTGTCTTCGTGGATCGAGCACAAGGTTATGAGAAGCTTCACCGTGATAATTATGATGAAATGGAGCGAAGATTAGGTTGAACCGAGAATTTTGACAGGTACGGCCTGAAAAGAGTGGAGGTTGGCACCCCCTCTAGCCCCTGGATTTTTAGCTGCTCGGACGCTAGGGGATCGCTGGGGGTCGGCTACTTCCAGTTGAGCCGGGCGCTAATGTCCGCTGGGTTGGGGGAGTTTAGTCATCTCCGGATGTTAACTTCCTAGATACGTAGAGATTATCCCTTATTAAACTTTCCCGAGATAATTTGTTGACTTGGTTGTACCTGTGACGTACGTATTCATAATCGTGTAAGTGTACATAAATAGTTCGTAGCACTGCGTCTGGAATATGAGCAATACATATCATGATGTCCATGGAAAGGAAACCCAACGCTCTATGTGACCAACATACAACTTAAGCTAGATAGGAGCAGCTATAATGTATGCTCTTTTCTGGTATAGGTCAAACCACAAATCTACAGCTTCGCCGGCACATCAGCAACAGGCACCTGAGGCACATTCCTCTCCTTAACCGTCCTCCTCGCCAAATCCCAGACCTGTTCATCCGTAAACGGGCTCAGCTTATCCACATCAATGTCCACCTCCTCCAGACTCCTCGCCTTGATCGTCTTATAAGACGACCTCACCTTCCCCGGGTCCGCGCCGCACACGTCCTTCACAAACCGCGCCAGACCCTCTATATTCCGCCGCGCCTCGGCCAGCTGCGGCAGGATCGCGGCGAACACGTGCGGCATGGCCTCGTACTCCTCGAACACGACCGTGACGCCGTCCCTCGCAAGCTTCGACACTAAATACCTGTCCTCGTCGGCGATGGTCTCCCAGCCGCAGCACACGTAGACGGGGGGCGCGCCCGCCCAGCTCGCGTTCATCTGCAGCGTGCCCAGCGGGTGCAGGATGTACGCGTCGTCGACGTAGATGTGGCGGCGCGGCGGGTCCGCCGGCCACAGCCCGTCCGGTTTTGGCTTGATCGTCTCCGAGAGCAGGATCGGCGGCGGCAGGTAGCACCACTGCTGGTTCGCGACGAGCGACGGCATCGTCTGGATCAGGTCCACCCACGGCGAGATGGCGGCGACGCCGGCGGGCAGCGGCACCTCGCGGTCCGCGCCGAACCACGCGATCTTGAGGTCCTGCCGCCGGATCTCCATGATCGTCCGCAGAAGGGCGAGGGCGAGGTTGCCGCCCGCGCTGTCCCCGGAGAAGACGATGTCGCTGGGACTCACGGCCTCGTGGAAGGATCCCGGGGGCGGGTACAGGAGTGTGAAGTAGGACACTAATGCATCCAGCAACGCTGACGGGAACGCGTTCTGGGGCGCGAGGCGGTAGCGGACGGAGTACGCGCGCCCGCCAGTCGACTTAGCCAAGCTCTTCACCAGGCCTCTATGCGTGATCGGATCGCACACGTAATAAGCGCCGCCGTGGAAATACAGGATCGTCGACTTATTCTTCGTCTCCTTCATCATCTCGTAATACTTCTCCTCCTCCGAGATCGCGGGCGGCGTAGCGTCCTTGGCTACGCCCGCCCTGTAGCCCGTCCACTCGGCCTCTACGGGGACGATATCGGGGATCTTGAACGATGGCTTTGCGCCTCTTGCGTCAGGGGCACGCAGGCCGTCGATAGCCGCCAATAAGGCGTCGCGGATCCCCTGCTCGGGGGGTACCTTGGATGCCGCCGTGCTGATCCATATCCTGCCCTTGACGCCTGGGTCCCGCGTTGTCATTACCTGCGTTTCTCTGATGCCCACCTGCTTCCCCGAGTTAAGAGTCGAGCGCAGGACCGAGATGGTTACATCGCTCTTCAGGTCTAAGTACTTGGAGGTTTCGGACCTCCGTAGGACGTGCAGCAGAACGACCTTAAGTACTAAGGGGAGTTTGGGCAAGAGTGTCAATAAAAGCCCAAATTTCCCGTCGCCACCAGTGCCGGCTAAGCCGCTGTTGGCATTACCATCAGACATGGGAACGGATGAAGCAGACACCAGATAAATGCTAAAGACACTGCAAATGAGTATATGGAAACAGCTGATGTTTATAGATTCAAATGTCTGGCGACAAGGTCCGCTTTAATAGTAGATGGAAAGAAGTACCAAGCAGTATGCAGATGTCGGTATGTGCCGATAATTATGAGACACGGGCGGCACTTTTAATGAAACAATATTCACATCAGTAGCATTCTACCTGTTCAGCAGCTTCATGAGTTTTCGCAAGCTTTGCCTTCGAAAGGATCGCTAGAGATGCAGCTAAGCCTCGGCATCATGAATCATGCACGTGGCGATCCCGAATGTAACATCAATGATGTAGGGGTTTTAGCAGGTTTAGTAGCTGCTGTGAAGCCTTTCCACTTCATTCGACCGTGCTAGAGTATCAATTCCCGGAGAAAGCTGCGGTTTGATGATGTGATTGGTAGATGAAAACCCCGGGGCTTGAGACAGTCCAATGGGATCACTTAAGAGCTATTTTGGACCAGGTAAGTCGACATCGTCTTCCCATATAGCAAGTCAACATGTGTTTACCTGCACCGATCACAGGGGTATAAAAACCAAACGAAGGGAATTAAGCCTCTGTATTGAGTTATGTTATTAGGCTTGTTAATACCTTTATACCTTGATACCCATCCTAAACGTACATACGTTTCCCTCCTCTTCCTCTCACCCATCAACCCCCTCCTCGTCACGTCGAATGGAGTTAGCCTTCGAATATAGCATGCCCAAGGCCACCTTTCCTTTTTGCAAAAAGATAACTCCCTGTCAAAAGAACGCCGATTGATTCAACTAATGCATACTTATTAATAACTCATGTGCTTAAAAGCTAAGAACTGCTGCCAGCCTCCCCTTGCCCGTCACCCTTTCCGCTCGCCGCCATCTGCCACGCCGGGATCGACGCCTTGGGTGTAGCGGGAGATCCGGTACCGAAGGGGCTGTTACGGTCGCCGAGCGCTGATAAGTAGTCATGTCGACTGCTGCTCGTGCTAGCGCCACTAGGGGGAGATGAGTTTTCCTTCTCTTCGCGTAATGCTTGCTTCGCGTCTCCAATTTCCTTAGCCATGAAGTCGATGCCCGGGGTCGAGGGGCCGCTCGGAGGAGCCATATTGCCACCGGTGGGTAGGAGGAAACCATTAGTGCTAATAGCCGGTACGGGTGGTGTCGGTCTGTTGATGCTAAGAGCCGGTGTAGAGGTAGAACCCGAGTTATTCATTCTCTGGCCGATGAGCGACTTTAGACTCTTGACCTCGTTGGTGATATCCTTCAATTTATTATCCGTGAAATCCTTGTTGGCCGCCATCGATTTCGGAATGATGCTCTTGAGGCCCTTCATCTCTTCGCGTAATCTCTCCGTCTCGTCTTCATGCCTTCTAGCAGCTGACTTTGTATCCCGCATGAACGTGTCTAGTTCATCGAGTACCTTGTCAAGTTTTTCGGTTCGATCTTTCTCCGAAGCCTTCAGCTCGTCCGTGTCTTTTGCTAATTGCTCTAGTGTTGCGAAAGCTTTCTCGAACTGCTCATCCACGTTTGTCTTATCCTGCTCTAGCTTTTCCGGCGTTGGCGGTGAGACGAGGGGGTATATATAACGCTATTATCAAGACTAATCAGCTTTCTTTTATCAACCATAGAGTATTAGATGGGATCGTTTCTTACCTTGCTCATGAAATACAGGCCGTAACCAACGCCGCCTACTACGGTAGCCATTATGAACCAATCTCGCCAATCCCTCTTAGGGGGCTCTGGTGGAGGTGCTTCCCATCCGTAAGGTTGAGTTTGATATTGGCCATATGGTTGGCGTTGAGCCGGAGCCGGGGTGTATCGTGGCGGCGGCGGCGACGAGGTAGAATAAGAGTCTGATGGTGAGCCACTTCGTGCAAAGGCTACATCGATTTCCTCCTGTGTCAAGTTTTTTGATCGCAGAAACGATAATTTGTTCTCTGTGGGCGATGACGCTACATTTGGATCTTGCAAGACTATTCATGTTGATTCACTTTGTTAGCAACGATCTGCTTCTCGGCTTCCAAAGTTCATCAAAATAAAGTGGCTGGTTTCCAGTAACTCACAAGAGATCGCAGAGGCTACAATGTCCTCCCGAATTGCCATGATTAGTGTATGGTCCTCAGCGAGGATTCATGTTAGAATGGTGAATGACGGTTAGTTTGATAAATGGAGCGTGTGTGCAATTACAGTTGGAGCTGATTGAAAGATTGGAAATTATAAGTTGTCGCGTTGGGATTGGTAAGTGCTATGATCCAATGACGAGCCCCTGCCGAAGTAGAATGGGCCGAGGCACGCGGTTGCACCGCTACTTGAATCATCTTACGTAACTCAATAACTAAGTATCACGTGCTCGGCCTATAACGGTGTTACTATTACCGCCTTTCTCTTCTTTACATATTGATGCCAACTCATAGGAGCAGTAGGAGGTTCTTCTGAAGTTCAGCCAATGAATAACTATATTCCGCTCTTTTGCGGTTAGTTAATTGCCTAGAAATCATCTAAATTATGGTCGGGACGGCACGAGCCTAACCATGATATATTTTCTAACTTCATCATAAGAAGCCTTTAAGAGCTTATAGAAAGAGAAAAGTCTGGATTAACTTATATCTTCACTAGGACATAAGAAAATATAAATCATTCACCATAGTTGATCTACTCATCTATTAGGTATCAACCTAGTCTAAGGATTCGGCTTAATGAATTCTCTATCATAGCCTTTAACTCAAACTTCTGGTGTATTAGAAAAACCATGGGATTCGTAAAGCATCGCCAACGAAAAAAAAAACACACGTAATCTCTTTCCTGAAGATGTATCGCCCCATATGCCATTCCGTTTCGTTCCATAATCTTGAAGAACAAAAATCCACGCCGGTCCATCGATCATGTCATGCTAAAAGGGAAAATAAAAACGAGAATCCCATCCCATCCTGTGACTACCTTTGTAGGTGTATGATGATGGGGAATGCAATAATGACCCCTTTAAGTCTTTCTTCCTCTTGTCAACTCACTTCCTACTTTGCCCTCGCCCAAAGATAAGATAACCTAGTCTTCTACCAACTCATCATCCCCGTCGCCCGATCAAACCCACCCCTCAACTGCCTATCCCCCTTAACAACCTTGCCCTGCAAAATCGTATATCTCACAATATTCTCACAATCCTCCGGCCTAACCCTAGCCAACCAAATACACTGCGCGGCTCCCACATCCCTCGCCTCACCACCTTCACCCTCCTCATCCGGGACCGGCTTCGCGATCTCCGGCTCCTGTCCCGGCGGCATCTTCGCGCGCTGCACCTCATCAATACCGAACGCGTCCGGGCGCCGGTATATCATCATGTTAGCCGAGTACTTGTGGCCGCCGACGTGATTAACAAAATAAATGCCCACGCCGCCCGGCCGCTCGTCGTCGAGGTCGCGGTCGAGCCCGAGCACGCGCAGGTGGCGCTCGAGCTCCTTCTTGACGAGCGGCGCGCTCTGGCCGCAGCGCGCGTCGCGCGTGCGGTGCGAGCACAGCAGCACGACGGCCCGGTGCGGGCACGGGCGCGCCACCATGTCGCCGACGGCGCTGCGCGACGAGGATATCGTTTTGGGTAGGGCCACCGGGTCCAGCGGGTCCGACGTCGTCGGCGCTTTCGAGATGTACTTGTTGATGAGCGACGGCACCGCCGGCGGCGTCACGTTCTCGACGATGGTGAAGGCGGGGAGCACGAGTAGGGTTGTGGGCTCCGAGTAGTCCGGTTTGTTGCTCGGCGTGTGCATGTTGGAGGCGGAGAGCATGAGGCGCTGTTTTGGGACGGCGTGAGCATTGACTTATTCGTATAGATGACATATGAGGCATAAGAAACATAGAACACAGAACACATAAAACATACCCCATTACTAGGCTTGCTCGCGTGGCCGAACGCCTCCATGACGCTGCCCCTTTCGTCCTCGACATGCCTGCTCCAGTCGGACTTGCTCGTGGCGACCAGCACGTGGGTGCTCCACGGCTTTATGTTGCCGTAGAGCGGGTGCGTCTCCTCGACCTTGAAGTGGCGCGGGTACTTAACCGTGCAGCTGTCGCAGTCGTGCTTGCACTCCTCGCCGTCGACGTCGGCTCGCGTGTGCGGGAACAGCTCCGATGCTCGCGCGCTGCCCGTCAGCGCACGCTTCGCTCCGCCGAATATCGAGAGCAGACCTGCCGCTGCCATTTTTTCTTCTCTCTTTTCTTTTCTTTTCTTTATGTCACGTCACTTTCTCTCTTCGCTTCACTTCACTTCTCTTCTTCTCTCCTTTCTTCCTCCCTCTTCCTCTTCCGAGACGCCCCAGAAGTGCGTGGGCGTAGAAGCGATCGCGCCAAGAGATATGTCTATGCTACTAGGTACTGTATGTATGTACCGATAGGTGATGGCGGATTTATTCCCTTATTTCCTTATCTGATCCGAGGCCTGTCGTTAGTCTCGGCCGAAAATGGTAAGTGGGGTGACAGGGGCAGGTGAAATAGAAAAAGTCAGGGGAAGCAAGAGGTACGACCCGAAAGTATGGTTGACGGGAGACGAACTAGAGAATTGGCATACCTTTTGACAAATCTGTTCTCCGAGGACTCGTCTGGTATTTGGATCTTTTCCCAAGGGAATATGGAATCACGATCTGTTTGACGTCTATATGCCGATTCAAACCAGTGTCGTCAGGTACCTAATGCCTATGTACCTATGTATCCAGTCAAGCAAGCAAACAAAACACGTCCCTCACTCAAAACCTCGGCCGTTTCCTGGAGTCGAACGATCGAGAAGAGCGAAACCGAAAATCTAAAAAATGTTGGGGTGACGAGGAGATGACAAACGCGAAATTAGAAGAAATTCTATTCGAGACGGGCGACTACACTAGGTATTATACCTCCTTCGGTGGACGGGGTATCAGACTCGGACAAAAGAGGGCACGTCTTCTCGGTCTTAAGTGCGCAGCCTCACGGAGTAAGTCTTCGGCTTTCCGAGAATGTGTTGCCGCGCGTTGGTTCCAAGGATTCCCATCGAATTTCGAAAATAGGCTGCCCCTTGTCTCCTCCCCAATCTGCCAGTTCTGCCAATCTGACCCTGCAGCTATTCGATAGCATCAATTGTCGGGCACCAAGGCCTATATCCCGTCGAAATACATATGTCGAGATCCTGGTCCCGTACCCACTACGTAGTAGAGACCCCTTAAGCGCAACACGTAACTCCTGCGAAGCGTGGTATGAGCAATGTGTAAGCTAGCGACCGTTATGGGAAGATGTCGCCTCAGACGCCATGATAAAAAGTCAAAGATCGGCTTTGGTGAAACCGGCAAACGTGCCGAAAAGGATCACCCTGAGTACTAGGTAGGTTGGTAGGGTGTGTGTGGATCTCACGTTTAAAAGTTATCAGATCTCGCCGATGCTGATTGATTAGGTACACATAACCCCTGACTACTAAGATACCTAGGATACCACACACTCGACCGGAATCATAAAGGATTTAGAACATGAATATAAACCTATGAGCTTACACGTATAGTAAGCTATTAATGCCGGGATGTACTACGTTTCCAAGTGCCATAAACACCCAAATAATACACTAAATTACGAGGCTCGCCTTTCAGAGATGAGATATCACAGCCCCACTTGAGTCCTGGTTGGCTAGTACATTACGACGCAGATGGCACTAGCCATGAAGTTGTTCAGACTTTTAAGAATACATACATACCTACCTACATACATCACCTCTCCTACCTACCAACTTAACATCTCATCTCCCCTTCATCAACTACTCACAACGTATACTCACGAAAACCTCACGATGGACTAAAATCAAACGTATATGATACTGGCATTATGGCATTACAGTTAACTCATAACATCCCTTAAGCAGGATACTCAACTCCTTTCTTTCCCTCCCCAACAACCCATCCCGATCCAACGCGAGCCCATCTTATCTATCATTCCTAGGTAGGTAAATTACATTTCCAGGTTACAAAATACTTCCCGCCTCGTCTCATCGGATCGCATCTTAATCACATCTTATTCGTTCATTACCCTTTCTCCTCCCTCTCCCTTTCATTCCCTCCTCTCCTATGTGACCATCTGACTATACGTCCGAGCCCAAGCCCAAGCCTAACTCTCGCTACCCTCCCCATCCGACGAGAGCCCGCTCTTCCGCCGTCTCAGCTCCCCCCTCTGCTTCATCGCCGCCCTGATCTTCGTGCTCGCCTCGTTGAACCCCTCGTTCGTGTCCAGCGCCGTGAACCCGGAGATCGGGAACCCGCCCGACCCGAACCCGCCTCCGGAGCTGCTGCTCCTGCTCCGGGACCGCGAGGGCGGCCGCGTCGCGAACATGCCGATGGCCCCGATGTTGCTGAACGACTCGTTGCGCGGGATCGCCTGGCTCGACCGAGTCGTGTTCTTCCTAGACAGATGGGGGGAGTCTGGGGGGGTCGGCTCCGCCGCCCTCTCCGCTCCGGATTCCTTGAGGCTAAGCGCCCCGTCCGCCCGGAATGGGTCCGCGACGAGGCGCGTCTGTTCGAAGTCCTCGTACATGTCGGGGCCGAGGTCGTTGATAACCTTGACTACTTTCTCGGACAGCTCTGCCCTCCGCTCCCGTAGTTTATGAATGCTGTTGCTAGATGTCGGGCTAATGCATAGGACGAGAGGTCTGAGCGACTTGCAGATATCCATGCCAACCTCACCGAATCGTAGTGCCGCAAATGTGATGGCAGGGAAGACGATCCAGCCGCCAACGAACATGGACCAGAAAGGCACCCATTCTGGGACGTAGCCCCATAGATGGTCTTGGTACACCTTAACCGCGAGTATCACACAGTACAGGTTGTAAAGCACAGGGGCAAACGCCATAGCGACGAGGAGTTTCCAGGTTGCCATGACGTCCCGACCCTGAATCTTCACTGACGAACCTGCCAGTGCTTCCTTCGCTTTCTTATGGCTAATAATCTTGGAAGCAACAAACACCGGGGCGAACAGGACCAACCCAGGAATGACGCCAATGGAGAGGACAATCAGTTTCGCGATGCGGTATAGAAGAGTGAGGATAACTACTGGGAGTGTCATCTTGGCGTAGGCAACTTGGTGATCTCTGATATTCAGGTAGCGGAGCTGCTTATTGTATTCTTTGACGTTGTTCATCAAGTCGATAATGCGTGGATCGTCCTTATATTTGGAGAAGCCCACAGCTAACCTCCTGTTGAGCTCTACAACCATCGGTAAGGGCAATTTTTTCCCGGTGTTGTAGAGTCTTCTGGCGCCCTGAATGCACATTAGAGTATCGTAATCTGGAGATGACACGGTAACGGCGCTCAGAGCTTGGTGTACCATGTCAAGTGTTTGACTGATCGCATCTCTCCTCTCGTTGTTTTTATATTTCTCAACTAGCTCTCTTGGGATCTGGAAGGGCGCCCCGAACTCGACGACTGCCCGCGACCGGAACTTGTGAGCGTGGAAGTAATTCATTCCAACCGGAACGATCTGAAGGCCACAGTCAGGGTCCTCAGCTAGCGTACCCAACGCCATAATTGCAACACCAGCCTTTAAGGGTAATAATTCTGTTCGGTCATGGCTACCTCCTTCGGGGAAAATCCCAATACAGCCGCCCGACCTCAAGCGGTTAAAAACCGCCTTGTAAACTTCAGTCTGATCGATATGTGGAGCTAACTTAAATTTGGTGCCTTCGTAGCCGTCTTTAATCCCATTTAGCTGCTTGTTGGTGAAGTTTCCCTTTTCGTCAATGTCATCGCGACCGGTCAGCTGCTGCAAAGGAACCTTTCCCTTGAATGGTCGTTTGATGCGAATTTCATCGGGACCGACGATTTTAGAAATGTCGATCGAACTACCCGACTGGCCTTTTACAGAGGGCAAGAAGATCATGCCCCCAACCTCAGCCTCCTTCTCGAAATCAGTGCCCACGCCGCGGATCAGAGTCGGGTCATTAATGGGATCGGGAAGGTAAATAAGACCCGTCGCCGGTTTCGCCTTATCTTGAGCTCGGCCAACCGGGACAGAACCGGTCTGGCGAGAACCCCATCCGATAAACCCGTGAACAGATTTCTCCGCGATCAGAAGACCAACACGTCGATTTGCTTCATTTTTCAAGGTCCTTTGCAGGACTAGACCGTCGACAAACTGATTCGCATGCGGCGCTGCAACGAAGAGGATGGGACCGGTCCGGGGCACCCGCCATGCACCTCGCGGGTGGACTTCTCGGAAGAATAGGTCGACTAGGACGGAGAAGGTATGTAAGAAGGCGTCGTATTTCCAATCCGACATAGGATATAGCTCTTTTTCTTTATGAGGCTTCGATTTTGCGACATTAGAAGGACGTGCCTCCTCGGCAGGTTTGCCGTCGGCCATGTTTGCGGAATCGGAGACGTCGGATGTGGTAGGTGCCAGGTGGGAATAAGATTGGGAGAACAGATTAGCGACAATGCCTAACCTATAGGCTACGTATTCGTATTTATTCGCAGCGAACTGTCCATTCGTCCGATCAAGAACAGGTGTTGCGAAAATTTCGCGCGGTCTTCGCAGATCGCGATATTATCACGTTCCAGAGGATTGGAACTGTAAACGGATGGATATCGTGAGCGTTTAGAATAGCTAGTTGTCAAATCTAGAGAGGGGACCGTTATGATTTTAGTAAGAGGCCTAGTCAGCAAGCTAGAGAGATAGCTATCAATGATCTAGCACGCGAGCAAACATGAGCGTCATCCTAGGTAAGAGATGATGAGTGGATGATGAAGTGTAGTGTACGAGTAGTGGATGTAGATCTTGCGCAGAGTAGAAAAAAAAACTCGTCAATCACAGGCCAAATTACAAGCACTTCCTGGCTATACGCATGAGGAAGCTACAGCCACAGCGCGTGGTACCCTGTACAGCCTGGAAGAAACTGGAATCTTGGCAAATGTCAGAGAAAAAAGAGTTTGGGCGCCACAAATACGTATTGACGTATGGGGGTGTATCTAGGTACCTAGATGAGGGGCCGAGGGGGAATCCTTCCTGTGCTACGTAGTATTTCGCCCGAGGTACTAGAATTAGCGGGGATAGATAGCATAATTTCAAGTATATCCATATGAAGAGTACTTCCTCTCCCGATCAACGATGTTATGCCTCACTTGCTATTGGACCGAAAGCATTCCCAACGGAATGGATTCATCTGGCACTATGCGTAATTCATCTACACTCAAGAATCCTTTTTCAGAGACTTTGTCCCATAGTATAGGATTTTGTTGAGTGCTATACACTTCACCTGACTGGGTATTCCGTAGATCACAGAGCCAACTCCATATAAGCCATCTGGCCATGTCGAGGCCATGCAGGCTGAAGAATATCATGTATGTGGCAATCATGGACTCTGATACGAAATGCAAGACATACACCTAATCAAAACGGAACTGCATATTCGAACGCCACCCGCAGTGTGCACGGCTATACATGCCTATGCCAGGTACATACATCACGCAATATCTCGATTATCATGCAATTGCAGCTGTGTCATGGGATTGCAATGTTGATAAAGCACCCCTGGGCACCGTGGACTCGTATGCAAGCTTTATATGATAACTGAGCACATCATTTTTGCGCTTGCTAGGCCCTCCCTTCTCCTTGACGAGCGTTACATTACGCACACTAGCAATCTCCGGGCTGTCTCGGGCCGCAAAGGTCCCCGTCTGATCCTGTGCGTCCCTGAGACGTCTCTAATGCGCCTCCAATGATAGTAATCCACTGTCTACCCCCGATAATACCGTGTAGAAGACAATATCCGGGGCCCCGGCAATTCGTAAGGGCTTAATTCTTGCCCTTGCCTTTTCCTTTCCGCCGTCTCTTGTCCTCGGGTACGGAGACGCTGCCTTCCTGAACTTCGCCCTCTTCGACTTTCCCTTCGGCTTCCAGTTCCTTGAGCTTCTCCTGGCCCGATATGAACATGGTCAAGTCGTGATTCTGGTCCTTCAGATCCGCGTTCTCTATCTTGAGCGCCTTGACCTCCTCTCCTAGGCTCTCGAGTTCTTTGTTCGTATGTTCAATTCGTTTCATCAGCCCTTCTGATACTTTTTTCTCTTCCTGGAGACTCTTGCCCAGCCCCCGTGCAAGATCCGTCGATTTAGCTGCGCGATTGCGTTCGCGTTCCAAGTCTTTCTCGAGCGCTGGGATCGTCTCGGTGCGTAGCTGATGCTGTTCACTCTTCAGCTCTTTTAGTTCCTTCAGTGCCTGTGATGCTTGGGCCGCGGCCTTCTCCGCGGCGGCAGATGCTTGAGCCGCCTTATCCGCTGCTTTCGAGAGCATCTCCTCAAAGTAGACACGTTGACTCTCTAGCTGGCTACTAAGTAGGTGGGTATACTCCATGCCGATGCTCTCAAGCTTGGCTCGGGGTACCACGTCCTGGTCTTCAAGCTCATCGGGTCTCATAGGCCCTCCTTGACGGCCGGGCAGTTCAACGACCTTACCGTCGCCCTTGTCCCTGATTAAACGATGTACCCACATGTCTCCAGCATAATCCCATATATGCTGGGTCTCTAACTCTAATGAAAACGTATGGGCTGTATCCTTCCAGTGCTCTTTCGCGTGACCTCCTTTGTATCGTCCGCAGCCTACATTGCCACAGATAAGGCATATCCAGAGGTCATCGGGAGAATCACAAACAGAGCATAAGTTAGACACGCGTGAGCCAAAAGGTTGTGTATACGGGTTATTGGGATCGTAAGAAGTAGACATGTGAGCGTTGGATGATGACGACGGAGGAGTCGGGTTGGTATGCCGGCAAACAGGGCAGCCAGAACCCTTCCATTTCTGTAGACATGAGCAGTGGAATACATGCTGGCAAGGAATTGTCAGTAAACCCGTAGTGTTGTCCATCCGCTCTAAACAGACGGGACAAGTAGGTAGCTCGATTAAGTTTGGTGTCGGCGGCGGAAAAGGTTTGAGTGAGTTGGACGTTGCTGAAGTAGATGGCGTAAACGGATCATGGCTAAGGTCTGGAAAACTACCATTCGACCCAGCCGGACTCTCAAAAGTGACGGATTTTACGAAGGCAACAGTACACGTCTCTGGCTATATGTTGTTAATCTCTGGTATGTTCTGGATCTTAGAACGCTCTTACCTCAACGTTGTTGAATACCTTGCCGTCAAACTCGCGCCTAAAAAGCTGTGCCAGCTTGCTCTCCCTAAACTTCATGAGAACGAGGTATCTGTTCATCCGCCCTGTCATGACCATACGGTAATGACTAACTTCGTCCCTCCACTTGTCACCCATAAAACCGAGGAAATCGCTTGGAGATAGATAGCTCGGAACCGCTGGGATACAGACTGTCGTACAGTCGGTTTGCGCCTTATCTTGCTCTTCGTCGACTTCGGCTACGTGATCGGGAGATATCATAAGCCCCGAGCTCTCCGCCTCTTCCCTGTACAGATGGACGATACCCCAGCCTAACTCAGTATTCTTCGAACTAGTCAACGGGACATATTTTGCTTTTGTAGCCTTGCCGGCGCCTCCCATAGAGGGGCCGACAGCGGCTGCCGCTGCAGACGTTGTCGGCATACTGCCGCGGTCTTCGTAACCGTCTACGTCAATACTCTCGATCCGCAGCTGTCCGAATCTCCAGTCCTTAACTGCAGTCTGCGGATTTATAGCAATACAGGGTTGTGGAGGTGGGTAGCTCAATGTTCGTTGTCGGTGTTGTCTCTCGCTAAGCCGTATGATATTGCGATCGTCTTGGGCTTCAAGTGGTCGAGGGGCGCCGCAATCGATAACGTTCGGCTTGACCTTTGCTTGGGTAGGCGGGGTTTGATTTTGCTGTGGGCCATTCGCATACGACACTTTGCGCTCATGAAGCGCGGCAGCCTTCCGTGGTCGAGGATGCGACGGGAGGTTGTCGAAAATGCCCGAACCCTCGTTTGGCTGCCAAATAGCGCTATCGTATGATGGCGGCACCTTTCCTTTCTCTTGCGGAATTGGATTCGGCGTAGGATAAATCTCAAATTTAATATGATAATAATACGCAGGCATGGCCTAGCTCTCTTGAGATGCAGAGTATCTTGTGAGTAAGTCAACCGTAGGCATATCTCGGGAATTGCGCCAACTCATGTGGCGAAAGAATGTCTGCGGTTCGCGAGCTAAATGAAACCTGGAATGTCTGTGGCAAGTTATAATGGGAAACTTCTCCCATGGTTGAAATTTAAGCAGGCAAAAAGTCTGCTCTGACAATAATGTGAGCTTAGGGATGCGATGAGTTTATATAGGAAAGCGCAATTGTTCTGTTGAATTCGTTTGGCATCTTTTACGTAGAAGTCACTGGTGGGTTTCCGACTAATAAAACTTACCGTAGCACGGTACATCCCACCTAGACAACAGCAGGCACAGCCACCAATCACTACAAAACTTTACGCATAAACGGTCACATAGTCAAAGTGATTCAAATCTTAGTGTCAATGAACAACAGGAGGTATATTAGTCCCGGGCATCAATTCATCATGATGCACTATCTGAAGACCATTATAATATGTCCATTGATGCAATCAACCTCGAAAGCCCTATCTTGGGCAGAAACCATTAACGCCAATTCGTGCAAGTGTCGTCATTCGCCGTCGTCGTCAAGCATCTATTGTCCACCACGTAGACGGAGGACCAAGTGGAGCGTAGACTCCTTTTGGATGTTGTAGTCGCTCAAAGTGCGACCATCCTCCAGTTGCTTACCCGCGAAGATAAGACGTTGCTGGTCGGGAGGGATGCCTTCCTTGTCCTGGATCTTTGACTTAACGTTGTCGATAGTGTCCGAAGATTCAACTTCCAGGGTAATAGTCTTGCCCGTCAATGTCTTGACGAAGATCTGCATACCACCACGAAGTCTGAGCACAAGGTGAAGGGTGGATTCCTTCTGGATGTTGTAGTCGCTGAGGGTTCGGCCATCTTCCAACTGCTTACCGGCGAAAATAAGTCGCTGTTGGTCAGGTGGGATACCCTCCTTGTCCTGAATCTTCGATTTGACGTTGTCAATGGTGTCCGATGACTCAACCTCAAGGGTGATTGTCTTGCCAGTGAGGGTCTTCACGAAGATTTGCATTCCACCACGGAGACGAAGGACCAGGTGAAGAGTGGACTCCTTCTGGATGTTGTAGTCGGACAGAGTTCGGCCGTCCTCAAGTTGCTTGCCCGCAAAGATCAAGCGCTGTTGGTCGGGAGGAATGCCCTCCTTGTCCTGGATCTTAGACTTCACATTGTCGATGGTGTCGGAGGATTCGACCTCAAGGGTAATGGTCTTTCCAGTCAGGGTCTTGACGACTAATCAAATTATTAGTACCTATTAAAATGTAGATAATCGTTTGAATTTGAACTTACAGATTTGCATACCACCACGCAGGCGGAGGACAAGGTGGAGAGTGCTCTCCTTCTGAATGTTGTAGTCAGAAAGAGTGCGACCGTCTTCAAGCTGCTTTCCGGCGAAGATCAATCGCTGCTGGTCGGGAGGAATTCCCTCCTTGTCTTGAATCTTCGACTTAACGTTGTCGATGGTGTCGGAAGACTCGACCTCAAGAGTGATGGTCTTGCCGGTGAGGGTCTTGACGAAGATCTGCATCTTGCCGAGTGTTGATGAATAGTACGGTGAAGTTGTTTAAAGGTTGTCAGCGGACTGTCAAGTAGACGATTTGATGTTGATGAAGGGCGCTGTGGGATGAGAGTATTTAGTTGTACGAGGGAAGAAAGAGAAATGTGACCGAAAGTTGGCAGAGTTGACTTCAAATAGGTTTGGGAAAGCGGCAAACGCACACGGACACCTGAGGCGCAGTGACTGTTGAATGGAAGGCCTGAGAAAGGGAAGGAGGTGGGGGCAGGCAATAGCCCGGGCCAATTACGTATCACAAACCTAGCTTGATCCAGAGGTGAATCATCGGTAGGCACCACTGATAGCGGGGGAAGTCGCCTAGAAGTGGCCGGTTCTCATGCGAAGTCTCAGGAAGGGGCAGGTACATTCTACATACAAAAGAGGCAAACCTGCTTGATAATCCTGGATTGTGGAGACTTCCTTACTGCCCAGCTTTGTTCGCCCAGCAGCCCAGCCACAAATCGGCAGTCGCGTCAGCTGCTTACGAGTTGGGAACTGTTCAGATGCAGGAACCTACCGAATTGCCTAGAATTAAGGAAAGTGTATATTGATAAAGTTAGCTCTACACTGTTCTGGTGACTAGAAAAAGGATAGTAGTGGAAGCTGTCACCCTACATATTGTCTACTATTGATACTATTGCAACCATTGCAGCATTGAACCGTTATCGTCCTATCAACTTACATACGTCATGTGGTGCAACGGCCCAGATAAGGCTCAATCACAAGGTAACGGCGAAAACGGGGAAAGCTTAGACACAAGACACTAGAGACATTTATTGAGAAGATAATACATGTTTGACTATCAGACTACACACACACTAATACACTAGAGAAGCCATATATTACTACAACTGTGCTACACACTCAATAGACAGATTGTATTGGTTGTTTAGGGCTCTAGGCCATTGATGTGATCTCTAGCGGGTCGCACGCACACGTTTCTTGCCCCTTTCCCCTTCCCCTTCCCGAGACCAACATCTCCGGAGCGAGCCGAACATTTTCCAGCTCTAGACTCTGCGCAGATCGCTGAATTAGGACTGGATCGTGCCATTCCCATCGCTTGTTCCTGATTGCCCTGCTGCCCTGTTTCTTCCCTCTAGGCAGGTTCCCGCATGCAGAAGCACTGCTTCAGCGACAGCAGGAATGTTCATTAATATCATTAATGTAGTCCAACAACGGCGCCACCGGTTTCCGCTCTCCGCAGGGCCTCGCAGAAACTAAACCGGCTCATCCGGTAGGAGTGGGGTCGATCCAATCCCCTGATATGCTAGCCAGCCTCAATAACACATCGTCGTCTAATAGTCCAACTAACCATCAAGGTCGTGTGAGTTACATGCTTTATTATAAGGTACATGGGGAACTATTGATGCTAGGCAATATCTATCCAAACACCTCGCTACTTGGTACTTCGGTATCACGATTGAGTACCCAATTCCACTCGGTGACTTACCTAGCTGAAGTAGAAGCCTCATGCCGGCGAATGAATATTCACTATAATCCCGCAGTTAACTGGAGAGCCGCGAAAGTGCGAGGGTAAGCTGCATTCCCGTGCGTATGAAGGTAAGACCAAAACAAGTGATTCGTCCTTCGTCGAGAGACAAGAGATGGGGAGCGATAGCGGCCTCGATCGGCTCTTTAGTGATATGACGTTGTATCTAATCTCCAACGGCGCTTACAGAGACATCACTTGTACGAAGTAAATCTAAGGTAATATTTTGCGGCGCCTGCATGAAAGGCTTGCCGTGCGACACCCGTGTTCTAGCAAAGGAGATACATGTATATCTACAGGACAACTATCAAACTACAAAGTAGAAGACATCTCGTCGCTGAGTACAATCATCAAATGAAAACGTATTTATTATCCTTTAGTCTGTATCTTTTCCTGTCCTACAGTGATACAAACGAGAGCGCGATCATGATTCCTCGCTGAGAGCGATGGACTCCCCTATATCCACCCATCTAGTAATTCATCAAAAGGCTCCAGACCGTTTAGGGTCTATCGGATACCTAATACCATTCATGTATTCTATGCTCTTATACGTAACCGCATATGTGTTCGCGTGAAATCCATAGCTTCTTTCCACTTCGTAAAAAACATGATCCATTGAGCCGCTTTTGGGTGCTTGCGCGTAACAACGATCAACATAATTCCAAGTCATACAGTCGTCGAATAAGCCGTTAGAAAGGTCGTAAATTCGGAGCAACATGGCGTAAAGCATCGCATGCGTCGAGTGGCGGTGACCAGCCGAAAAGTGAGAGAAACGAAGATGAAGGTATGTGTTGATCCATGAGTGGTAAATGTTAGGTCATGATAAAGATCATTTCCACAAACAACGCCATCGCTAAATGTTTCCGTCAATCTGAACAAAGGAAAAAAAAAGATATTCCTAAAATAAAAAAATAAAAAAAATCATCTTGCTATTGCTCAACGGCATAGGCATTTCTAAATTGCAAAGTATCGTTATCCCATATCCAGATCGGGACGTAAATGAGAAGCCTAGTTGGCCTTGATGACCAACTTCGACAAGAACTTGTTGGATAACGAATCGAAATCATATCTGTCGAATTTCGACGTGTTTCTCGTCCTCAGGTAGGCCTCTGTGGTTGAATCAGTAAATGTCACCTAGTTCTTCTGGGTACAATTTTCTTACCATGCTTAAGGACGTGTTGTCGCACTTCGGTCATAGCTTCGCATACAGCCACGTTGTTGTTGAGAAGATGGCCATGTCGCTCAGTCTCCCAATCGATCAAAGCGGGCAGCTTTTGTGAGATGGCGTGGAACAGGCCAGTAATGACACCGACGGGAGTGCTCTCCATATCGGAGCAGAACTTCTCTACCGCAACTGGGTCAGGCACTCGGTAATGGCAGTCAAATTGCATCTCCTCCCATACAGCCAAAAGGATAGAGGCCAGCATGAAGATGGTAGGCCAGTTCTTCAAGCGATCACCGCTGTACACGCTCGAGTAGAGAGCTGAAAGCTCCTCTAGGATATCCTTCTGCAGCTCACGCCACATATCCGCCATCGCACACTTAATTTGGAAGTTGATCATCACGGGAGCTACGTATTTGCCGAAGTACTTCGAGTCCTCGTCGTCGATTTGACCTTCCATCGTTTGCTCCGAACCCTGCTGTTCAACCAACGTGATGTGCATGGTCAGGTTGTAGGCTAGTACAAGTTTCAGAGCTTTACGGAGAACCGGCAGCTTCTCCTTGGTGTAGAAGCGGTAAGCAGTCTTGAGAATTTCCGTGATGAAAGGTGTTCCCTCGAAATGGTCGTCAATGAAATTCTCGAAACCATTCTCGATATGCTTATCTAGGTACTCAGCAAGAGCCTCTGGGTTGATACCGCCTTCGCCAACGTCAAGTTTCTCGGTCTTGAGTTCAAATTCAATTGGTTCCTGGTCAATTTGGTACGACTCAACCCAGTCAACCTGGAAACAGCTCTCATCGGCAACGTAAACTTCGCGAACTGGAACAGGCAGACAGAAGCCATAACCGTGGGTGATCCACATGAGGCTTTCCTTCGGGGCAAAGCCTTTCACATTGTACACGGAAACGCCGCGGCTAAGATGTCGTTCATAATCCGCTTTCCAGTCCTTCATGAAGTAACCGATATCCTTGATGTCAATGCGAGTGCAAGGAACTTGCCATAATCGAGCATGCGACGGCTGGCAGCCACCGCAAGGTTCGCCCTTGTCACAGGTCTTCTTGAGGAACTTGCATCGAAGACAAGCTCGAAGCTTGCGGATCTCGCTAGCCTGCTTCCGCTGTTCGGGAAGAAGAGGGCCCTTCCTCCGACCCACCTTCTTCTCGACAGTACCGTCTTTCTTTCCGTTGGATGTTCTCCTAATGACTGACTTGGTAGACTTCTGGACAGCATTAGGGTTCTTCTTCGGACCCGAGTTTCGACGAGCAGAGTTATTGTGGGGCGGCGATGCCACACCGGAGCCACTGGCAGGGCTGGGGCGGTTCGACGTCGAAGATTTGATTGGGACCGGCTCGACCGCGGCAGCGGGGCTGATGATCTCGTGAGTGTGGTGGCTCTCTCCGTGGAAACAATTCCGGTGATTTGCGGGGTCCGAATAAGTATCGGACTCCGGGGAAAATGGAGAGTAGTTGAAGGAGATATCCTCGAAGCTACTGCTACTAAAGTCAGTGCGCTGACCGCTTCCGTCCGAGTGAGAGGCATCCGAATTCGTCCTCAGATGTAAAGTCTGGCCGGGATTGAAAATGGCCGTGTTTTGAGCCTGCGCTTGGGCCTGAGCCTGCTGGTACGAATCGTAATTTTGGTACATATCGACTTGAGTCCACCCGTTATCACTGGATCCCGGCAGCGACAATACTTCCAAATAAGTCCCTGTCGGAGACTGGCTTCCCAAGCTCCCAAATCGCGGAAGCCCGTCTGAAGGAAATTGCAAAGAGGCGCCAAAATCTTGCCAGTTTCCCATTCCCATGCCATCCCACTGTTGTTGCATAGTACGAGTATCCTCAATGGGCGAAACGTTGCTAAAACCCTGCTGATCCATCGGAATTGCGGACTCGAGCGCTGCCTGCGTAGTCGAAGGCAGATAGCCAATGGCATTCGATTGATAATTCACAAATGAGTTAAATGGTATCAATGCTTGGTTTTCTTGCATAAAATGGCTAATGTCCTGAACGGGCGGATGTTGCTGCTGGTGCTGAAGTAGCGTCCAGTCCGTCAAAAGCTGTGGAGAATGGGTCTGCGGAGGGGCTCCTTGGTATGGCGAGTGTTGTAAGGGACTCGCGCTCTGCTGCGAAGGCGATTGCGAATGTGCCTGAGACTCTACAGGAGACGGTACATTGCTCGAGTTCGGGTTTTGGGGAGCTGCCATATCAAGAGGCACCGACCAGGCAGCCGAGGGACGAGTAGGAGTCATCGTTGGAGCTGATATGGCGGGATTGGAGCTGGGTGCTGTAGTGGTGTACGGATAACGCTCCCGCTGGTCGAATGTGGTCAAGTCCAACAAGGCATCCCCCCCGGCGGCATTGAAATCGAGGGTCATTGTCGTCAGAAGTCAGTAAAAGGGAGGAAATTCAACTGGGGGATTTTGGACGGGTTCCGCTAGTATTATTGACGAGCAGAATCGACACCGCTCTTTCGTATAATTCCCTCGCGGCGCTGATGGGTAGCTTCTGGGGATGGTAAGGGGGGTGGACGGGAAGCCTGGATGTGGAGGAAGTAAGATTTTGCGGTGGATGGTCGAGTGAGATCGAGGATGTCGACGGGGAGAGGCCCTTGAAGGCTAAGGAGAGGAGGCATGAGATTGTGCGAGGACAGACGGGAAACTGGCGGTGAGAAGAATAACGCTGGCGTCCCAGCTCCACCTGCAACATGCAGCTGTGCGGCCAATCATGAGTTGGCAGTTCTGCAAGAATCATGGGACGGCGATACAAGATAGGACATGGGTGAGAAGCACGAGGCCAATGACCAGCCGCCTATTAAGGGCCTTAAGGACACCAAGTTGTCTTGGGAAAGATTCGCACTGTAGTGGGTACTTACATGAAGAATTGAATAAGATGGCGGGGCAAGTTGGACATGGAAGGGGGGAGAGGGGGGCGAAGTTTCGACGGATTGGATGGATTGGATTGGATTGGACTTTCCCATATAGGACGTCGACTTCCAGAAACTGCAAACCACCCATGTAGTCACTACTTAGCTGTAGGTACAGTCATCGTACCCGAGCTCGTACTCTTCAGCGGTTACTCCAGCGGCTATGTACCACATCCCATCCAAACCCTACAGGTCACTATTACAAGTAGCACCTGCTCTAAAAGACCACATCTGAGATGGATGATAGGTAGGTTTCAACATTGGGGTCTTAGTTCGTTTAAACTTCTAGCAAACAATCTCAAATCGTCTAATCATTGGCTCATAATCTCTCCAACGCTCTACAAACTTCACCTTGCAACTGTCTAGGTAGTCTAGCTGGTTGACCCTCTAGCTACCCGGGTTTAGCGCACAGGTAGCGAGCGCTAGTAGCGTACCTACCGTACCCACCGACGTACAACGTGTACTGTACCATCCGCGCATCAATGGCGGGGTATCGCCCTTATCAGTCTTAGTCTTTCAAGGTTCCTAAGTCCCCTAATGTCTGAACCAGTTGATCCAACTGCAACTCCACATGGATTCATCAATCTCATGTTGAGAGTTGAGGCAGTGAATGATGGCATGGCGACGACCATTCACGGCTCGCTGCAGATGGTTGTAGGAGCTAAGTCAATTTCTGTTTCAATGCCTACCAGCTTCTATGTGACCTCTGGTGCAACACCGTATGTCGCAAACATACATAGGTATTTACAAGCCTAGGTACATATGTAGGCATATGTATGAATGTGCATTTCGGGCATTGAGGCTGGAACCTCGGAAGACCGAGAAAGAAAGAAAAAAGGGCATAGATACGAAGCAGATGCGCTGGGTATAACGTGTTGAGCAGCCAAGGACAAGGTCAAGGTGGACTAAGGTGGACTAAGGTGGACTGAGGTGGAAAGCCGGCCACTTCAATAGTGCCTGTCATGGACCTATCATGGACCTATCGCGGTATTGCCAGCTTCTGCCCTAAAATGACCAGCGAAGACCAAGAGAAACAGACACGATCTCGGATCTGGAACAAGTTATACGCACAGAGCAGGTATACTCCACAATCCGAGAGCGCGCGAGAGGCGAACATCACCCCGTCACCGGCAGATTTGCAGCAGAATTACCAGACTTACGCCAAGTTCCTCAAAGTTCCTCGCCAGTGCCCACCCCGGCTCCTTTACTGTGCATATCACCCTGCCGTCAGCTGCACCGGAATATACGATATGGTGATACCCTTCGCACATGAGCCACTCGAATATGCTGGATCTTCGCACACCACATTTCCAGCTTGTCCAATCCGACCCTCGTCCAACCAACCTACTACCCAAATAAAAATCGCCTCTGGTCCCGTCCCTACTCGATTGATCATGATAGATGGTGTCATGTTCTCCTCAAAAGACCCCGACCCTCGATCGATGCTTGAAAGTTGAAACAGAAGAGCCTCAATGCCTTCCATGGTCCACGAGGCTACGCTACGGTTGAGGCTAACCAGACCCGTCAAGCACCCGGCCGCACGGACACGGTGCGCACGTCGATTCTTGAGGTCGCGATGTTGTGAGGCTATTTCATCCGGCGATTCCAACTATCATGTTCGGCACCGGTTAGGGAGGTAGGTTCTTACTACTATTGTATGCGCGCGAGCGGCGAAGGATCCCCTCACGTCCGCAATACTACGGCCCCGATAGGCTGCGCTATTTACGACCTTGCAAAACCTACCATTACGCTTCCTGGTTACATTCGGTAAAATCGTGGCTGATTTATTCTGGTTACGTTTGCTACCCACTATCTACCGTACGTACAAGGGCATAACGGGGCATAACGCCTACTCCTGACGAGACATCATCAAACCTGACCTCCTTTTGACTGCATATACTTGAGTTTGATTCTCATCAAGCTTATTTCCATCTGCATGCGAATTCCGGACGATTGCATCTTATAGTACGCCCTACCAATCGCGGCTTTGACGACCAGATGATCTAGGCTTTGTATGTAATCACCCATCTGTAGGTACGGATTCGTACCATCAATCGCCTCGTCATCTCACCTTCGAGGCACGGGATGTAAATAGTGCCAACCTAGCTACCCAGATAATTTCACATAACAAGCATCTTTTGAATGAAGGAATGCCCAAGTTGTTGTCGGACCCGTCCTACACGAGGTAAAACATGGAGTTGGAGGTTAGTGGACACATGTGGACATAGGACCACAAGAGGCTGGGGAAGGGGAAGTATTCTAGGGCTGACCATCCGATTGGAAACAGATCACCGTAAATGACCAACACTCACCGAAGCTAAGCCTACATACAAGGACGCAACTTTTTTATATTTTTTTTCCTAACTTGAGATGGCTTCAGAATTGCTGATTCTTGTCTCAAATATCACTGCGTAGTGTACAAAGATCATAGGCTTACGCAAACAAGTGAGATAATATCCCGGTTCCGGGGACGGCAGCTCCCATTGCCGTTTGTATGACAATTAATACTTAACCCAACACCAGGGTTGAACGTCAACCTGAATGCTGTGACACCAGCGATCGAATGTTCTGTAGATACAGATACACGCATAGATACCCGAGGAGGTACCTAATTATACTCTTTAAATTTCGTACGCTTCTTGAGTGCCATATACAGAACTTCACTAGCGATCGTGTTCGGGGTAACGCTCATTTCGTGAAATGGTAATGCCCCTTAAGGAACATTTATCTTGAGATGATTATGGATTTGCTATTGTCAGCCAGCATTATGTCTTCGCCAATGAGGGCCGTAATCTATTGAAACTAGCACTTCAATGCCAACAAGTTGTCTGTAATCCAAAACAAAATACTTAGGCTTATCCCATCTCATGTCAGCTTCATTGTGTCTGACCATCACGTTTGTCACATATATCGTTAATTGAGTTAACATATTAGATATGATTCTTCATAAATATTATGCGGTTGACATGATTCATATTTTATTATTTAGCGATCAACACCGAGTTGGAAATGCCAGGCCTTTCACGGGCTCGCCGCGGGTCCAAGCGCTCCTTGAACCAACCGCGGAAATTCAATGAGTATGTCTAAGCAAAGTTTCTGTTCAGCTTCAATGAGATATCCAGTTGCTTGTGCTCAGCACAAAGCCTTTCGGAAGACGACATGTTTGAAGTGGGCATGTAAGGTACCACGTATGTGGACGATGCGCGACAGCCGACTCGCTCGAATATCCATCTATTCATACATCTGATAGATAACTTGGAGGTGAGGACCACTAGGTGTTACTTAAAGCCAACAACGCCTTCAAGGTTTTCTAAAGATAAATATTAACGTTATCAAAGAGGTAGTTGTATTAAAGTTGAAGCAATTGCGAGTTGATACCCTGTGACGTAGCTGAATGCCTAGCTATGTAGGTACTAGGTAGCTTACCTGGCATATGAGCAAGTGATGGAAGGTGGGATTGGTTCTCAGCGTTGCCGAAATTTTCCCGATTCTACTAGCTTTGGAAAGCTGGCCAATAGCGGGACGTCTTTGCCTTAGTATGAGTGAGTGACTAGAGGGCCTTAAAAGCTTAAAAGAGTTTCGACAGTTGTGACACGACGGATGCCCAAATCTTTTAAGACATTACAAAGCCCATACTTCAGTTATTGTTCATGTGTTATTGGAAATCGGTTAAGTCACGTTTTATGCCATCCTCCATTCTCCATTACGAAAGCGACATACCGATATACATGCTGATATATAGGTACATAAAAGTAGGTAGGGCAGCTGAGTAGTTTGAAAAAAAAACATCCGAGCTTCTCTACATTCCAATCCGTTCTCTCATTCGGCATCATCCGAAAACATACGCCATATGCCATACGCCATACATCAATATCTACCACGTTAGGTACTTGAAAGGGCAACAGGCTATAGGCAACTTTAAAGCACATTTGCCTCCTATGCCAATAAAGACAAACCTTGCTCGAGCGCGCCGCCGGAATACTCACAAAGGGAAAACAATGGCGTCCTTGAGCTTCCGTCTTAACCCTACTTATCCAAATCAAAATAATCAGGATGAGACGTTGAATCAAAATGACAACGTTACTTCAACCATGGCCAGTTCAGCGGCTTACAGAGATCAGAAGCCTGAGATTCCTGACCTGTTTACAAGTCCGCCCCCAATTCAAGACACGCTCTCAACCAAGACTTCTACTTTACAAAATGAGACCGTGGATGATTGCTTACCATTCTTAACTGCCGAGGTTGAACACTTGCATTATAACCAGTATGGTATACCACACCTCGCTCGAGAACGACATATCAAGTTTCTTCGGAAGCATCTAGAGAGACTTCCGGGTCGTTATGTAGCGTTAGATGCAAGCAGGCCCTGGATGCTTTACTGGTCCCTCAACGGCCTAGCTATCTTAGGCGAGGACGTTTCTTGCTACCGTGATGCCCTTGTCGAGACGGCACGTTCCATGCAAAACACCAACGGAGGCTTCGGGGGAGGTATCGGTCACGAATCCCATCTAGCTTGTACCTATAGCATGGTATTGGCCTTGTCCGTGGTTGGAGGAGAATCTGCGTATGAAGTTATTGACCGGAGAGCTCTTTGGAAATGGCTTTGTGCCTTGAAGCGGCCGGATGGGGGCTTCCAGATGGCTGTCGGCGGTGAAGTCGACATAAGGTAGATTAACCCTAGTCAAGTCGAGGTCCGAGCCATGCATCATGTTACTAATGATGTCGCTAGGGGAGCTTATTGTGCAGCCGTATTAGTTACTCTACTTAACCTTCCTCTCGACTTGTCGTCCGACTCTCCGGCCTGGACGACCGACCAACCAAACTTATTCTCTGGTTTAGGGGACTATGTACGCCAATGTAAGGGACCCCAGCAACGAAGTTATTCACTCAAACCACTGACCGTGGCCATGCAGGCCAAAGCTTCGAAGGCGGAATTTCGGCGCAACCAGATGGTGAAGCGCATGGAGCTTATGCTTTCTGTGCTTTAGGTTGTCTAGCAATCCTCGGTGCTCCTCATCGTACCTTTGCCAGGTTCGTATCGCCCTAGCCATACTCTATGGAGTTTGGTGAACCGGGCAATGATTTTACTCACACTAATACTCTGAATGCAGATACCTTGACGTCCCACGGCTAATCTCTTGGCTCTCATCACGACAATATGCCCCAGAAGGCGGGCTCGGTGGTCGCACGAACAAGCTCGTCGATGGCTGCTATAGCCATTGGGTCGGTTGTTGTTGGCCGTTAATTGAAGCCAGCCTTGCTGGGCCGTCTAGTCTTATGTTCGACGTAAACAAAACTAAAAATTCTGACATTGATATTCACAATCTTTACAGTCGCGAAGGACTCGTCCGTTATATACTTTGCTGTGCGCAAGAGACCTCCAAAAGGGGTGGTATGAGAGATAAGCCAGGCAAGTAAGTACATAAGTTTCAGCCATAAAATTTAAGCATAGGCTAAAAAAACTACCGACAGGTCTCCTGATGCGTACCATACTTGCTACGTACTCAGTGGGCTTTCCTCAGCTCAACACGTTACGCGTTTGCTTTCCTCGGATGGTCAAGGGATGATGACGCATTCGGAATATGACGTCTCGCCGCACCACGGAAACCCCCAGATTTATGATGAGGAAGACCGAGTGAGCCCAACCGATCCTGTATATTTTATACCTGAGGGGAAACGGAAAGAGATCATGTCATATTTCCTATCGAAGCCGGGGTTTTGACCCGCTTGTGGCCGCATATCAAGAGGCCTATCCGACGCTACGCCGGGCCAATACGAGGAAGGCTGAAAAATTTCCCTCGAAATCCTACGATGCTTCGATCTTTCCTTCGCCCATGAACCGTGAGTGTCAGCATTACGGCTTCTCACGTGTCGTATTATATAGCATAGCTTCACTAATATGCTTTGTATGAGTCTGACAAATTACCCCCTTGGTCGAGACGGTTTAACCTGCGAAGTTGCCTACCTATATGGGCATGCCGAGCACGATAGGACTCGAATAATGGCTAATGGCTAATCGCTGCGCCTCTATCCTTACTGGACGGCATGCCTCCGCAGTTACACATCAAGAAAGTGCGTCAAGAAGCTCGGCAACGAAGATTGGCTCGCTCATTGTACAAGAAGGGTCCCGTAGACCTTGACTATACCCTTTTCACACTTTTCTACAGGATGTATCATGCACTTTGCAGCATTTTGCAATCAACAGTTAGACCCTTAGCGGTAATACAAGAAGGTTCATCAAGCAAGTTCGCCCGATTTATGTGAGACAGAACCAGCTAGAGGGATTCTAATGCATTCGTCAATCTGCCTTCTCCACCGCATGCGGTCATGCTGTCCAACACGCCAAACGGTACCCTTATTCAGCAGGTTTGAACGCAGCATGAGCCAACGCTGGCCGGAAGAGTGGCAAACCGCTCGCAGGAGCTGGATTCGACCCGACTTGCCAGGCCTCGGGGAGGACGCCACTGGTATGTATCTGAAGTAGTCCAAATCGGAACGTTGACGGCAGACGGCAGGTCTAGTCAAGGCTAAGGAGACTAATGAATCGTACGACGGAGGCCATTATCCCCAACCCTATGGCAACCGCGCCGTGGTAGTTGAGAGGCGCTCTGCAGAGTTGCATGGGTTTTGTACGTGCTGATCGACTCAACAGAATCGATGGGTTGGCCACATGGTGTGGTCGTCTCGCGTCCCGTCCCTACACGTACACCCCCATAACGCTTTGTACTCTTACGGCCACATTAAGTCTTTGACGTGTCAGTCTCCATTATGGCCTCCCCGGGTGGCCATGACTTCAAGATGGTAGAACGATCTCCGAGCTAAAGCAAGGAGAGGTAGCATTTGGCACCATCTCCACTGATCGCATGTGCTTAGCACGGCGTAGCGAGGTGCCGTGCTACCTAAAAGACCGCAGGCACATGGTAAAAGGCTAACGGAATCGTGGATCGAGGGTCGCCGAACTTATCTGTCCGACGACTCTAATATGCGCTCCGATATGAGGGCTACGACTTAGCAGTGTATCTTAATGCTCTAGTACGCGAATTATATCTTGTCTCTTGGCCATGCCCATTGTCAATATTACTTACTATTACCCCTGATAAGATTCTCGGAAGGACATGATAAAATGGACCTAGTAAAAGGTTGTTGCGATGTGAGGTAGAATAGTAATGTACCCCCTAACAACCAACAGGCCTGTTCGGGCGACCCCCTAAGCTCCAGGCTGCGCCTCCCGCGTACTATTGTAAACAAAACCTGCTGCACGACATGGCCTCTGCCTGTGGGCCCCTTTTCCGGATGAACGAATGGTCTCGCGCGTAAGATCAGCGCCGATTGAAGCCGTAAGATGCTGGGTACTTGCTAATAAATAAGCCTCTCGAAGAGGATGGCTTCCGAGGGCTTGAAAGAAGGCTGCGATGACCTCACGGTTGATATATTCCCGGCGCCTCTTTTTCCTAATAGCTCGGACGTCGTGTCCAGGCCGGATGGGCTGGGGCCCCGAAGTCTCGGATCTCGCAAACACGTTGCATTTCTGACAGAGATTGACCTTTAATCTACGCATGTATGTCTCTGGCAGTGACTCAGGTCTCACAGATTAGGTAGGATCGTGAGAAAAGCTCTCGACCGCGTACATGGAACCGAGTGATGGACTCCCTCGGCAACATCCCTCAACGGCGTTAGTACTCTTGTCCAAAACCAGTATGGCGTTATGTATATAATAATTCGCGAGGATTTTGCCTCTCTAAGGTAGGTAGTATGCGCGTAACCGTCGACTAGACCATCTCCAGACGTTATCTTCCCTAGCGGTTCGGTTTCTAGAAGTCGTCGACGATCTCAACCGCCGCGACGTTTCGGTCGAGTAGATCACGTTGCGTGCGTATAGGCGGTCATGCTATGTTATGTTATGTATGTATGTATGTTGATAAGTACGGAATGAGATGTATCGCGTTGAAGTACATAAACATGCCTCCTATATGTATACAGGTATATAGTAGTACTCGGCACGACCGTCTACGGCCGTCTTACACGAAATCCACGAAATCCACGTTCGACATATACTTAAATACATGCTTACATGCTGCTTGGATATCTCATTTTCCTATTTTTCCATTTTTCCCTCCCTTTCTTCCAATGCCTCATGTTTTCTACCAATTTTTGCTGATATAGTCTTACTTCCGATGCTTCCCTCACGTCGCTTACATGGCTGCTCCCAAGCCTACATCCATGGACCATACACAAGACAAAGCCATACATACCATACCCCCTAAGCATGTACTTCTGACACATTCATAGCATTAGAGCACCTAATATTATTATGATCGTTATGTATTATACAAAGTAGGTAGGTAGTTTGTAAATATTGCAGTTTGTATTGTGGCTAGCGCATTCTCCGTATTTCCACAGCCATGTGGGCTCGTTTGTTGGTCTGGGCGTCGTCTCCAACGTTGCTAAATGTCGAAAAAAAAAGTCCTACCGGCCGCTACATTAAAGTCCGAGAAGAGCAAGTTACATCCCCATTATCATCTCTTCATCAAAACAACAAAACAACCTCGGTTTCGCGTGTGCCTGTTGCTAGTTGCTAGTCGCTTGCTGTGGTGGTCGTGTTTGGACGTATGTATTGTAGCAATCACGACGGTTCCTTCGTCGGTACAGCTACGAAAATCGTCATCATGAGCGGCATTCCATTTCCTCATATGCAACAGGTGGTCAGGCCAGTTCGGACCAGGTCGTGAATCGGTACCGCTACCTCAGCGGCAGGCCTGGCGGCGTTGGATCGACTAGTACCCGTACCCAATCTAACATGCACAAAATAACGTCTATCTTGATTTAATATCAAGCGGCAATGCCAACTCATCAGTGCATGAGGTGTTAAACGTCTGTTCTTCGCCTAGTCGCCTCGCTGCTCCCGAGAACGGGCGATTTTGATTGGCCCGACACCCCATAGAGCTCTTAGTGGCTCCTGTCGGTCTTCGCAGGGTCTTCAATGGCTCTCCAATGGCTTCTTAGGGCAGAGACCAGGTTCACAGAGAGACCGGGGTTGCCCAGGCAGGCTAGCCAGTGTTCATGCATCTCATTCTTCCTCACCGACTTCGTGGTTCCGGCTCCAGCCAGTAACTTGTCGATATTTTTCTGACTTTAATGTTTTAGCTCCAGAGGGGAGAAAAAAAGGGGGTAAAAAAAGAAAGGAAAAAGAAAAAATACATAACAAAGAGAAGGAAAAAAAGGGTCAAAACCAAACTACTACCATTTCCCTCTACGTACATGGCGTCGTCGGCACTATGTCAACAAGCAAGCGCCGCCGCTCGACGGGATAGCGGGATTGCTCGCTTCCATTGGGACATACGGGATATACCTGGACATATCTAGGGTTTCGGTTTTAATGAACCATCGTCGAATAATAAGCCCCAGCGATATTTTACCTTTATTTTAGTTGTTTTTCTTTGAACTTGTCATCGTCAACCGCTCTGATTTGCTGATCTGCCCAACGGCACTCCCCTGCTTACGTTGTCCCATTATGGGCACCGTCGCGAATCGCTCACCCACCCCTTCGGTCCAGTATTATGTTGTTGTAACTTTGTTCTGATCCAGTGGGTTGGCCTGCTGTTACGTTCTTTCTCAGATCCGGGACTCCATCCTCACCGTCAGGAACCCCCCCCTCTCTTCTCCTCATCTCTCAGTTCGATCTCCGAGTCCTTGTCATGTACATGGATCCATGGATCTATACGTACATGATACAGGTGCGCGTACATATCAAAACAGACAGGCATCGTCGTTGTTTATGTAGTAGCAGTAGCAAAGAGACTAGGTAGGCATGCACGTACGTGGGGAGGTATCATTATTGACACTTTTTTGGTCGTCTAAAAACGCCGTTTTCCAAACCGTACCAGCCTTTTCGTTGTTTTGATTGAGTGCTATTGCATTAGTGGCCGCGAGAGGGATCTTGGATTTGGCAGTTTGTTACTCTCACGCTCTCTCTCTCGCTTTCCTTTTCGACCTTCCCCTCCAGAACAACGAACCAGGCACATCCCTTCTTTTGCGGTTCTCCGGGTGACCCTGGAAGGAAAAGAAGGAGGAGGCGACGTGACTGGTGGCCGGCGCCTTAGTGGGCACAATATTACATTTTTTCTTTCTCTCTCTGCTAGCTAAGCTAGCTTCTCGACCTCTCTCTTTCGTTCCTTCTATGCTCCTCGTGTACTTTCCCCCTTCAAGGTGGTTTTTTTTTTTTTTTTTTTTTTTCTTCTGCCAGTTCCGCCGAGGGTCGTGGATTGGCCGCAGACGACTGGTTCCAGTTTCATTTCGCCACTCCAAATATGCCTACCTCTGCATATACATCATTCTCTTTTACCCAGCTGGGTCCCATTGTCGGACAGGGTTATGGAGAAAAATACTCACGGAGACGGCGGTACCACATTCTGCCAAAAGGAGTACGGCCAGACTTATCAGAGATGATCGTCTAAGGGAATGCATACCCCATGTGTTGCGGTGGAGTTGCCTAGTCTCTCGAAGGTTTATCAACTGGCAACGACATGCGCCAGCACAGCAAGATGGGGTCACACTCTTCAAGAGCCGCATCTTCACCTGCGTCTATCGACCTGGTTCCCTTCCGTCCCATTGCCCCTTCGGCCTTGTCTGTTTAATTGCGTCTTTACAGATCCCTGCCCCGCACTAACAAGTCCAATTCTGCAATAAAGCACACATGTCTCGCCGTCGATGGCTCGTCTCTCTGCACCGCAGCCCCGAAATACGTAGCCTAACCTCCCCCTTCTCAAAACACCACCACAACCACACCTCGGTCTTGTAGTACAGAAAACTCATCAACGAACCGAACCTTTCTCAGTGCTGCCCTACCGTCTTGACCATCTAATAATTCCCTCGTACAGTTGGGCTTGACTGCATATACTCGCAAACGGCCTTTCTCCTCCCCTCCCCGGAATCTCGTCCCGTGTTCTGCTGCTGTTACTGCTGCCGCTGCCGCTGCCGCTGCCGCCTTGCTTACGCTCCTTCTATCTCTCAATCTCCGGGGATTTCGTACATACCACCCGACCGATTCTTCCCTTGTGTTGGTGGGGGTGTTTCTATGTTTTGAGAGAAAAATACCACCCTGCTTGGAATTTTTCTTTGCGAGTTTCCGGGGCCACTGAGTTGCCACTGAAGTTGCGCTGCGTGCTTTCGCTTTGCTTGCCCGTCAGCAATATGGGAGGATTCTACATGCAGTATCTCGAGAGTAAGTTTTTTCCTGCTCGCTTACCTTTTTATTTTATTTTATTTTTTATTTTATTTTAGTTCAGAGTACCATTGCCGTTTATTATATTCTTGTTGTCCTGTTTTTTCAACATACGCCCAAGGCGAATTGTCGTCTCCAATAACCCCACGATGACGCGCGCGCCGTTGTGGGGCCTGGACAGCGAAGAGTTCGTCTCACACGTGGACAACCCCCTGCGTCGAAATCTTCGATGCCGCAGGAACACCTTCGAACTACCTTGCTAGCTAGTACCCCCTTCTTCTTTTTGCTTTGCTGTTCTAAACGCCACGTTCCTGGCACGTACGGACGGGATGTATGATATAGGATGGGTTGTATGTGAGTGCGGTGGTGCAGTGGTGCGGGTGTGTGCGGGTGTGCCTGACACGTTCGATCTTGGGGGGTAGTGCTTTGCTTCGCGATCGTCCGGGGCCGTCATGCATGCGCATTTTTCGGGCTCGATCTCTATCGCGTCATTAGGGCTGCATATACACACGCGGGCGGGCTTCGTTGGCATCGAATAAGGGGGTTTCGGGGGTTCCAGGATCAGCAAGCTAACATAGCATCCGATAGGCCTGTGCCGGCGTCGTGGGTGGCGAGACCCTTCGTACGAGTGTTACAGAGATCCCAGTGGCTACACGTGCCTTGTCCTGGTAAACGGGCGCGAGTACCAGACGGACCTGGCGTACGAATCGGATCACCTCGCCCAGGAGAACGCAGCCATGAGGGCGTTCATGGTGTGCCGGAATTTTTCTGTCAACGGAGGCATGCTCGCGCGCAACGGGATTGTCCAGGGTCTCCCAGCCAATGAGTCCACCAGGCGCAAGAAATCCCGCCATGCCTCGTCCGGCCACGGCCACGGCCAGAAGGAGAGCCGCCACAGGTCTGGGCACCACTCGAGCAGCAGCTCGACCGCATCCTTCGAGTGAGGGACCAACGAAAGGAAAAAAAACGAAACAAAAAAATCCAAAAATTTTTGATTGCCGCTTTCCGATGGAACTGCGGCCCAGATACGAGACCCCATCGGCTAATTTTCAACCAATGGATTACAAAGCGAAGAGACAGAGAGGCGTCTAAGATTGATATATATACACGTGGTGAAGCTTCACAGCTTATCCTCAGGCATATTCCGCGGAATACCCCCATTCACACAGCATTGAAAATCCCCCTTGACGAGAAAGGAGGAAGAGACAAAAGTTTGCATACATCTACGATTTTTACGACCTGACGAATGAAACTGAAACGACCGTTATGAAAACCCACGCCGAACAAAACCTAATACTGACGATTTTATTTCCCGCCATGAGATATTCCTGGGAGAGGCTTTAGTCCGTTTTTTTGATACGTTTTTATTTCTCCTTTTTATTTTTTTCTGATTCACCTAAAAAAGACTTGACGGAACCCCTTTTTTTCCCTCGGCCCATGGGGAGATTTACAGAACCAGGCCGGTTCGGAGGGAAAACGGATTCTATTGGAGGCAACTCTGCTGTTTAGCGAAAACCCGCCTTTTAGGGGGGTTATACCATTTTCCCAACCCTTGTGATAATCACGGCTTTCAGAGCCTTCCCCGACTTGACTGGATGGCCTGGCTCCGATGGACAATTTGGTTATCTCGAGATAGACTTCTTCTGAATGCCCTAGGACTACGCGCGGGCGGCCAAAATTAGAGAGCAATATGGCGGTTCCCACCTTCTCCCCCTTTTTTGGCCATTTTTGCAACTTTCTTTGGAGATATTTTGGGCGAGTCCTGCTTGGCATTTTATCTGTTTCCTCTATCTATCGGACGACGAGGGGAAAAAACGAATCGACCGAATCTAGAGTTGGGATGGAAAAAGGGGTTGGAAAACGAGTAGAGAAGGGAAGAAACACGGGAGGAAAATTTTTCAGCGCGAAGGAAACAAAAACTTTAAGGGAGAAAAGATGGCATTTTGCTTTGGGCGAGACTGCTTTGGTTTTACGACCAGCGCTCGAGGATTGGGAGGCTTTTTTCCTGATTTCTCTTTCTCTTTTTCCTGATTTCTTCATCTCTTTTTTTTGGAGATTCATAAAATTTTCTCACGATCTTACGGCTTTGCTTAGATAGATGATGACCACGCTCACGATTATGATGATATTCACGAAGAATCGAACCTACGACGTTCACGACATGACGATTAATTCCTCATGGTCGCACGAATTTTTCCCGTTTCATAGCTAACCGCTGGTCTTTTCCGATGCATCTGCCCGTGATGTGTGCTTGATGTGCGTCCGATGTGTGAAACCCAAGAGATTGGTATTGTTACTTGGCTTATGAGATGTGTTTTACTGTGATATGTGTGGTATAAGAAACGTACTCGAATGATGCTCGAACCACGATGAAACACAGAATCGTCATGTAGTATACGTCAACTTTGACTCGAACGCGAAGCTCTACCATCTTAGAGTGAGGTTCTTACGGAGTTTTATCTAAAAAAAGAATGCCACTACTCGACCACCCCACGGATCATCGTCCCCAACTTTTTATTTCCCCGAGTGCTGTCCCAGATCACGGTGTGCTTGCTGGGTGCCTCGGCGGGAGGGCGGGTGGACGTGCGTTTCCTTGTTCCTGTGACAGGTACAGCGAACCTGCAGGTCGTAACACAACATCTGCTAACATGGGACGGTGACGGCGCTGCATATCAGTTGGTTAGTTAGTTGTGTGTAGGTAACCATCCTAACCATCCTAACCATCCTCAATTAACCCCTCGCTATCAACAGCCTACTTGCTTATATATAGGCAATTGTAGGCAATTGGAATCCACCGTGGATCTGTTGAATGTGGCACATAATCCCTCCGGTGATCCTGTACCAAGTCGGAAGCTGGATCCTTTCGTCTTATCACGTACATAGTGAGAAGAGGTAAAAAGAGACCAACGACCCGAGGTTCGCGAGTAATTGCGTGCATCGACCTCCGCGAATAATCGGAATCGGAATCTTGGAATTCTAGATGGTGGTTCAATCTAAGTTGGACGTCATGTCATTCTTAAAGAGTATTGATATTGACAGAGGCGATGTTTAAACTCGTATTTATTATAATGTCGCATAAGGCAATGCCACCGGTTTCCCACTTAATCCGGTCATTAACATTTCAATACGAGAATAACTTATGTAAGTGGGTGATGTAAGTGGGCGGATGGCGAACGGTGAACGGTGAACGGCTAAGGATTTAAGTTAGGTTTGCGGTGCGATACTAAACTTACCTACCTAGTATGCTTTGACACATCGAAAGGAAGTTGGAAGGCACTCGCCTATTCCTACCTGTGTAACGTCTGAATATATTGAGGTATATATTAAGCCATAGGTAGCAATAGCAATATGAATAAGATTAGTCGACGACGCATAATAAAACTCAGTTCAATCAATTTTATTGTTTCGTACCGCGTGGGGTGAGAAGGAGCGTGATTGGTTATGATTGGTTTCTGTAATAGGATATTGTGTAGCGCAACTGCCACACTGTTGTGGCTGAAAGTGGCATTGTGGCCCGTGCATCATTGCCTGAGCTGGAAATCAGGTGGTAAACTTACCTCAATAAGGTCAGGGATCCCAGAAGGGCTGCAGAAGGGGGGTTACGCTAATTTCAAGCATTTACTGGCGAGACAGCCTAACTAGTGCTAACTGCTAAAAATAATAAGAATAAGGGGGCATTCGTAAACCCAACAGTCTTCAATCTTTTATTCCTTGAACTTTCGCGACATCGTCAAAGAAAAGCTTAGGTGTCCTCTCAAAGACGCCCGTTCTAGCATCAGTTGATCTCTTTCCATTTTGAGATTTAACTAACTTCCAGTCACTCAGTCATTCTTGTGCATCCAGATCACATTGACCATATTGACTTTTGTTCAACTTGGCAAACATCAAGCTGAGCTAATCATCTGCATCTTGCATCTGCGTCTGCTACACTGCCACCACACCGACTCTCGTCCCTCCATACGAATTTCCCTCTCGTAGTCGGACCATCGTCGTTCGTTTCTTTGACTACAACGACACTCTATAGAAGCGCAATTTGCACATTCACCTTCGCTTCGCGACAATTACTATACAACACCCTTTTCTAATCACTCATCGTCAATATGAAGGGTATGGTCTATCTAGGAAACCCCTCTATTACATGGATAGGATGTGATTGGCTGACTTTCTTTTCTTTCTACAGCCATAATTCTCGTCGGCGGCTTTGGCACGCGTTTGCGGCCTCTGGTACGTGCTCCAACTTGTTGTTATAGTGTAGAATGTCTTAGACTTGAATTCGGAGGCTGATTGCTATTTTCTAGACCTTGACTATGCCTAAGCCTTTGGTCGAGTTCGCGAACAAGCCTATGATTCTCCACCAGATCGAGGCTCTGGCTGCTGTCGGTGTTACTGACGTGGTCCTTGCTGTCAACTACCGCCCGGAGATCATGGAGAGAGTGTTGAAAGAGGTGCGTAGCCGAAACAAACCAAAACCTGCAACCATCCCGTTTCTCCTCCGCTAACGATATTTCGCCCGTACAGCATGAAGCTTCTCTTGGTGTTAAGATTCATTTCTCTCTAGAGAATGAACCTCTTGGCACAGCTGGCCCTCTCAAGCTGGCAGAAGAGATCCTCGCTAAGGACGACTCGCCTTTCTTCGTTCTAAACTCCGATGTCACCTGCGAATTCCCTTTCCAGCAACTTGCTGATTTCCACAAGGCCCACGGCGAGGAGGGTACGATTGTTGTTACCAAGGTGGAAGAACCCTCCAAATATGGTGTCATTGTACACAAGCCAAACCACCCCTCACGAATTGACCGATTCGTGGAGAAGCCTGTTGAATTCGTTGGCAACCGTATTAATGCCGGTCTCTACATGCTGAATGTCTCGGTGCTCCAGCGCATTGAGAAGAACCGACCTACGTCTATCGAGCAGGAAACTTTCCCAGCAATCGTTCGCGATGGTCAACTGCACTCTTTCGACCTGGAGGGTTTCTGGATGGATGTCGGTCAACCCAAGGACTTCTTGACTGGTACCTGTCTATATCTCTCATCCTTGTCCAAGAAGAAGTCGCCCCTGCTTGCTTCGCCGTCAGAGAGCTACGTCTACGGTGGCAATGTCATGGTTGACGAGACTGCCAAGATTGGCAAGAACTGCCGTATTGGCCCCAATGTCGTCATTGGTAAGAACGTTGTCATTGGCGATGGTGTACGTCTACAAAGATGCACACTTCTCCCCGGATCCAAGGTCAAGGACCATGCTTGGATCAAGAGCACGATTGTTGGCTGGAACAGCACCGTTGGCAAGTGGGCTCGTCTTGAGAACGTGACAGTTCTCGGTGACGACGTTACCATTGGCGACGAGATCTACGTCAATGGCGGTAGCGTCCTCCCCCACAAGAGCATCAAGGCAAATGTTGATGTTCCTGCCATTATTATGTAATGGATTCAAGCACTCTGCGTGCTTCAAGTCGGCCCCTTTTGATTTTCGACAATTCTTCGTGTATATCCTGGAACCTTTTTCATTACGATTTCATAATACGCCGGCAATTCCGCCCTCTACCTAGGGGCAACATCTCTTCTCAACACTTCGATTCCATATCCAAATAGGGAGGCGTTCTGGTCAGCATGTCATGATAGACGACCGTCATTCTTATCGGGGGTTTTTGGCATGATCTAGTGGATTTAAGCATAGGGCGATAAATCGTCCTTGTCTAAATTTAATCCCACTTGACGTGGCGACGAGTCTTCTCGTTCATGATACCCAATTCCCTGCCATTCCAAGTGGTCGACTCTAGATTGAGCATCCATCTGTCCTAATAATAATGGGGCTTATTATATACAACAAAAGACGAAAGGTTGCCTGCAAAAGGGTAGATGACGTGAATGAGGTCAGCATTGGGGGCTCCCTGAAAATGAAAAAAAGCATGATGGTGCAAGCACGACTTTACGGTGATGGTATAATTGCGAGTCTCGTTAGTATATGCTTCGGTTGGCTTAGCGAACGAATGCTATGCAACATAGGTCGGAAGGAGATTACGAGATGGGCTGCTTTACCCTTTTTAGCAATAGGGGATCAACCAATTCTGATAATATCTCGAGGTGTCTAGGTAACTAGTTACTTAGGCAAAAACGATTCAAGGAAATAACCTCAAAACGTGCTGTCGACGTTGATGCGTATGATAAGTTCAACAAGGGTGCTCCGTCATGACCATAGTTGTACGTGATCGAACTACGCAAAATGATTGAAGAGAGTTTAGGTCAACCACGCTCGTCGACGGCTAGATGTCCGTAACCGGCACTGAGTTAACTCAACTATGTACAGCAACGACTATCAAGCGTTGACAACACACCTTGACTTCCCCATCTCCAGCGAAGCCTGCCTCCACAGATCCATACTGCAAGACGAAACGGGGGCCATATCGCCAACCTCCGTCTCGGTAGACCGAATCGGCACGCAGAGACACGGCTGCCGAGGTATAACGAACCCTCCACCGTCGGCGACCTGCGATGCGTGCCATCTCGATCAGTCTTTCCAGCCCGGCGGTGAAGATACAGGTACTATGCAACTAGTCGTACATATGGGATCCATCTGTATACCTACCTACCTAGCTACCTACATATGTTGATCTACCACGTACCTTGTGCTAACCCTAACTGAATACCTACCTAAACCATAACCTACCTATACCGATCTGAGCATACATGCATGCATGCATACATGGATGGTGAAGGTGAATCTAAAGATAAAAAAACCGAACAATAACCAAAACCTCACCAATCGGGTTGCGCATTCGGATGTGTGTTCCGTAGGTGTGTATCGTATCATCGTATCATACACACCATACACGTACATGGGTGCGTATGTACCTACCTTGCAAAAAGGTGTGCGGCAACATCCGGCGATGGGGGCTAAAGAATATTAGCAATAGGTAGGTAGGCATAGACGAGTGGACATGATAGATATACATCGTTTAACAGTTTTATTATATACCTAGGATAAGGTAAGGTATGTAGGACTAACATTACTAAAAGTACGGTTTCGAGCCTCACATCCCATTCCACCAGACCATCCTTTCCTGGTCTCCCGTGTCATTATACTACCTAACCTTCCTGTTCTTACATACATTACATGTGAATGTATGTACGTATGTTAGGTATGTATGCCCGGTACGCAATGTACCTGATGTAAGGCACCTCATCTGAGTATACCGACCTCTATGGTCATGTGCGGGCAGAAGTTGGATCTGCCATCTCCCTTCCCCAAATCGAAAACCGTATCTAATCATTAACCTTGGTACCGTAATGCGGCCTCAAGGTGAAATAGCGGTCATTGCGCCGAAGAAGCGCTTGAAACATCCAATGAACGGCGTGTTAATACGTCCGAGATCCACAGTCATCCACTTTCATGCTGCTTCCACTCCGCGACCGTCACATCCCACCACACCACCTCGGTCGCAGTCGCAGCGTGCTTATAATTATTAAAACGAGAGGCGCCCACTATCCACAATTAGGAAATGTAGAACTCCTGTTCTGTTTCTTCTCGACTTTGCTTGACTTTCTTACAAAGTCGGCTTCCTCAAAATATCAGGCCTTGAGTGCTCCTCGGCCTGATATTCGAGGTCGTCGCGGACCCAACCGCGGCTCATATCAACGGCACGTTCCCAGTGTTGGTACATGCGTTGGGCCTTCTTACGCTCGATCTGAGGTTTGAAAACCCTTCGGCCGGCCTTCTTGTCTGTGAGCTCCCGTAGCTCCGCAAAGCTAGACCAGCAGCCCTCCAATGCGAGCCCGGCGGCAATGGCAGCGCCGAGAGCGGTCGTCTCACGCATCGCGGGGCGCTCTACGCGGATGCCGCTGATGTCGGCCTGCGTCTGCATCGTCAGGTCCGAGTTTGACATGCCTCCATCTACCGCGAGAGAGTGCAGCCTGTGACCCGAGTCTTTCTCCATGGCTTCTAAGATGGCGCGCGTCTGGAAGCAAGTCGCTTCGAGAGTCGCGCGGGCGATGTGTCCTCTTTGTGTGTGTTGCGTAATACCAACTATCACCAATTAGTCACGAGCTCGCCTAGGCGAATTGAATATACATCGGTAAGAACTTACAGAGAGTACCCTTGGCGTCGTCAATCCAATAGGGTGCGAACAGACCGCTGAATGCGGTGACAAATACCACGCCTCCATTGTCGTGGACGCTTTCCGCCAATTCACCGACTTTGGTAGAGTCTCTAATGAATCCTAGATTATTCATCAAAAACTTAACACCGGCGCCGCCCACAGCTATACTTCCCTCCAAGGCGTAGACTGGTTTCTCGCCCTTGCCGAAGTCGTAGGCTACGGTTGCTAGCAAGCCATACTTGGAGAGGACTGGTCTGGTGCCAACGTTGTATAAGAGGAAGCATCCGGTACCGTATGTGTTCTTCGCCTGGCCAGGTTTGAATCCGCATTGACCGACCAGAGCACTAGACTGATCACCTAAGCAGCCGGCGATTTTCACTCCGGCTAAGACACCGTTGGCAATGCTCCCGAAGGCCTCGGAGTCCGACGAAGGCACGATCTTGGGTAATGCGACCTTATTCCGGTCGATACCGAAGAAGGAGAGCAGCCTGTCATCATATTGCGCAGTGTGCAAGTTCATGAACATGGTCCTACTGGCGTTTGTAGTGTCGGTGACATGGACGTTTCTGTCCTTGCCATTGAGACAATAGATCAGCCAGCTATCTACGGTGCCGAATGAGAGACGCCCATCCTCGTAGGCTTGTCGCACATTTATGTCGTTCTGCAAGAGCCAGACGAGTTTCACACTCGAAGGATACGTGCTCAAGGGCAGACCGCAAATCTCAGGAATGGCGTGGGCGCCTGGGTAGTTCTTCAAGTCTCGGACGATGTCCTTCGTTCGAGTGTCGGGCCATACTACAGCATTGCATAGCGGTTTGCCGGTGGTTGAATCCCAGCATACGACGGTTTCTCGTTGATTGGTGATACCTACACCCTTAATTTGGGATTTGGAATACCCTTTGGAAGTAAATTGTGCAACAGCTTTCTCGATACAAATCTCGACAGATTCGAGCAATTCGAGGGCATCGTGTTCATGCCATCTGGATCGCGATTACAGTGTCAGCTGATCGTCGGTGTGATGTAATAGGAAGGGGTGTGACGTCAATCATCACCAGAACGGGACATCGATTACATACCCGGACTCTGGATAATAATTCTCAAATTCGATCTGATGACTGGCTACAGGATCCATTTCGCGGTTAAATATTAAGAATCGCGATGACGTGGTACCCTGGTCTATGCTGCCAATGAACCATTCTTCGCCGTGGTATCCATTGGTACCGTTGGTATGGCCGTTGGTGTAACCGTTGGTGTGTCCATTGGTGCGACCGTTGGAATAGCCATTGGTATGTCCGTTGGTTCGGCCATTAGCCGTCCATAATCGGCCATTAAAGGGTTGGCTGCTGTGACCAGCGCCGTTAACACCGTTGACTCCGTTGGTGATGTGGAGGCCGTTGACGCCGTTGGTGACGCCGTTAGTGTCAAAGTGATCTCCTAAAGAGCCCATTGCGTGCTGGTTATTGTGAGGCGCAAGTATAGAAACTATTCCGGTGGATGATGGAATATGTTTTGATGAGAATTGAAGGTCGTCAGGAGACACTTTAGCCGTATCCTAGCAATAGGGATCGAGGTGGTGTTGAGTGTTCGGCTGAAAGGAGGCCGAGAAGTAGGCTGCGAAAGGAATCCGTCTGATAACGGGTAGTTCAAGTTGCGACAAAGCGGGATGGGAGGGACGTGTGGGATGAAAGAGCGCGGAAAATCGAGGATGGTTCAGGCTAGTTATCGTACGAGGGAGGGAGAAGGGGAAGAGCGAGGAGAAAAATAATTTGGATGAGGAGAAGGAGGAGAGAGAGGAGGAAGAGGAGAAATAGGAATAATAGATGGTTCTTGTAAGAGAGGAGATAATGGCCGTGGTACTGGTGGTGGCAGTGAAGGAGTGCGAAATCATCTTGGTAAGTACAAGCAGATCGCGCACAAATCACAAATCGCACAATGTCGCACTTACGTATTCCAATTGTAAGCCAAACAGCCAAAATTGTACCCAATTGTACCGATCTCAACCTTTAGCATGCGAATTGAGAAATAGCTAATGCAAATGCGACACTGCAGGCCAGACAGCTTAGGTACAGGGGGGGTATAGGAGCCGCCGCGCCGTGTCTCTGGAGCAGTATGGAGTTATGGGGCATTACCACTCTTCAGGTACTGACTTGACAATCCCATGTAAGGTTCGGTATGCAAATGGTATGCAAATGGTATGGGTGGAAAGGTCGGGAGTCTCGCAGACTCGTGGGGAGTGGAGAGGAGCTTCAAGGTTGCAAGGTTGCAAAGTTGCAAGGTTGAAAGTGGAGGTGATTGCGGGGAATCTATTGGGCGTTCTTAGTTGTTCAGGTTGTTTTACAAATAAATCGGCAAGATACCGGCAAACGCCCACCCGGCTCGTCGTTAATCTGGCTCCAGTCTCTCTGCCTCTCTGCGGCTTCCTCCTTCTGTTTGAGCCTAGGCCTTACCGGAGATCCTGCGCAAAGAGCCAAAAAAAAAAAAATCATAATGTTCTAATGTCTCCACTTTCCAAGCCAATCTCCCATGACTCGGGAAGGTGTATTGGTGGAACTACTAGGTATTTCGACAAAAGGGGAAAGCTCCCATTAGCCCAATCCATCCTAGATGGGGGCGAGGGGGCACATGTGCACATGAGAAAAAGTACCTAGGCTTGCTAGGCTGTCTAGGGCTTTTTTGGAAGGGGCATTTGCGGGCATAGGAAATTTGCTATCCATTTCCTAAACTCTTGTCCCTTCTTGGTTCCTTTCTCTGCCCCTCACTTCTCATTTCTTTTTTCCATGTGAATCAGAATCCTACAGCGCTCATTACTCGTCGAAACCTACGAAACGTTTTCAAACTAACAGGCAGCACAGGCTAACCATTCTCATCTAACCCATCTTGACCCATCAACCTTTATCTTACGCACAGCTGCCCAGGTGACCATTATGCATTCCCTGCTTAAGCGCCTAATAATGGGGGTCGCCTCTCGCCTCCGACGCCGCCCCTGAGTAAAACCGATGCGGTCAAGCAACTTTGCCATCTTCGAGACCTAGTAAGACCCAACCTCCAAGGCCAACAATCGACGATCTATCTTTTACACGAGGGACCACCTCACGATAGTTTGTCCCGCGTGACGAGTTATAATCCCCCGTCGTGTTCGGTCGTGTTCGGACGCGACCTATCCATACATAAAGTGGACTTATAAGCCACGTATATTTGGCTTGTCGTACATATTCTTATACGTCAACGACTTTTTTATGCAATCTGCATTCCTTCTCACTCTCTCAAGCCCGCAACCCGCATCCCGCACTTCGTCGCAACGAAAAAAAAACGTGCGCGTCTTCCCCTTCTCCCCTTCCTCCCTTTCCCCATCCCCCTTCCTACCTCCCTTTTTCACTTCCCCTTCCTCCCTTGTTTCCCTCAAACTACTAGTTCTTCCGGACCTCATTCCGGCCTTCCCACCGCTCACTAGCTTATCGTGAGGCATTTACCACCCCCAGTCAATAAAATTATTTACCCATAATTTTTACGTCCACATGATGGAATATGATACTCCGATCGGCCTCCCCCAAGGAGTTCACGATGTTCGATTTTGGTCTAGATGTTGTGTTTTCTGCCGTCGCAGCCAACCTCAACGCCGGCCAATTGTGGACTCCTTGCGGTCGGGAGATCGACTCTTACATTTCTATTCCGGTATTTATTGTGGGGCCTCCGCGTACCGGGCCCCGGACAGCCGCGACCGCCTATCTTTTCTCTCCTGAGATGTGACAGGACAATTTCCTATCGTAGAAGTCTTACCTCATGCAAATAGAAAATGACATCTTCCATTTCGCATCTTCTAAGCAGCTTATGTTCACAAGTCGATAACCTCACATAAATACTACATAAAATAGGAGCCAACCAGAATTCACGTCGAGGATGACATTGCGACTCTAATTGACGAATCCGCGTCCCCGTACTTGACGATCCTTTTTCTGAGGAAACATGCCACTTGAAACTTGCAGTTCTCTGTATATGGTGTTGAATACTACCTACTATGCATGTAAAACTACAATAGCCAAGCTTCCCGAGCTTTCCACGGGGCCGCGGGTATGTGTCACTTTCCATCGTAGGTCCATAAGAGGATATAAAGAACCTCGTAGAACACTTTGGTGGACCTAGGCTATCTAGAAACCGGGCATATACATATGTACGTAGGTATGCATGTGCATATCTGCTTATACATATCTCCACAGGTCCACAGGTTCAGATCCAAGAGCAGCATATCCGAAAAATCCTGGAGGTCAGTCCGTGCATCAGGCAGGGCTAACCCAACTTAGACATCCTTCGTTTATCAATTTTGGGTAAGCCGGCTGCCGTAACTTCTATTGCTTCTATTTTTAACCGGTCACATTTATATCAGATGAAGCTGAAAATTATTTAAGCCACGTGCTCATCCGTAAGATTATCAATGGTTTCACAACCAACATATATTCTTGCTTACCCAGGTAGTCTACCGTAGCGCATATAACCGCAAGCCGCTTTCTCATCGCATTCCCATTGCACTTTCTGAAAACCCCGGACCCTTTCGTACCAGAAGCACTATTAGCTCGGTATGTCCCAAAGCGGCAGAAATCTTCAAGAATACCAAGCTTGATATACGTAACTCAACAAAAGATTAGGCTAGATGGTCAGGCACCATTTTATATAGCCGCGGCATATCCACTTTGGTACGCCCGAAGGGGTTATGGCCAACAGATATGTATGTACTCAAGGGGCGTTTCTGAAAGTCCGACTACTTAGAAACAGAAACTTGAAGAGCTTGGCTTGAGCTAGTAAATAGGCTAAATCTGGCGATCTGTGTTGAACCGATCTGTTGGGTTAGCTGTCTACGAGGCTTGAGTTTCATGATTTTCTAACGTACTACTTGACATAAATATATCACAGTCACAAAAAAGCATTGAGTGTGTTTAACTCCCAGTGTAGTAGGCAACTGGTATTTTATTTGGAACTATTGCAGAGACCCAAGAGAAGGTATCTTATCTCATGGGGTGCAACGAAGTTCATCGCTGGTAGAAATTGTGTAACCCTGAAACATAACTCTTCATATCCCCCGTTTCTAACCAACCGGCAGTCTCCCTCCTGCTTCCGCCTTTCCTTCCCTGTTTTGTCTGTTCTTGTTTTATGTTGTCAAAACAAAGTTTCGAGTCACTAAGGTTTGAACCATAGTCCCGTTCCGTTCCTTCCATCTTCCATCTTCCATTGGAAGGTTCACTGCTAGCGCCATAGCAGAGCATAATTCCACATTCGAATCCAAAGTCCAAAATCCAAAATCCAAATCCAAATTCAAACTCCTTCGCTTTTCCTCCTTGGCATATATTGCCACCCGGTTGGTAAATAATAAACATCCAGTTGTAAACATTCCACTTGACTCCAAAAGACAGTATGGTGTTCGTCGTCTCGAGTCCGGCTTCGAGTAGCCTATGTTGTTTGTTTGTTCTCGACCGTATTTATCTTCGATGTATCCGCCATCGCATGCAAGCAGCTCGATTCTCCGCCCGTTCGCGCCGCCGGCGCTCGACTTCATTTTTGTCGAACTCTGCTTTGAGATCCCGTAACCGTATGGTCACCGGGTCTATGGGCGGTCTCTCTAGATCATAGAACGCTGGGTCATGTTCGACCTGGTTGTTGTTTTTGCGACTGTTTGTGTCTTGGCGTGTTTCCTTGCTTCCACTGTTCTCGTCGCTTTGATCGCTAGAGTCACTGGAATAGCCGGAATCGCTACTATACTCTTCATCGTCGCCGTCGTAGTTGTTGTTGTCGTCCCCGCCATCGCTGTGATCGCTATCGTCACCAGAATCGCCTTGATCATCACGGTCGCTGTGATCACTGGAGTCGCTAGGTGAGGCAGCAGAATTATCGCCATCTTCGGGATCTTCATCTTCCTCGCTGACCGGTGAGTTGTTGGGGGTTGGCTCTTTATCATCAACGTTATTGCCAAGGGTATTGTCAACGTTATTATCAGTGTCGTCGTCAGTGTCGTCGTCAGTGTCGTCGTCAGTGTCGTCGTCAGTGTCGTCGTCATCGTCACCCTCGATATCTGAGTCTGGTTCGGGCGGATTGGCTTCTAGCCATTCTTCCTGGCGTCTTGCGAGTTGATCTCGGGGCATGGCGTTCCACATGTCATCCGTCATTCGCTTGGGCCGGATGGCCCCTGAGAAGTGGTCTTTGATGTACAGCTTTTCCTGTTTCGTGATAGGATCTCTGAGCCATCCTATGCAAGCACCAAGAGGTAGGTGTTGGTATCTTCTTGCCATATAGTCTGAGAATCCCGCGCGTAAGTAACTTGTGAGGTCCCTTGAGTCTTTATATAGACTTGATACAAATCCAGGCCATTGACTGTGGGCTGGCTTTTGAACCCGGCCTGCGGCAGTGCGGCGGCAGAGTTCCTTCAGCTTGCAGGGAATTGGTGTTAAGTCGATTTCATATACACGATTCGTGTAGACGGTACGACCACGTCCTCGGGGAGTAACACTGAACGACATGGTGAATGTTGTGTAGAGATATGTCGAACTTTGTAAGAAAGGGGTATGAGAAGTAGGAGATGTCTCGTGTGCTATGTTAAGCACAGCAGTGGGTTGAAACGTATTGTAAAGAGCTTGGTAGAGCTGCTCCACTGTAACGTGTGATAGTATGCTATAGTATTGAGTGAGGTAGCTTGTGTATTTGCTGCCTTGTGTTGTCTAGAAGATGGTAGCGTTATTTGGTTTTGAATTGTATGAACTGGACTTGTTGAGCGAAGCTTCAAGTGTGAGTGAGGTGTTTGTAGATGTGAACAGTGATCTGAGAATCTGGTAAGGGGGAGGGCCGGTATTTATAGGTTGGAATAATGGGCATCGGAGACAGGAGTGATTGTGATGGCTGTATACTTTCTGTGGCGTTTACATTGAAGTTTATGTTTCGACTCATTCCCCGTACACTAGACATAGGATAAGCTTTGGTCAATACGCCAGGTAAAAAACTTCAGTACACAGTTGATAGTTAATCTAGTTGTCGACAGCTATTTGGGCAGGTAGTAAATTGAGTTAAGACGAAGGCTTGTTGAAGAGTGGCGTTACCATCGGCACCATTGTGACCATAACGAGGTAGGAAACCTAAAAGACATATTTACGATGTCTCATGACGGGAATTATAACCTTCTGAATACCTATTTGTGGTGTTATGATAGAGCTAATTAGTTATTTACGGTTGGGGTCATTGCTACAGGTGAGCCGCAAAACTAGCACGGTGGCTACTACACTTCAACTCTGTAACACTCAACATACGTCTGGTGGATAGAGGCTCATTCAGGCTAGGATACGCATGTACTTGAATTTATATGATGCAGATACCTAGACAAGAGATGGGAGCATATATAAAGACAACTACTTAAGCCCCTGAATGTTCTCCTAAAACTCGATATCTACTATTTGTCTAGATAATAGATTTTCTCATTATAATATACAATGCTTACTTACAGCTCTATACAATTATATTATTCAACATTGACCATGCTTCTTGAATGTTTTCCTCAATGTTTCGGTGCATTCATGTACAAGTATGTTGTTTAGGGGATTTGTGGTCACATAGTACATACAGTGTCCTAAGGACTACACTTTACTTTTTTTTTTTTCTAATCGAGGAAAACTCAAAGACCGGTTAGCTATTTTCAACACCATAACCATGGCGCCATTGAGTTCATTGTCTAGTATGGTGACTACATCGTCATGTGGTAGGCTTTTCCACCGTCCCGTCACGAGGACATTGCCCTAAATCTTGAACCCTAGCGTTGAAAGCTTGTACTGATCGTGGCGGTAAACTCGACAAGGGCCTCAGTATCTTCAGTTGTTCGTTATGCCTAGCATGATGTACCACTAGGCATAATCACTGTATACGGCTACATGCCTCTCGGACGACTAGGTACACGACAGCTCCAGGCAGACATGGAGCATACCAAGGCGTCAGGACTTATAAGTATCTTTCATGTATGCCTGTTAACAACAACAAAAGAAGATCCTGTGGCCTAGTGGCTACAACCCCCCTTCGCAATTTTCCATGATGAGTTATGGTTGGAGTTGTGCTTAGAGCGTCCATTCGTTCCATGCTGATACCCGAGACCTTTTCTGAGAAAATTACTATTTTTTAAACATTTTTCTTCTCTCACCATACAATGTCTGGCTATATATCATTTAATCTCCCTATAATATTAATTTCTGAGAGGATGTAACATGAAAACCTGGGGGAAGTGGCATAGAAAATTTGTAACTTTTGGATGGGGTTGGAAATATGTAGGATTAGATGGATACATACATGTCCGTACAAACATGTATATAGTAGTATATAGACAGCATAGCATTGGAGTTATCTTCGTGGGTTTTCTTTCTCTTTCTATTGCCTTCTACCGACATACTCATGCTAAGGGGTGAAGCTCTTTTATGTATAACGCCTCAAAATAGTCTAACAAAGTTACTTACCTATCCTACCATTGATCCTTTAAATCTGGACAAGGACTAAAATGCATCAAAGTTATGGCGTCACAGCAAGAGCTAATATTGATACGCAAAAAGTTATTTGAAATGTCGTATGCTTTTATTTATATATACGATGTCTGTATATATGTATGATGCATTTGTACCGGTATGCTAATATGTGAGATGTATGTAGAGTCCTCCGAGGTACAGTACACTACTCTCTCCCTTTCCTTCCATAATTTTGATTCGCTAGCCAGATGCAATGTAAATGTGTCGTGATCCCATCATGTCGGTCTTGCGTAAAACAGTAATGACAGGTAAGTTCTAAAAGTCCTCGGTCTAAAATGAAAATATCATAAATGGGGTATTCGTAATACTCATACGCCCCCCAAAATGGCATGGAAAAAGGGGGCGCGAAATGGAAATAAGTCGCCATCTCCGGTTTGATTCGATTCGCTCGGCGTAACCTAATCATCAGGCCCGTAGAATGGCACATAGTCATCCGTAACACGACATCTAGTCGTTACCAAGACCAAGCAACACCAAATTCGCCACATTCATAACGACGAGAATAAGCCAAATAAGCCCCGCGAGCACGGAAATATACCACGGGTTAGCCATCTGCACAGGCTTACCCGCCGAAGGCCCGAGCTCGCGGCCGCTCGCATCATTATTCAGCGCGACGCCGTTCATCGTGAACGGGTCCTTGCCCTCGGTCTTGTACCGCGCGTTGCCCGACTGCACCGTCATGTACTTATTAAAGCACGTGAACCAGATCAAAGGAGCGGTAACGAACGGCAGCACGACGCTGAGCGCGACCTGGCTGCCGTTGAGCGCGTCGTTGAGCTTCTCGCGGCCGGCGGCGCCGGCGATGATGATGGAGGGCGTGATGGAGATGGAGCGGGTGACGAGGCGGCGCAGCCACGGCTTCATGCGCCAGTGCAGCGCGCCCTCGCAGATCATCTGCCCGGAGATTGTGCACACGACGCCGGCTGATACGCCCGAGAACAGGAGCGCGAGCGCGAAGATGGTTCCGGCTGCCGGGCTCAGGCTTTGGGAGAGCAAGTCGTGGATGCCGAAGATGTCGGCCTCGAGCGCGTCCGGGTTGTTGAAGAGGCTGGCGCCGGCGACGATGAGGATCGCGCTGTTGACGAACAGCGCGAAGGTGAAGAGCGAGATGGCGACTTCGGCGTAGGAGTACTTTAGCGAGTGCTGGATCGCTTTAAGGCTGGGGATGTAGTATGTTTTCGCTTCTGTTATGCTGGAGTCGCTGCTGTCGTTGCTGCTAGATGTGGGCCTAGGTGGCAGGAGACCGCGTTTACTGTCGTAGTCCATAAGACGGCTCTGCACTATGCCGGAGCCTAGGTATAGGGAGTGTGGCATCACCTAATATTCTTGTTAGCAGTGGAATTAAATATTATTTTCAAGAAACCGGGTAGGTAGTTTATAGGGACACTAGATTGCTGCCGAATAGATAGGGGAGAGGGGATTGGGGTAAGTAAGATCGATAAATAGGGGTTGAAAAATCGACATACCGTAGCACCTAAGATACCACAAGCCTGGAACAGACCTCCAGACTTAGTAACAGAGTCATTTGGTATGTAACCTAGTAAGACTTCGCCGGCGCTGCTGCCTTGTATGAGCGACAGCTGAATGCAGAAACAAATAACGACTGCAAAAACGAGAAGCATGACGCCCCACTCGAAAATGCGAAGACCGTTCATTCCCCCGTTGGGTTTGTAGAAAAACAGAATAATCATTACGTCTAAGATCGATATGGCGCAGCCAGCAACAAGGGGTAGTTTGGGTATTAACAGGTTTAATCCAATGGCAGTACCGATGACCTGTTATTGGTTAGCCACCACATAAGCCAAGTAGAGACTTCAACGGTTGTACGGCTCACCTCAGCGATATCGGTTGCGATGATGGCTGCTTCAGCCAAGAAATACAAGAAAAAGTTAATCCATCGAGGTAAGAATGCGCGGCATGCCTCGGCCAAGTTCATGCCGGTGACGGTGCCCAGCTTGATAGAGAGGCATTGCAGGAAGATAGCAAACAAGTTGCTCATAAGAATAATGAACAACAACCGAAACTGATTTTCAGCGCCGGCGCTGATGTCGGTTGAATAATTGCCAGGGTCGACTATAAAAATGGTGTCAGCCAAGAGATGATTGACGAGAAGCAGCTGGGACCTCTTGAAAAAGATCTACTTACTATATGCAACGGCCACGAGAAAACCAGGCCCTACAAACTTTCCGAAGGTAATGATAGTATGCGTGATTCGACCCAAGGGAGATCTCTTAGGCGATCTGCTCGAGCTGTTGTCGTCGTTATCCATCTGGGGAGCATCTTCAGTAATAGTTACTTGTGATGTTTCAAGTTTTTTGCCATCCGGGTCCTCGTCGATGGAGGATGAAATATCAGCCACGGAGTCGTCTGAGTCGTCTATACTCCTAGTTGAAGGACTTCTGGTTGTTCTGGGGCTGGTGATGCTGATGCCATTAAGATCTCGGTTCGTGAAGAGGTCGTTTGAAAGAAAGTTAGGGCTTTGGTTGAGTCCGTCGCCTTGGTACGGCTCGTCTGTCCTCGATGTTCGGTTCATGGTTTTGAACCGGCGCCACTGAGCCGGGAAAGAAAAAAAACCGGGCCGCGAGAAATTATCGTACGTTGCCCTTGCTGCAGAATTTTTCTGGGAAATGATTCTCTGTTGTTCAGGAGAAGCCAAGCAAAAAGGAACGTCCGCCTCCCGAAGTTAAATAGAAAATATCAATATATGAAATTGTTATAGACGTTCGTATGGTATCGGAAGGAGAGTCCAAAAAGGTAGTGAACGAGCTGGTTTCTGTTAATTGATTCGTCAATGATTCTTACTTGTTTCTAGCTTGGTATTGGTCGAATTGGCGTTGCTTGTAAGGGGACACCAAGGGTCACCAAGAGTCGTCAAGGGTCCGTTCCCCACTAAGAGGAAGACTCAAGGACCCTTACCCCGGAATTTAGCTTAGACAGTTGCTAAACAAAGTAAGTGATAGTGTGATCATACACTTTGCGAACAGAGGTGATCTGATAAGCTGCAGGCTTCTGTATGTTTTCTGTGCGTTTCCTGCGCGTTTTCTGCACGTCGTCTGTATGCCACCTAACCCTTATGGTACATGTTGTGCAGCGGATGCATCACGCTTTCTCCCGTACGACGGTAGGATGCCGGTTATGTTCAACCCGAGACCATCCCGGGGTGCGCGGTTGAACCCCTACCGCAGATTCTGAAATCGTTACGGAGTGAAGTGCCGGGGGGTTTAGGTGACATACATACAAGACATACCTAGCAGATATCGACCATAACCACATATTCACTCGGCTTCTTTCTTGCAGCACAGCTCATTATGCCATGCACGTTTTGGGGTTTGCGTCTTTGTCTTTGTCTGCGTGCATGATCACTCCTACCCTAAATTCTACGAGATGAACGATAGATGAAGATATCTGAAAGAGAGAAAGAGAGCTGTTTGTACGTAGCTTGGTAGTATGTAGAGTTGAATATTCCTAGCCATAAAGAATGCGGCTGGAAATTGATAGGCCCTTAGGCATGGATGACAAACCCTGTCGCGGCACTTGGTTCAGGTTCCTTGCGTTGATCTCACAAGGAGACAAACACAAGCTTTGATGCTCTCATGGGGCCGCCCTGAAGATCGTGGAGCCAACATTGGCGTCGTCTGGGCACGTTTTTTGTTTCCTCGATGTCGATGATTGTAAATAATTTGTCTCAATTCACGTTGGCTTACGAAGCTGATACATACCCCTCTCTACCTGACTCCTTTGCATTGCAGATGGATACTGTATGTGTCATGCAAACAAGCGCCTGGGTGATGTTGCAATTGCTGAATCCCTCCAGGCCTCATGCTCCGATCATCACATATACACTTGCGCGTACACGGCATATACTACAGCATACACAATGTACACACAAATGCAAACATAAACACAATGCAACATGCTTATAAACGTCCGATATATCTTCAACATTTCCCTTTCCCCTCGGTTCACGCGTCATCCGGTTTCGGGCGAGGCTCTGTATGTAAAACAGGCTCGGTGGAGCGCGTGGGTAGGTAGAGAGAACTGTGCGTACGTCCGGAACGCTACATACATAACCGGGCAGCCGCTCGCCGATCATTGCAACTTCTTGCCCTCGACTCCTCCTGCAACAGCGCGCTCCCTCTCTCTCTTGGCATATATCTCTGCCGTAAATGGATTCTCGTACTTGAGAGCGACCTGGTAGACGAAGAAGACCCAGGCAGTCAACAGGATACCGGCCGGCTTTCCGTACATAAGAGCGACGCCGAGGAAGCTGCATGTCGCGCCGTTGTACATGGGTGCGTCCGTGACGCTGAACGGGAACCCTGTCACGATATCATCCATCAGGATGCCGAAGTAGTCTCCGAGGAAGGTGCCAGTGATGCCAAGAGCCCAGGTTGAGGTCACCACGAGGATGTTGCCGACTGCGATGAGTGCATATCCGGCGTATTTGACTTCGTCTAGCTCGAGAAGTGGGTAGGATGGTTGTTCGTGCAAGGCGCGCTCGTAAAGGAAGTCGCGGAGAAGACCAAGGGTGAAGATCGTGAAGGCCAAGCCGTAGCATGCTACTTGCGAACGACCGCCGAAGAGCCTGGTAAGTACTTTATTGTGGTATTCTATGCACTCCAATGATTAGAACTATGAAAACATATGCCGAGATATTTACATAGAACAGCCTAGGTGGGCTGGGGTGGGGAGTTGCCATAGGGAGTCCTATAGGAACTTTGGGGACTGTGTAGGCGGACCTTGTCGAGCTACAATGCTGCGATCTATGTTAGCCCCCACATCATGATCTAGAGCGGATTATTTTTGCAAGATACGAAGTTCGTGAAAGATGCAGATGTAACCTACTTCCAAAATAGTGGATTAAATGCAATGGATGCCGCGGAAACTGTTATTGTTAGCATATGTCGTCTGCAGCAATTACGTATTCTCTCTCGCTTTGACATACTAAACAAGCTTGTCTGGCCGAGGTCGACCAGCTTGGTCGTGGGCGCTTCGAATGGTGCCATAGCTCTCAGTTACAGTGAAGCGCAAAACTACAGAACGTAGAAAAACAATTGACGATATGGTGATATAAAAAAGTTGGTTGGTAACGGTAACGTTAGCCATCAAGCTAATAAGGCCTATTTAATAAACGTGGCCTGGAGAAAGCTGGAGAAGCTTAATTGGGGTTCTGCGAATAATTGGAGCCAAGAGGTTAGTTTTTTTTCGTCACCGTTCCCGTGAGCACATTCACATGCCTCCTTCCAGGGACCAGCAGCGAAACCTTCCACTACCTCGAAGACACAGAGCCCCTCTCTACAACCTTAGCCGTACACCATCAGAATGCACGTGCCACAATTAAGCCACAATTGTGGCTTTTCTAATAGCTTGCTGTACGTACAGTCGGCCAACGAATGGACGCTGATCTCATGCCACCAAATAATGCAAATCAAAGCAATTCTGGGCTGGTTGTTACAATATTCCCGGTTCTGAAATCACAGTTGAGACGACTTGACAGTCTGGGGTGGTCTCCACAGACCACATAGCACGGAGTAGGTGAACAATGGATAGGTGAAACAGAGCTCTTTCATTTGATTTGAGAACTGGACATAGGCCAACCGTCTCCTCGGGTATCCGATAACTAACAATCCCACAAACAAACCGACCCTGACCATCATCACCTCCGTGTCCTCGTCTTCTTCGTCGTCTGGGTCGTATCCTCTTCCTCCTCATCTTGGCCTTTCTTGAGATCGTCCTCCAGCCCCCATTCCTCCTTATCGTACCAGTCCTCCCCATCCGACATATCCCGATTGGCTCCGACATGCGCTTCATACTTGGCCCATTGCAGAACTGTCTTGCGCATCCGGTCTGCTCGGAGGAGCCCTTCGTATAGCCGCTTGGCTCCTCGACACACCTCTTCCTGCTTCTGCACATACGATTGTAGCAACCTTCGCATATCCTCCGCTTCTGCTTCTGGAATTCCTAGGTCTCGATCAGGGCGAGCCGATCGGGGTGGTAGAAAGAGAGGATGTATAGGGGGTTCATCTGTAAATTCCGACATCACCGAGCCTGCACGGCTATCCCCATGCTCAGCGCCTTTGCTGGCCTGGACTGCCTTTTCGGCATCTCCTTGTTTGGCAGACGCTACGACGCTATTGGTTGCTGACCCGTTAACATGATCAGCGATATGCAGATTTTTGACCCCATTGATACTATCGGTAGCCGCGCTTTGCCCGTTCTCAACCAAATCCGTTTTCGAGCTCTTGTTACCGGGGACAATGTCTTGTCCGTTGTCTCCACTAACAACCTTCCTATTTCGCGCTTCAGACTCTGGTGTCATGGTATTTGTGTCAACTGGTAACTCAGCATCGACCATTGTGGTGTCGCCATTCTCTGGCTGTTCCCCATTAGTTGGCGCTTTTTCGTTAACACCTGTGGGAACCTCGTCTTTCGCCGCTGTCTTCGCACTTTTGCTAGCTCTGGCTCGCGCATCTTCGGGCGACAGTGCATTGGCATCCGACTTGACAGACCCTGGCGCCTGGCTATTATAGTCCATGTAATCATTACGATAGTATTCTATGTCATTCGGACCAAGCATAAGCTCGCAGGGTGCCCAGATGTGGTCACCAACAAGCTTTGTTTGTAAGTGTTTAACTTTCCAAAGTGCGGCGTTTTCTTTCTGCATGATATTACAGCCCTGCTTCGCTAGATCTGTCAGGGTTTTACTGGTGTACGGTCGCGATAGAGTCGGATGTGTGGGGAGATCAGTAACTGAGGTAAGAGGCGCAAGAATGTCTGCGGGTAACCGTGGTTAGTAAATTTGGAGGCATTGGACTGAGGATGGAAACGAACTTTCGAGTCGCACGTTCGCGTACGGGTTGAATTCAGCTGCTGTGTCGGTAACGTCTTGGATGTAATCTTGGTCATCGTCACTGTCAATTTCATAACCTTCGTCGTCGATAAGGACGGGGTTTCGGCTGATAATCGCTCTCTGGTAACCGGCATGATTGACAACCTGTAGGATAGAGATTTATTAGGCATTACTCTCAACTGGTCGCCAAGTATAGGGAGTCTATTAGGCTTACCTCCTTGTATACTTCAGGTCCGGAAGGTGGCGCCAGTTGTCCTTCGTGGACAAAACGAGCCCTCTTCATCAATTTATGACCTCGGTTTCCATGGTAATGAACCTCCTCGTCGGAATCGGAATCTGCGAGGCTCATGCATTAACAACCAAGGCCATTGTCAGCGATGGAAGATCTTACCATATGCCTTCCGCTTGCGTGCCTTTTTCATCGCGGCGATGGTTTCGGAGAAGAGGACTTGTTGAGACGTCATTGCGACCGTCTGCTTGTGTGGTTGATTCTAAAGAACGCGAACCCGATTTCTATTCCCAAATGATCTGCCACTAGCATCAATAACACGAATAAGTGTTTCTATTGCAGTGACAGGTTATTGGAATCGTGGAGAGTACTCGGTTCCTCTGAGTTGACGAGCTTCCTGTCTAAATCGAGAAAATACCAGAGCGCCTTTCGGTCGCAGGATCGGAATGACGAGATTGGCGAAGGTGGGTAAGAGGCAGAAGGTTTTATTTTCGGTGAACACGACACTCAAGTAGAACAACACGGGTAGGCTAATAAACGTCACTGTTTAACTCTGTAGGCGATGTGATATCAAGAGCTCACTGGCGACGAGGAGGGAAATTGTTTATGAGTTGTGGAAGAAAAGAATACTTTCGTAACGACACGACCAGAGCTGGGAACATTCAATGAACAAGGCTCAAGGCTTAACCTTAAGGTGCTGCCCGCAGTGCGCGCACGGATCGCCAATCAGGACATCGGCTTTAATTGACATCCACGGATGTATTTCCTCTCTAAAAATACTTAAGGGTGTACTTTTAATCAGCTATTCCAAGTTGTACTAACCTTTTATGCATATGTGGACACCTGCATACCTACTTTAAGTTGAAAGTACGTAGCCTTAGGGAGGGAACGATTGCTTTAGCCCAAGCCACACAATACTAGAAGAGCGGCAGTAGCTACCGCCGGGCTTCCGACTTTTAATGTAGCCCACTTAATCGGCAAACGCCGCTAGTGAGGCTAGAACTCTGGAACTGTGAGGTCACTGAAGCTAGGAATACTCTTCCACTGCAAATGAGGGAGTTCGAGATGGTGCAATCTCAGAACACATCAAGCACTTCTCTGGTATATGCGATAATGAGGATCTCTCTGCTACCTTAGCTGTGCGTCATTTGATATATTGGCCAATAGGATTCTCGGAGACAGCGCTATAGTCACCTAGGTAAGTCGTACGCAAAATATGAGCAATGCGAATCTAGCTTCGAGTCTTATAACTAATCGCATCGCATATAAGGGGACGAGTTGGATGATTCGAGTCGAATGCAAACGTACACCGAGACGATAAGCTCCTAACATATCACGTTCACACAAGTAACTACGCAAATGCCTTCCGATCCCCTGCCCCAATAGACCAATGGACGACTATCCAGCAGGTAGCCTGGACCATAATGTCCCATTCCTCATCGTCTCCGGCCTCAGCACTGCTCCTACCAAGTCTAATTTAAAAGACCCAGGCCTTAGAGAGCAGGCCGTTCTTGTCCGTTCAGAGATACCGCCTGTAGAGAGTCGGGAGGCCAAGATCATTCTTCGATGCATTCAAGAGAGGGACGCTACCAATCTTCCGTGGAATTCCCAAGACTCTTCGAAGAGATACAAATTTAAGATCAAACCTATTGGGAGGGTATGTCTTCAATATTTAAAACTATGGCTGCATACATCGCACAACAGGGTATCGTAAGAGGCGAGTCTGACTTCAACTCTTAGGAATTCCTATTGCCACCTCGTCGCGCTCGTCTCCCCGAAAACTTCGAGGAGCCTTCATCTCCACTTATCCTTCACTCGCCATTCTCTCCTCTTAGTCCAGGTTCTAGTCTATATCCAGATGGTTTAATAGATACACGATGGCTTCAAAAACACCAGGAGCTCGTCCCTAGTATATGTTTGACTTTCTATAGTTTAACCTCTGACTCTACGCTCGCTACCCTACACGATAACCAACTCAAGGCGGACATAAATGCGGTCAAGAATGCCATTGGCCAATCCGGCCATAGGTGTCGGCTTGTTGTGGTTATACTTAGTGACCAGTCACCAAGTACCGTAGGCCAGTTTCAGGAAAGACTGGAGAACGTTAGGAGGAGCACTGGATTGGATCCGAAGAATTCACTTTTCGTTCTACCTACCCAACGACCTGAGGCAGACTTAGAGAATGCGGTCGACAGTGTTCTAACCGCGGTATTCGATCAAGCGACCGAATACTATCGTGATCTTGGTAGACATGCGCGTAAAAAGAAGGCAAGGGGATATGCGCCGCAGCCAACTATCCCCCCTACCACCGGTACTTCTCACACCTTATCTTTGCAAGGTTGGAATGTTCGCTACGACTTCAAAACAGCCGTATTTGCAGAGTTCCGCCAGGAAATCGACACTGCCTTACGTTCTTACGAGCAAGCTTACGACACCTTACTCGGTGCCGACGTTCTCGAAACGATTCCGGGTTGGAGTCCTAGATTTAACGATGCGCGGCTTTTGGCTGATATAATAACTATTCGATCCTTGAAGTGCTTATTATGGACTGGCCAAAGTACTGCCGCTGTCAGGAGATGGCAGGCACATCATGACAGGATATGTGATCTAGTCGATAGAAGGGGCCGAGGAACGCAGAATTACGGGTGGAAAGCCTGGGAAGCAATATGGAGCACGGTTATGGCTAACCTGATCGAAAAAGTACAATTTCCTGAATTACAACCGTCTGCTATCTTGCCGTACCGGCCGCCGGAAAAGAATCTTTCGGCGGAGCGCCTGCAGCCATGGGAGCTTCTTCATCATCAGGGCTATTGGTATCGAGTTGCTGCACGACACTTATCCAGTAGACGAAGGCTGGCGTTGTCGATACCCGAAGATGATCGGAAATCTCCCGACCAGTCCTCGGCATCTCAACTGAGAAAAGGATATAGTTATGATACTTATATGTGCCCAGAGCCTCACCATGAGTATCCGTCGGTTGGGACCGGTGTCAATCATAGCCAATTGATTCTTGATCGCTTGATGCTAGCACGAAATGAATTCCAAAAGCGACATCAAATTCGGACTTCAGCAGAACTAGCACTTGAGGCCGCTAGGGAGTTTGAGAGGATGCAAAGGTGGAAGGACATCATGAACCTACTAGCCCCTCTGTGGAGAGATATGTCCTTTCGCACGGAAGGGCGGTGGGATATCATGGAAGCTGTGTGTTGGATTTTAAGGGGTGCAGCTGTGAAAGTTGGCCAAAAAGATCTGATTGTCGCTATTGATTGGGAGCTTCTAAATAGAGGTGAGCGAGATCGACTAATTAATCTAATAGTTTAGGAGGCTAACACCTATCGTAGGATTTTCCAGGCGGCCAGGTTGGCATTACGACATAACGAAGGCGTTAGACGGCGTGGCCGTCGATGGACAACCCCTTATTGATATCAGCGACGAGCATGTGACATCATTCATACAAGCTTCTTTCGTCTTCAAGAATGAAGAAGGAAAAGCGGGCCAGAGCTGCCCTGCTCAGCTTTCGATTACTTCTAATGCTTTCCCGGATGCCATCCCAGTGGTCTTAAGTGCAATTCGAGTCGAGTTTGAAGGCAGTCTACGCACAATACGACTAAAACATGATCCCGGGGATAAGCAGACATCGTCGTCTCCAAAAGTCCGGGTCACAAAGACAGCTTTAGTCGAGGCGGAGGCTACCGATGATGAGGATTCCGACGATTCTTCTGAGACGGGTTCTCAGACAACTTCGATTATCCTGGAGGGAATGGACGACTTAACCGTATTGCCAGGTCAAACGCGGGTCTTTGAAATGGACGTCGCGCTACGTGAGCCTGGTGATGCAAATGCATCTTCAATACAGATATCAATGGCTCCGAAATCTTTCATACTCAGATACACAATTGGAATACGGGATACCAATTCGGTGGGTCTATGGTATTCTCAATCATCATCCAGGAAGAAAGTTACACGGATAAATCCGCACAAAATCAACGTGCTTCCAAGGCCTCCTAAGATGGAGGTCAGGCTTGTGAATACGCTTGAGCAGTATTACGCAAGCGAATCTATCGAGCTTGAACTGGAGGTCCTTAACGAAGAAGATGTAGATGCGATCACTAAATTAGATGTACTTTTCTCTGGACATGACGTCCCGAGCTTTAAAGTACAGGATCAAGACGGCGGAGAACGGCCAAGTTCGGCAGAGCCCGCAGAATCAAAACTTGATGGAATACCACTTGGAACAATACCAAGCTCTAAATCCATAAGAGCTAAAATTATCCTTGATCCGGCCAAGGGTCCTATCGTTTGCAACTTATTGGTGAAAGCACGGTACCATCTTGTGTCGGATCCAGGAACACCGATCATCCAGCAAGAAACCTACCACCTAAATATCGTCAACCCCTTTGAGGCGAGTTACGACTTGTCTCCTAGATTACATTCCGAGTGGCCGAGTTATTTTAGCATTGAAGATCCTCGTCACGCACCCGAAAGGGACCAACCTGCCGGCTCTTTTCGAGGAATAGCACAGAAATGGTCGCTTGCCACCCGTTACGCCTCCTTTGCACACGAAGACCTGGCTATACTAGATCTCGACGTAAATGTCCTCTCCACGCAGGGCAACGCGCGCTGCACGACGTCCAAAACCCAGACGACGGCCGGAGACGGCGTCACGATCAGCCCCAAGACGATCGAGGAAGCTCAATTCGAGCTCGTAGCCCAGAAGCAGGACCTCGACGACAGGGCACCGGCCACGGCCGACCTCGCTTTCACCATTAAGTGGCGGCGCCTCACCTCACCGGAGAATACCGTGAACACCACCATCCTACCTCTCCCCCGCTTCTTCGTCACGACCTCCGAGCCCCGCGTCCTAGCCGGCGTCTCGTATTACGCACCGCCGCCCGGCCTATCGTCGTCCGCCGAGCAACTGCTGTTCCTAGACATCACGATCGAGAACCCGTCCTCGCATTTCCTCACCTTCGGACTGATGATGGACCCCAGCGACGAGTTCGCGTTCTCGGGCGCGAAGACGACGACGCTGAACGTGCTGCCGGTCGCGAGGAGGACTGTCACGTATAGGCTGTTGCCGTTGGTGAGGGGCGCGTGGATTAGACCGACTCTGGTGGTGCGGGATAAGTATTTCCAGAAGGTGCTGAAGATTATTCCCACCGAGGGCATGAAGGGCGATAAGGATGGCGTATTGGTGTGGGTGCCGGCGGAGGATGAGGAGGATGGTGCGAGTGAAGACGAGGGGGGAGGAGAGGAGAGTGCGAAGTGAAAGTGCGAGTGAGGGAATGAGTTTAGGGGGGTGAACTGACGGGGCAGATATGTATTACAGATGCTTAGGGCCGTGCTGACGGTAAGATGGTGAGGATAGGGAAGGAGAGGTTGTCACTTTTAGTTGTTTGATATAGAGGAATTAAGGCGCACTCTTACGGTAGTCTGTGGATAGAAAGTGAATCCTCATAATGATGACTTGCATGTTGGAAATCTGATTTAACGAAATTCTTTGACTCGTTACCTAGGTATCTAGAATCCTCGTCTTAAGTCAAGAGAGATAATCGCGTATAGTTGTAACATTGAGAAATAATCCATGATTGGGTCTTGAATGCTGATCCATATTAGTTGTCCATTCCGTTGCTATTCATTATTTACATAGGTCTTCCATTGGCTTTCCCAAATCCATTGGAATAACCCCCGAATATCCCATGGATTCGGGTTTGCCAAGACAGCCAACTGCGCACTAAATTACTACCGCGAGTAAGGTACGGGCTAAAGTTAGATCGGTATTCTTCTACTGCTTTAATAACAATATGTGGTCACCAAAGAATTGCCCCGATTCCGAAGAGCTAAGCTCTCGAATCAAGTCATCTAAGGCTGGAATAGGTTAATATTATGCGTAGGCACCTGCAAGATACGTATGTTATGTAAGACAAGTGCCTAGGGGATCCTTAACTCCTTGCATCGCTAAATCCGAGCCCGTCATAGACTCTTTGCGCGCGCCAGCCAACCAGTCCAGGCACTGCATATTTCGAGAACAAACGAAAATTGCAGAACCAGCAATGCTACCTACCACGTTGCGCACCTGGAGCCTATTCCCGTAATATATATCCCACGTCCGCTTTCCCGCTTATATAAAAAAAAATCACCAACCAACTCATGACTTCTTACCTTCGTTTTCGAGTTCTCTTTAGAAGAGGACCAGCGTTTTCACCTAACCAATTCACTAAAAGAGCCAGTATGACAGCCATTCCTGTTGCACTCTCGGTGGCAGCGTACCATAGCACTGTCACGGTACGCCCGACGCAAGCCAGCGCCGACGAAGCCCAGGAATTTGATCCCGAAGCACATCATGTCAAAGACCGTTGTGGGAAGACTGTTAAATTTCGCAACCCGTACCCCTCATACACTTTTCCCACGCCTAAGGACATCTTCTCGTTAATGTGGTGCGTCTCCAGATGCTGACGCTATCATCATAATCTCTGTTTATGCGAGCTGACCAACAGAACTTAGGGGCTATTATTCGGGGACGCTTAATTGGCCGAAGCCGAAACTAGAGCAGAAGCTTGTGCCTGTGGTAGAACCGAAGTTTCTACCAACGCGCACTTCGTCGTCAAAACTACGTGCTACTTGGCTTGGGCACGCGTGCTACTACGTAGAGTATCCTTCGGGGCTACGGGTTTTGTTTGACCCTGTCTTTGAAGACTGTTGCGCGCCTGTTGGATTTCTCGGTTTTAAGAGGTACACTGAGCCTCCTTGTCAAATCGCAGACCTGCCTTTCGTAGATGCCGTGGTCATTAGTCACAGCCATTATGATCACCTATCATATCCGTCCGTTCAGGAAATTCATAAACACCATCCTAATGCACACTTCTTCGTTGGTCTAGGGCTTGAGAAATGGTTCAAGTCAGGGGGCCTGGAAAACGTGACGGAGATGGACTGGTGGCAGGAGGCGGAAATGATCCTGACCCCACAAGCTGCCAAAGGCGAGACGGATGCCAAAAATGGTAGCAATTCAGAGCTCTCGGGCCCCATTACAGCAAGGATATCTTGCCTCCCCTGCCAACACGGTTCCGGCAGAACGGGCATGGACCGGGACAAAACGCTCTGGGCCTCGTGGGCCGTCGTCTCGGGGGAGCCGGCCAAGTCCGTCTGGTTCGGAGGCGACACGGGGTACCGCGCGGTGCCGAAGGTGCCCGAGGGCGTCGACGACTACGGCCCGGAGTACGCGCACCTGCCGCGGTGCCCGCAGTTCAAGCAGATCGGGGACAGGTTCGGGGCGTTCGACCTCGGCCTCATCCCCATCGGCGCGTACCACCCGCGCCAGCTGTTCTCGGGCGTCCACGCCAACCCGTCCGACGCCGTCGAGATCTTCTCCGACACGCGGTGCAGGAGGGCCATGGGCATCCACTGGGGCACCTGGGTCATGACGCCCGAGCCCGTGCTGCAGCCGCCGCAGCTGCTGAGGGAGGCGCTGAAGCGGAAGGGGTTGGCGGAGACGGGCGTTTTCGATGTTTGCGATATTGGTGAGACCCGGGAGTTTTAGGGCATCGGAAGAGATCCATACCGGTTGGGTGTATTGGTGTATTGCTATTGTCAGGTACGTGTAACTAAATAGAGACTTCATAGAGAATTAGGGACGTGGAGTGCGGAGTTTTAGAGCCTGTGATGAATTTTCCAAGGTCTCCATATTGTTATCTAGATTCCAGATCTCAACTCGAAGTTACAGCCAGATCTAATACCCAAATATGAGTTATGTTCGGCATGTTCGGCAAGATCTAGATTCTACTATCATGGTGTATGTATATAGTACATAGTGGTACATGTACTGCCATGTGTTCAACCAAGTAGATATGTAAGTACCTAAGTACTGTCCAATGACGACATCCCAGCTGTACGGGAAACTCTAGCGCCGGTCCGCAAGCCACCAGGTCATTAGGCGGGCACCTGCATTCTTCTGCTACCAACAAACTCCCCGACCGCATTCAGCGCACCAATAAGCACGCTGGAAACTTGTTCACCTTAAGGTTCCGTTTCAATTCGCCCACATCTTTCCATCAAACGACACCACGAGTGAATCATCCACCTGATCATATATCAAGTCGACTGTCGCCTAATATCCCAACTCTTCTTTATCATGCGTCGACGACACCATCAAGGTTTTTGGCTCTACAGTTCTGGTCTTTCGCAATATTTTCCACTATAGAATCTGTTTACAGTGTAGCTATCGCTAGATTTTTGGGGCTTGGATTGAAATATGGAATACCACAGCAAGAAATTAATAGTGAGTCGATATACCTACTTCTATATTACAACACAACGTATAGGCCTTGCATGTCTTTAGGAATTCCATGAATGTAACTAATTCTGGGTTGCCCTTGCCTTAAGCCATCTATCTAAGCTTGCTCGTTTCTGTGAAGCCACATAAACAAACCCGAGTGCTACCCATGAATGTTTATATTGATTATTAATCACGTCTTACTGGATTTTGCTTTTTATGCTAATCTAAGGGTGAAGGATGAGCTTCGGTCGCTCCTTGATGAGACCACCATCCTGTCGATTTCTAGTGACTATAACCTAGAAAACCCCGAAGAATTTGCTGCCGCACGGCAAGTCCTGTTGACCATCTCTAGAGATGTAGTCGCAGAAGAAGCCACCGGCTTTAATCCGAGCGGGCTCGGCGCCGATGGTATTGTAGATATCAATTCCTCAAACCAAGGCGATGACGCAGAAGCTGCGGGAACTACTAGCAGCGATGCTAAGAGTGTTGGTGGCTTCACTGCCACGACGGAAAGTTCTATCCCGCCAAGCCTTGCGTCTTCGGGATCATCCAAAAGTTCCTCTGGCGAGAGTCCAGGACTTATCCACGTTGGCATATTCGACAGCTTAAGCGATGGCGAGAAGGAACTTCAACTCTCTGAGATGTTTGCCTCGCTCAAGTCCATTGACATAAAGTTAGCTTTGCAGAAGTCGAAGGGTGACGCAAGTCTTGCCATGGACGAACTCCTCAATCTTCAGTGGCTTGAGCATACAGGCCAGCGCCCTAAAGGCGTTGATGGCTTTTATGTGTCTGACGAGGATAATGTTTCGAGCAAGAAAAAGAAGAAGGGAAAGAAGAAGAAAAAAGTTAAAGTGACATCACCTAAACCTAACACCTCAGAAAATACGTCCGAGGAGATCAGTAATAGTGATCCGGTACAGAATGGTGAGAGATTTGATGTCTAAAACAGAGCCGTTAGGTTGATAAGTGATTTGCGACTAATAACTTTATAGATCACATTGCACTTATATCTGATAGATTCAACCTAACGCCCTCAGAGGTGACGAGCATTTACTATCACCACGGTGCCTCTCCTGGAGCCACGGTGGTTGGGATCCTCAAAAATTACATTGCTCTTGGTCTGCCATCTTCAGACTCTCATTTAATACCATACGCCGAAGAGGTAATGAAAGACTTTTCTTGGGTACCTCAAGAATATGTCGAGGCGACTATTGAAATCTGCTCTACACAGGATGATGCTTTAGACATTATCCGAATGCTAGCAGATCACTTCGAGAAGCCGGCATACTTGAAATACGATGTGTCGTATAGTTTGGTGGCGTCTGATTTGGGGGAGATTGATGACGAACCCCAAGTGATCAACGTATCAAAATCGGCACAACTGCCGAAGTCCCCTACAAGCCCTAGAAGCATGCGGACAGCGGCAGTTAGATTACCTCTACGGACCTCCACCCAACCCACAAGCTTGGAGGCGGCTGCAGCCGCCTCCAAATCACTTGCCGAATCGAGAAACTATTCGTTCACATCCGCCGCGGCTGCTTTCAAAAAGGGAAGATCCGACCCCTTGTTTAGACAAGCTGGTGCATACTATGCGAACCGTGCCCGCGAACAAGCTGCAAGCTTCCGCCAAGCTATCAGCGTCGAGGCTAACTATCTTGTCGACTCGAAGAGTAGAGAAGACATGATCGACCTCCACGGCGTCACGGTGCAGGACGGCGTCGAAATCGCGCTCGACCGGGTACAGAGGTGGTGGCAAAGCCTTGGAGAGGATAGAGCGCGAAAAGCGAAGCGAGGGTTTACCGTCGTGACGGGTCTAGGTAGACACAGCTCGGACGGGAAATCGCGGCTGCGCATCAACGTGTTCAAAGCACTTGTCGCCGATGGGTGGAAGGCAGAGGTGTTGACTGGGTCGTACCTCGTTACGGGGAGAAGGTAATGATTGCCGCTACGAGTTATCCTTCAAGCGTTGGCCGTCTAATGTCTTTGGCGACGTGCACGACTCTTGGGTCCTTGATACACAATGCATCATACAGGAGAACATTGGCGGCGTTTCAGGGCAGTAACGACAAGGGTTCTGACGATCCATTGTTTGGCGGTTGGTTAAGAGAAATCTCGAAGGATCTATGTTTCCACTCGGATACGTCCTTAGCATCCAGGAAATTTGCATAGCACTTCTCTTTTTGCTTGAGACGACTTTTGCGGGCATGTGGACAGGATGCGGCTCAGCTACATAGCTTGGAGCCTTGACAAAACAAGAATTAGCTTCCGCTGATATAGACGACCATAGATATGTAGTTGACATCAGTGTCTTCTCAGACCCAGCCCGTATTTATATGAACTGAATAATATTTGGGTTACTACTTGATACTAATAAGTGAACTAGACTTAAGCGACTCAATCGGGTACGACATAAGAAATCCGAGAATAACCTTGGAGAAGTCTCTTCTTTCTTCCTAAAACGCAAATGCAATTGAACTTCTTACACGGGCCACTACCTAGGTTATGTCCCACAATCTTAGTGTAGGACATTCTTCGGTATGTACTTAGGTGTACGTAACTGAATTGCGTGACGGTCTGAAAATATTACCAACCTCACATTTAGCTCACCCCGCGAAATCCACTGTGCCAGATCCATTAGACAAAACATCCATAACCGGGGTGCCTGAGACGGAGACAGCGAGGTCGTATTATTCTATATTGTTAACCGAGTCTATGTACATCTGCATTCACGGAATATAGATTCCATCCCGATACAGTTATAATTACAATCATTTGTTATTTATTATAAATGACTGTTAGTATTTCTTAGCACCGAAGGCCGAATTGTCCTAATTACTAGGTACATTGCAAAGTCTCAACTTAGGTACATTGCAAAGTCTCAACTTTTCAGAGGGTCGTAGTTGCAATGAGTTAGCCGATATCCGATTAATGATTCGCTTCATAATGTATTCATAGAAGATCATCCCCAATATAGCGGTGCAATCAAGTACAAGAACAAGATATGTATCTACCTGAATAATGTTCACTACATAAGAGCTAAAAAAGAAGGCAATTACTAAAAGCCGGGCATCGCCGACCACGGCCGTAGCTAAACTTTACTGGAGCCTTCTAGGTCGCAATTGTTTAAAGTCACAAGTACAAGATATCCTAGGCAGTCCCACTTGGACTTATTTCCAAGTGCCTTTGACCAACTTCCCATTCAAAACTGACAGGTACGACTACAATTCTCAACTGTACACCTTCTGTAAACTTAACTTACTAAATACACAAAGAAATTTAGTTTCTAGATCTGTCCGCATTTGATTGATTTACTCCTACGATCGTATTATCGATATATTGCCCTCAAAAAGTCGTTGTAGTTAGTAGTGCGAGCGCCCGATCCTACTCGACCACGATGACGAACGACGCCGCGGGGCCAGCGCCGCAGGCAGCATCGGCCATGACACTGGAAAACTACACTTTTCCTGCACACCGGCTTCTGCGACGGCAAACCGATCCTGAACGCACTCCGCTAGTGCTTGTCGCTTGCGGCAGTTTCTCCCCCATCACATATCTCCATCTCCGAATGTTTGAGATGGCCAACGATTACGCCCGCATAAATACTCAGTATGAGGTTGTCGGAGGCTGTACGTCATTTTGGTCCATTGTAGTACATACAGTGAAGCCTAAGATCTAATATGTTTCTAGACTTATCACCGGTGAGCGACGCTTACAAGAAAGCTGGATTGGCAGAGTCACGCCACAGGCAAGTCATGAGCCACGTCCTTTTTCGGCGCTGTTCATGGCGTTACTACTTATTATATCAGCTCAATTGGTTTTCTAATACGCGATTCATATAACAGAGTGCGCATGTGCGAATTAGCAGCCGAAGAAACTTCAAGTTGGCTGATGGTTGATCCGTGGGAGGCTCTTCAGCCCGACTATATGCCAACTGCCAAAGTGTTAGACGTGAGTACATACTAAATTCCTTTAGATACTTATATCGCAAAATCATGAGTTGTGAATAAATAAAGTCCCTCATATTTATTCCCGGTACCTATTGATGGTTACTAACCCGAAACGCCATAGCACTTCGAGTACGAAATTAACCAAGCCGGCAATGGCGTTCTGGCTGCAGATGGCGAAACTCGAAGGCCAGTCAAGATCATGCTACTAGCAGGCGCAGACCTAATCGGCACCATGTCTACGCCTGGCGTCTGGGCTGAGAAAGATCTTGACCACATCTTAGGCAATTATGGAGCCATGATCGTCGAAAGAGACGGAACGGACATGGACGAAGCTCTAGCCAATCTGAAGCAGTGGGAAGACAATATTCACGTCATCGCACAAATGATACAAAATAATGTGAGCAGTACTAAGATTAGGTTATTCCTTAGGCGAGAGTAAGTACATATCTATGCTATTGAACTTCTTAGTCCGGCTGGCTAATCTGAACCTAACAGCATGAGCGTACAATATTTGATTCCAGCATCTGTCATCCAGTATATCGATCAAAACAGACTTTACACGGATGATGGCGAGGGGAAGTCCAAGGAGAAAGACAAGCAGCGAGCAACAAACTGAACCATCACCAACCTACGAAATGTATATTCAAATTCCGTCTGCAGCGACGTCATGGTCACTCACTTGAGGAAGGCCGGTCTGACGGGTTGTGCAAAATGCCCGAACTTGTTTTCTTCCTTTCTCCCGCGTCTTGTACTGAGACACGACAGCTGCTCCAAATCCAAGGACGATCAACGAAGGGCATGAACTAGCCCACGCGGAACCCCCAGATGCGGGGGTCTTGAGGGCGTATGCCGTCAGTAAGAGAGCGGCAGGGGTACAGCTCTAGTCAGCCAAAATACGGATGAGGGGCTGAGTGGTGGGGGATGGGTTACTGACAGAAACCCCTCTTCAACGTTGTCCTGCCCCCAAATTCTTAATTCCGGTTTGGAGTATTTATGAGTACATGGGTACCTTATATTGTACCATTGAGGAGTTTGGAAAACTTCTAGGCGGCCTCACGATGCCTGACACATTACCAACTTGAGCCTGCTTCTTTTCTTTCCTATTATCTTGGATGCGGGAATTTTCTTGGTATTATTATCAGCGACTAGAGATGATATCCATCCTCATATACAGATAGAGTGTACATAGGTGCAATCTTAACACACCGGGTCGACCGTCGGTCCCCATTGTCCCACCGCATTCAATGCACACCGAAGAGGGTATCCCGTGTTTAGCCAGCTCTGCCGGCTTGCGAGGTGGCTTGTTTTTGATTGGCTGCTGCATTTAGGTCGTATTCTAGATACTTACCTCCCTTTTTGTGTTGAGGTGTAACGTCTTGGAGCAGCATGGTATGAAGTGTTGTCCTTATTGCGTATATCCTTAAAATATGAACGAGGCGGTGGGAGGGTTTCAATCTAGATGAGTGTATATAATGGACATGCGAGCACTTTCCAGGTAAGTAAAAAATGTCCGATGGTATCGTCGGGAGTCTCCTCTTAGCTATCATTCGAAGATATGTACCTGTAACAATCATCCTAACTCCGTCTTCCCGGGAATCTTTTTTACATGTGCTGCATGTGTCAACTTACGGAGGTCCTGCAATATGTGTACTTACATAGGTGGCTTGTTAATAGGTTGAAAGGCAAGCGCTGCGTAAGCGCAGCCAACCCCTTGGTATGCCATCATCTTCTGGCTAATCCAGATTCCCCAAGGTTACCTATGTATTTCAAAAGACTCATCATAAGATTTCAACGTTTGAAATCTCATCAAGGCTTGAGCCTGTTCATCTAACTAGTAACCGGAAGTGAGGCATCAGATTCTACGTAGCCTTTACTTCTTTCTAGTAACTCAACATTTTTGTTATCTTCATACCTTACGCATGACTGTTATGCAATTTAATGAACAAATCAGGACTTATGCAAACAGCATACATCTACATACCTACCTAGGTAGTCTAACCACTCACATTCCGAAGTTCGAATTATCGTCGTATTCCAACTTTTTTCGTGTGTTACCATTAGCTCTTCAACCACCATACTTACCATCTCACACCTTGTAAAAAGCTTCGGCTAAACGATATCAGAGCTTGGAAAGTTCAATGATAAGAAGTAAGTTATATGTCGAAGCATATTATAGTAAAATGTTATATTGGCAAAGATTGAAACACTTTCGAAGAAAAATTTACCAACTAGCGTACTTAGACTAGAGAAGAATACTTTTGAATTGCGATATTCAGTTTACTATACAAGATTTAGTGGCTATAGCTTCCCAAAGCTTACGCCTTTATTTAATGTTCGTCTTCACCTCCTTCCTTTAAGCTACCTACCAAAGTTACTCACCACCTATTTGATGTAAGCCATTAGCGAGGAAGAAAGTGCTTGCACGACTATTCCAAATGCTTATAACTTCTCAACAATTAAACCTTATATCATATCTTTATTACGTTATAAATAACTCTCTGGAATAATTGCGGAAGCAATTATTGACAGAGTTTACTAGGATCAAGTTCCTAATAGGACGTAACCATCTCATTTACAGGCGACTAAGAGAATGCGTACAAGATAAAGTTTACTCAAGGTTCTGTGTCAACATGCTCATTCATCATTGGTATAGGACTACCATGGCTATACGAAGGTTCTATTGATTCTAAGCCATCTAGTGCCTCAACCCAACTATTGATATATTTAAATGTCTCTCAGCTAATATCAGCTTCCTAGGCTCGAGCAACTTCTCACCCATATCTATTTATCAGGTATATATATAGCCCCAGTCTGTCGACCTCCTTTCGAAATGGAACTCACTGGCTATCATATTCTTCCCTCTTCCTTGAACTCCAGGAGAAAGGGAGAAGGCATCATATCCTACTACATGTACATACGCATACTGTTTTGCTTACTATGACTTGGGAATCGTATGAGCTCATTATAACCATTTTTCTTACCCTCTTCCTCCTAATATTTGTTTCTACTGCTGTCCTACTCATAACCCTCGTCCTATTTGTCCGTTACGGGTTCAGCAAAAGGGGTTGAACGCACACTATTTTCAAGACCGTTCCAGTCTACAGCAAATGCTTCCTTTTTCTATTCCTACTTCGACTTCGCTGTACAAATACTTAGGGGTTTCATCCTTCGCTTTACACACTGCAACTTCTAAGAGCACGCCATGGAACTAAATGAGACTACCATGTCTTCTAATTTAGAAGAATACCTCGAAATCCCGACGAGTGTTGGCGAGCAGACACCCGGAACAGACTCGGCCTCATCCTTGGATCAAGCCGAAAGCCATTGTTATTCCTCATCTCGGCTCTCGTTACAGAGCTCGGTTCAATCTCAACCTCAGCCTCAGCCGTATCCATATCCGCAAACACAATCTCATCGGGAACCTAGTTACAGCCGTCTAGTCAAGCACTTCTGCCCTGTAACCCTTGTGGTGACCGCTGGCGCCTTTTGCCGCCACTGTCGTTCTCATCACTATAGCTTGGATGAAGATCCCTCCCCTCCTGCTGCACCTCCCTCATCCCCAGCATTGTCACCCGTGGGAAGCGACGAGTCATACAGCTTTCTCGAAGTAGGCACCGAGAGGCTCAGTGCGGAGGCTGACGATCTGGAACGACGAGTTATGCTACTCACGGAGACCATCAAGTACTTGAAGTTGGAGCGTGAATCCCTTCAATTCCGTATTTATTATATCGAGCAACATCTAAGAATGGTACAGGAAGTTGGCCCGTACTATAGGTCTGCAGACAATGGTGAATGGGAACCTCTACTCGACGATGGTAGCTGGGAAGATGTCGACAGTGAGACAGAGCTGGAAGCCGGATCGGTGAGTGTCTGGTACCCCCAACCCGTAATATATCATAATGTTTTTTTACTTCTGTAGATCTCTCGCCCGTCGTATCTTCATCCTTCTACTATATTGTCGCTAATATTTACTACTAGATCATCTCCGGTCAAGACGCCAAAGAGTTAGACACGGAGATTGTGAGGATCGACCCAGAATGGACCATTCTATAATGCCTTCTCGGCAAATTTGATTGGTCGGTTGAGGAATTAGGAGGACCAGGGCGCTTTTCAGCGGAACGACTCAAGCATAGTATGCCAAGGATTACGGTAACCCGCCAAGGATTACGGTAACCAAACCGGCGGGATGGCGGCTACGCCAGAATCACAGATTCGAGGACGCAGTATGGGAGTCTGCTCTCTCTATCCGTCTCAGGAAGGGTTAAGATATGGTTGCACAGTACTCAACATCAGCTCCAGAGCTAATTCCTCGACCGGGAGCCATATCTGGAGATCTAAATCTATCGTATTTCTTTTTTTACGCTCTTTATAATACACAAGAGTTCCGACCTACCAGAATCGAACTCAAGAATATGGACTCTAAGTATCGCCAGATGGCACGGCAATTTCGTTCATATGTTTAAGATTCCCAATCGTCGGCGCATTGACAACACTGTTCCGGCAGCATGGTTATATCTAAGTAATTCACTAAGACGCCGACCTTTAAAAAACCATAACCATAAGCCAAGCATATTATCGTTAAGGGCTATAGCAACGAATACCTAAGGCTCTTACGAAATCGAAAAGCTCCTATAACGCCAAGTAATCAAGGGTAACGACAACGCAATCAATTGATTGGCGCCGCTTTCTAGGCTCACATAGGCGTGTGACTGGCGTACACGAAGGGCTCGAGGTCATAAAGATCGGTCGGCTGTAGAGCCTTGTTTCCTTCCTCTATGCCGTGGTGTGCTGTGGATGTTAGACTAGGCTGTTCGCGCTACCGAGTGCAGATTTTAAAGAGGTCGGCCAGGACGTCTTTTTGCATTAAAAAGCGAGGCTCCACACCCACCAGATTGGCATACACATAGCCGGAACGGGAGCGGGCAAGTCTGTCGCATTCTCCCTACCAGCCTACACGCAACCTGAAAGCCGCGTCGTCGACGAATCTACCTGACAGAAGCATCAGACTACCGAACCAGCAGTGAGACAGACGCACCGGGCTCAGAGCCAGGATCCATCGCCATACCCACCTGAATGGATAGTCGACACGGTCAAAGCCAGAGCAGCGGCACGACAGGCGAATCAATACATTCTTGACCGAGAAAAACGTGACAATATAACACGGCAGATTCAGGAAGCTATAGTAGCGCGGGATCACAGACGTAACAGATCAGATCCCCCCCGAACACCACAACGACCACGTGCCACTTCACTATCTACTCGATCACCAACACCAGTTCCACCATCTCCACCCAGATACTCAGGGGGACTACTCATAAAAGCCGGGTGGTTCCAGCGTTTGACATTCGACTATCGACAAGTTGAAGAGGATGTGTCCGGGACCAATATCACGCTGCTATCTGATGTACATCACCATCTGTCTCATCCGTCTGTTGAGTCTTTTTCAAAGTTCGACTTAAAACATGCCTACTGGGGAATAGAGGTGCATCCGGATGACCGTCATGTGTTTGCGTTCCATGTTCCAGTATCTCCCCAGCTCCAGCCCGCGAGGACGCCCCAGGGATCCTTGCCACGAAAATCAAATCGACTGTTCGAAACCGTACGGAGAACTTCTACCCATCAATAGCCCAGCTCAACCATATCACACTGTGGCGTGGGACTATATTATTAGATTACCAAAGATTCCATCAGCAAATACGCCATGGACATTGGCCGGATACGATCAATTTGACGCGATGATGGTGGCAACTTGCAAGTTCTCAAAGAAGGTCATATTATTACCAGGCAATACTAAATATATAGCTAAGGATTGGGTAGAACTCGTGTTTAGGGCATTGATGTTGTACGATTGGGGCATACCTGGCAAGGTTTTGGGGGCGCTTCCCCGGCCCAACCCTGAACCCTCTCTCTTGCGATCCGATGACCCGAGTTGGGGGCGGGGGGGGCGGGGGGGGGGGGGGGGGGGGGGGGGGGGGGGGCGGGGGCGGGGGGGGGGGGGGGGGGGGGGGGGGGGGGGGGGGGGGGGGGGGGGGGGTGCG